CCTTGAACTCCTCTGCATAAGTGATCCACTGTTAGCTGCGTGTTAGCTGAGATACATGATGCAGTGGCCCTTTTCGCCGCACGTACTCACACTCAGGCCGTCGCTGCTAAGACGGACATCCCTCGTGTGTGCACAGCGTCATCGTCGAGGTTCAAACCAGGTATGCATATCTTGTTCTGAGGGGAGAAGACGTGAATCGCGTCATCGGTGACCCCCATCCATTGCGTGTCAGGCTCTCGCCTTGTAGCTGTTTCCGGGACTGTGCGACTCGAAGGGCGATCGTCGTTCCCCCCGTCTAGCAGACTGCCGTTCTCGGGAGGACGCTGAGCAGCGGCCTTCCCTGATCTCTGCTTCGTACGCTGCCACGGGTTGCACGTCCTGGACCGGTGAAGTATCGCTCTCCGAGTCTTCAACGAGCTTTCTCCCATCAGAGGAACACGGTATAGATTCGGTCGATAGTCCAACCCTGGTACGTGGCAGGTGTGCGAAGCTGAGGTCGTGCCTTTGCGCCGTACATGCGCCGCACATTCTACGCTCTTCGATGGGGAGGATTCGTCGTCGTCATAGGATGCGGGTAGCGCGATGGCCCCGCCATGTCCGTACAACGCGCCCGTGGACCATCATCCACATTCTTCGATAGTGCCGCATCGTTCATTGCGTCGCGTCGAAAGGCGTCGGCTCTCCTGAGGGCAAGCAGTTACATACTAGACGGCTAGCTGATTTGTAGCACGACAAAATTGGCCACACGAGTGTTCATGAGTTTTCCGGCCTGTTCGAAGGTTTGGTCGATTTTAATGAGGAGGAGGCCAGGAGGCTGCCAGTCACTAGTCACGGCCGGGTGAGGTCTTGAGAACTCCGAGGCGGAGGAGGCGGCGCAGCCATGGCGCCAGTTACCTCCGGGAGGACGGCCCGGTCAAGCCGGACGACGACAACATTGACAACGAGACTCAGCTTGCGGCGCTCCTCCTCCTCTCGTCCGAGTTCGACTATCACATTGACACTTGGGTCGCCCCGACAAAGCGAGGAACCGCCTATAGGCTACTGCGTGAACGTGGCTTGGCTAATGCGTTGGCCAGTTTGACAAGCCAGAGGTACATCCTGAATGAATCGACGGATGTATCGACCGGACTCGTGTTGAGTCTACTCCAACTACAATGTGAAGGATCAGCGTGCGGTATTACACTCTGGTATGCTCGGTATCATCATGTAGATCGTGTCCTTCCTAACCTCCTCACAGGCGGCACGTAGCACGTAGTTCAAATGCGAATGGTGCCTATGCTATCATTGCTTCGAGCAGAGACTACTATCCGACTCTCTGATGTCTTGCAAGACCCTCCTAGATGGAACGATATCAGCAAATGGAGGCACTCAAGCCAATGGGAGGACCTAACCCTGGTGCATTTTCGGCGTGCTCGGACGACTACGGGACTTGGTGCATGTTTTACAATCGTTTCATACCGAAGGGTCTGAAGATACATACGTGCGGTAAGTTCACAACGACGAGTTGTCACGTACACTCACACAAATAGCAAAGCTTCACTGTGCCGGCGGTGCTGCGGGTTCATAGCCATCCAGAGATTAGCGACCATCAGCTCCGCTCCGACGTTGTGCGACGCAGCAGCTTACTACCCCTTGCAGACTTCGGCCACCGAGCACACACGGTGCTCCTCCGCTGCTCCAACAAACATCGCACGTCTGTGGCGACGTCTCCCAAGCCGGGCTGTCGCTAGCGACAAGTACGTGCACGAGACCAGCAGTTCCAGCATCGAAGCCCTCACGGCGGAAGGCACAACCTCGTCGTCCACCCGAACGCCAGTTCAAGGAAAGATGCTGGAGCAGGTTTCGAGGCTGGCGGGAACGCACCTATGTGTCTGCGAGTCGCTGCCGGTGAGTTCTACAAACTCCTTGCTTCCTTCCACCTCGAATCAACGTTGATAATAGCAGGCGGTCGTGCGTACAACGACACGTATATCCGCGGTCTAAGAATACACTGTCATCCAGTACCCTCCTCCGGTACACTCCTCCCCACCTCTCGTCATGATGGCGTCGACTGGGGGTAACCCAGGACAAAGGATAAAGGCAGCCGATGAGTTCCTCCCCCCTTCCCATCCTGCTCCCGCGCTTCGAATGTTATAACTTAGGTGAATCGAGAACGAAGATTTGCAAAGGGGTGTGGTGCGCGAATATCGAACATGCGCGAGTCGTGAAAGCGTTCATAGGTGGGAGCAAGGGTGTCCACCTGCACATGGATGATTCAGTCAAACGACACTGTGCGAGTAACGCGGAGAACTCACAAAGGCGAGTGATTCGCTCATGCAATAGTGCAGCTGCCACTGCCGCTGCCGCTCCCTGTGTCGTAATTGACAGGGACCTGCTCCTCCTCGGCGGGAACGGGAATAGCGATGTCGAAGAACGCGTCCATGATTCCTGAATTGTGAGGATGGAGGATGTCTTTGCGGTGACAAGGAGCGCACAAAGGCGTCGAGCGGTGAGTCTCGAAGGCTAGACCAGCGTTGGAACAGGATGAATCGCTGTCGTTCCTCACCGCATGTCTAGTATTTATGCACGCATGGGCTTGAGCGCAAAACAATAGGGGAGGCGCTCGCAGTGCGTAGATGACGATCCGGCACTGGGGTTTTTGCTTCCGCATCCGGCGAGAGCTTGCACGATCATTGGCTCCTTATTGTCCTGCCAGGCGAGGAGGCTTGCGACATTGTCAAGATGCATCGGCAGTTAAGCTTCAGATTTGCGTCAGCCGTCTTCCCGTCTACTAACACTATCAACTTCGGAAGCACTCTCCAGGATCCGAGGAGAGATGTCACTTGCAGCGGCGTACTCATCGTCCTCAATACGTTCGAAGAAGTGAATGCAGGGAGCGTAAGGCCCCTCTCGTCTGTTGCGTTGAGGTGGATATATGTATGTATAGTTCATAATTACACGATTGCTTCACCTTGCATATTAGGGTTCGCTTCAAGCCTCTTCAAGCCTCTCCAGTTTCAGACTCGGATGTTCAGCCACTGTCTCCTCCCGGGCCCGCAGCACATCGATGTCCTCCGCCCTGACACGCCACCACTGCAGCGAAACCTGCCCGGTTCCTTCTCCACGAGATCTTATTGTTATGCTCACGCCGGGTCTCGTCTCCAATCGCCTCTGATTGTCTCGTGGAAACGACCATACGATGCCATTGATCGAAAAGCGCCTCTTGCCTGTCTTGGACGTCGGGCCGGTTCGGAGCGCCGGCGATCAAAAAGTCGCTCCCAATCGATCTGGAGATCTGTTCGTCTGCGTTCTCGTGTCTGTCTGCATTTGGCAAGTTTTGTAACGCCACAAGCCTCTCGCAGAACCCGTTGGTTGGATTCCTCGCAACTCGTCCAGATTCAAAATTCTTCCTTCGAATATTACAACCCCACTCGCTCTGCACGATCAAGTGCAGTGTCGGCATCAGTGCTAGCCGTGGCAAGCCGTTGCCAATGACGCCCGTCCTTATTGTTTTGTGCATTGACGGTACAACGGCATTAGCGCACTAGAAGGTAAGCGAGATACATGCATGTGTCACGCAGACTATCTCTGAGCATTTGAGTTAGTTGCGCAATCAGATCTATTGCCACGCTCAGGTTTCTGTAACACGAGAGTTGGCTTCGCGTTGACTGGCATTGACGCGTCCATGCCCTAGTCTTGCCGGACATTGTATGAGGAGCTCCACTGCGTATGCCCTAGTGTGCGAACTGAGCTCCTTGCACGACGCGCCTCGGCCTTCTCGCTTCGTGAGCCAAAAATATCTGCACAAGTCGCGGCCTCTCTTCTCAGGCTATTGTTGCGCCTTCTGCGCAAAAGCTAGAAGCAGGTTGAATGTATCTGTGAGTGAGTGCATCTACCTATGTCACCGCTTCCTCGACCTGCTCACGACCTGGCTGCAACAGGTTACCCACTGCGCGGGATTTGAAGCGGCCGCCGTGAGGGGGCCATGCATGCTGAAGATATTAATCATCCACGCCAACTTAAGGTCCGGCTTCGGGGAACGTCGTCCGGTCCGTAATTTAATTGTGCATGCGTTTCAATACTGAATGTATCTCCCCGCTTTAGCGTCAAGTACGAGTCAAAGGGTCGGAATCGATGTGTGCCTGTAATCCCATCTGATGGGGACGTCGCACAGACAATAAGCTTCGGACGGTGCATGGGTACGAGTTTACTCTTTCTGGATTGGTAGTTTGAGTCTGTGAATGAACAGTCGGGCTTCCCGCACAGTCGCTGTACTTGTCATGCTACTAGTGCGTTGCTATTCACTTGATGGTGCTACTGTGGATGACCGACGACGCGCTAGCATTTCCAGGAACGCTCAGCATTGCGCGCCGACCCTGCCGTCAGCCGCACCTCCGACATCACGAAGTGCCTAGGTCGGCGAGCGGGCGTAGTCCACATGTTTCCATCGCTAGCGCATTGAGGGCCGCCGTACTACCCATTGTCCTCGAGTATGAAAGTGGGAGGTGACTCAGACAATTTGATTTGATTTCAAGACAGTTGCCATCGAGATACAGCGGCACAAGGCACAATTAAAGAGTACCAGCCCATGGATAAATAGTTGATAAATAGCTCGTGAAAGACAGTGCGCTAGCCTTGCTCGGGAGGACCGGAAAGACGCTATGCTTACTGAGCACACTTCGTCAATCACCAGACGTCTGAGACCAACGGCTTACATTATTTCAACCGGTCATTTTTGGCTCTCGTCATGTCGTATGGCCAACGGCATGTGAAGGTCTGCCCTTGCGAAGTTCGTCACGTTCGTCAAACGTGGATACTGAATAATCATGCCGTGGTCAATGCGTGTATCGGCACGGTCAGAGTAGATAGTCGGACTCAACAATATCAGGTACGGGCGAGCTAGAAACGCTCGAAACAAAGCATGCACCGAAGGCGAAGAAAAGGCCCAGGCACTTGAGATGCATGCCGTTTGTGAAGAAAGAGTAATAAATGAAAGTAGAGAAGGGGAAATATGTGCGGCGGTCACCCGCAGCGCGTCGCATTTATCACACTACAACTGAATGAGGTGATAATCCTGCGGGGGCGCTGCGTGTTCGGTCTCACTCGGCGGTCTTGTCTCTCGTAACGACGTTGTTGCAGTTCAGTGAGCTGTGGGCGCATCGCCTGCCGGCGGGGAGGCTGTGCTTACATTGGCAGATGTAATCCTCAAACGCCTTCAGATCGCGGAGCCTAAGGGGTGCAACGGAGGTATAACGCAGCTGAGTGAAACTGCGCCACTCTCGCAGTCGAAGATGGCAGATGCATTGCATGTAGCGTTGCAAGTACGCGATGTGCGCCGGGCCCCAGCGCTCACTGAAGGAAAGGAGGCGGCACTCAAGTGCTCGAGAAAGGAGTACTTACCTTTTCGTGCGGCCTCATTCACAACAGACCGACAGAGGGATAGATCGCTTTGGCAATCTCTTGACCGCGCAAGTCTATCGGGCGAAAAATTAGACAACGTGGAATTACAGCAGTGGAAGGGAGGGGTAGCATGGGCTCGACTTGCTAATGAACTGCGGGAATCGATATTGACTGTCCGGCCACCGTTGATCAGATGGACGATATATTGGAATCGTAACACGTCATACAATGGGACCTGCAGCATGGTTTCGAAAACCGGCGTGTTGCATCACAATTTGAAGCACTGAACCCAGCACTACGAAGAATGTCAGCCGTCTTCGCCGTTTCAACATCAGAAAGCAATCAAATCAAACACACCCTTCGACTCATAAAGGCGCACATCCTTTAGGATGAGGCAATCAACAGAGATGTTCATTGCAGCAGTTTGCGCCCCCGTGGCATGCCGCATCCTCGCCCCTCGTAATGACCTCGTTTAGGTCTTTTATCGTGTAGTTAGTCAAAGAACAGATTCTGGACCTGACGCCCCTGGGAATCAGAACGTCCGAAGCTCACCCATTATCGGCTTCGGCGAAGCCATGGCCATTGTCATGAAGGGGAGAACGACAGCAAAGAGGAGATGAATGCGCTGGAACTGCATTGTGAGCTAGCGGCTTGCTGGGTGACAATGATGATGAAACCGGCGTTCGCGTGCGCTTTATATACTTGCCATTTCTCGCAGCAGAGACAGACGAACGGCCAGCGTCTTGCGGCAAGAGTTACCCCCATGTCCCACTCGGTACATTCGCCTACTATCTATATGCATGAGTGTCCTCCTGGAAAGGGTAAAAATAGACATGTTGACAGAATTCACACTGTCAGTATGTCAATTTGCACCGCTTCGCGTTGGCCGCTGACGGCTTCGCAGTCGGATGCACCTAAGAGGCCGGCTCTTCATAAGCCATACGTAGTCCGACTCGAGAAAGGTGTTCATAAACTCATCACGCACATGTAGACATGATCAAGTCGCCAGCAATACCTTCCATCGCTTGTGGTATGGAAGAAAGACATCGCAGAGAGTGCTGCACAGTAGGCGCCGACCGATATGATGCTGTCCGAGCCTGTCCGGAGAAGTTGCCATCGCGCTGTATCAAAAGATTGAAGGCATGCATGATATGTGCCGCATGGTCAGGCAAGTTAAACTGTAATGACGGGCCCGGAGTTGCCCTGAGTCGACCGTGATGCGCCGCGATTCGCAGCAGCCTGGACCAGCAGTTGACAGGGTTGCACAACCGACTCAGCATTAAAAAGAGCGTACCTCAACGTCAACACGCACTCCCAATGTGCAAGATAGCTTTATGCACTTGTGCGTTCAGAGTCAAAAATCAACGTAAGTTACTCAGAGGAAGCAATACAGAAGGTCACCGTGACATAGCCGAGATCAGGTGACCTGCATGCTATTCACTACGCCTGCCATTTTAGGAGAAGTCCTTCCTCTGATCGTCTTCGTTCTCGACCGACGCGATTTTCACCCATACAAAAAGAAGTATGAGCAAACGTGGGGTAGTGGTAACCTGGGTCGTTGCCACCTGCAAAGGCATTATAAGCTGCTCTTGCATCGACCCGCCCCAAGCTCGATTCTCGGCGTTTGCAAAACACGTCCGAGTCATGCCTACACTTTTTGCTCGTCGGCCGTGCATACCGACAACGGTATTGATACGGAATCAACGTGACCAGTTCTATGATTCTGAGCGCATCATAAGGATTCTAGCAATCAGATTTGAGCATCTTCTTGGGATGATAATGTCTTGCTCACTCTGTAGTAGCTCGAAAACACTCAACGGGATACTAATTATACCGAAGCTGGACACTGCGGCCAGGGCATGCAAGTATCCTCAGCTGATCATTTAGAACAGCCGAAGCCGAAGGACGTGCCATCACCAGCAGCCGTCGACTTCAGCGTGTCCTCGTGTCCAGCTTTGCACAACTCCACGAATGCAGACAGGCACGAGAACGGTCAAAAGACTACACTCATCGTGGGCTCATATAATACTCGCAACGATGTTATTCTAATCAAGCTTATAACCTGGTCTTCTGTCCTCAGGTGCAGGTCTGCGCGCAGAGGTCGCAGTTCGCGCCCTCCGCGACTGCGCGACTGCCAGCGGAACGTCAGACAAGGATATCCTGAGGCACGACGGGTGAAGACACTGTCTACGTCTGCGTGGGGAGACTAAGCGGAGCAGCCAGTAGTAAGGCGTAAGATTTCGACAACTAACGGAGGGAGCGATGTCTCAATTCATTGAGCTAACGCCACAGCATGATGCCGCAAAATTCTCTAGTATCTTTCCTCTGTGGTTGTGGTTGATTAGAGAAGGACACGATGTGCTCTTGGCAAACTCTGAAAGCGGAGAGGGACGAAGACAAGGGTCCGACGTCGTTGCGCACGACGAAGAGGTGACGACAGGTATGTGCTGACCGTGTCACTACCGATCATTGTCAGTGATCCCTCGTGTTCCTAGCGCTGGAACGGTACAAGCAAGATATCCCTTACTCTGACCTAGTGCATGCGCTGTGGCCGTGACGCTTAGCCAGGTTCCACTCGCCCATGGCGCGTGCGTCAGCTTCAAAGGGGCGCTAGGACTTCGAAAGGCCATCTATTCAAGCTCGGTTCGCATCCTAGATTTCCCGCTTCGGGTGTCGCAGCGTCGTCACTGAACGTCTACACAGCATTTCAAACAAGCGTCCACAAAGGTGACACAGCGACCTCAGGAAACGAAGGAAGAACACCTGAAGGACAAATCGTGACTATGGCGTCCGCCGGACTGCCAGTAACAGTTGCAAGTGTCAACGGATCAGCCACGGTTCCCGTTCAAGACACCCAGTGGTCTATGACCGAGCACTAACATGCACTGGCAGTGGCAGTGATTACACCACTCCTGACGCTTTAGAGATTTGGCGGCCCGAGTCCTGGCAGGAAGGCTCCTGCTCCACCTCAGTCGCTTTGAGCGCAGCTCCTATCCGGACCATGCGCTGAGACCAGGCAAAGCGCGCGACGAGTAGGTCGGTGTCCCCGGGGCCGTCCTGCAGAAAGGGGCGCTGCTGCATTCATCGGGTACTCAGCGATCGAGGCTAGTTCTGTCATGAATTCGTCACAGAGCGGCCTCGGAACGGAACCACGACCCTACGAGTAGCATTACTACCCACCCCCTTCAAAATGGACGTTGCAAAGGACTAAGGACCAGGATGTTCTCGAACTGCAGTCGCGTCATCCCGGAAGTCATCGCAACATCGACATTACCGTCATCTTAGGTTTATGTATGTAGCCTCACAGAGTTCTGTTACGTCTCATACACGCACGATCCTCGTGTACATTCGTCAACGAAAGTGATGTATTGTCGGCAGATAACCTGGTACCTGGACACTCGAAGACAGCAGTAGCCAGCCTGCGCCTTTCATCGATGAGTCACACCCACACACAGTCCAATCATCACGGTCGTATATTGTTCGTCGTAAATGCAAGTCCTGGTCCGAATCCGTACGCCTAACCCCCTCCTCACAGCGCGCCGGCCCATGCCGGCAGCGGCGCGGCCCAACGCCGCGTCCCCAGAGTCCATCAGAGTGAATGTGGTAAAGTACAATGCAGAGTCGTGAACGAAGTGTGGATAAGTTATGCGTGTCGCCAATGCGCACAGCGCCATCTTGGTGTGTGCATGCAGCGAGAAGGGGCGAAACGGAGGGGGCGGCGAATCGCCGATGCAGCCGGGGGTAACCGTAGTCTCGCTCCTTTATCTGCACGTCAGCGGTGCCCGGCAAGGGTGCGGAGTGGCGACATACCTGTGAGCAGAGACGTTGAAGTGGGTGCCGAGCGCGGTGCTCAGGCGATCGTGCAGACGTAGCTGGCGTTCCCGTTAGTCCGGTCGTAGTTCGACGCACCTGGCTCGTCTCGGACTCCTCGGTCGGGAGCGGCGCAGCGATATCGAGGAGGAAAGTGAATGCGTCCATTGCGATGCGATGCGTCGAGGAGAGGGCGAGGGAGCCCTGCGAGGGGAAGGTGCGGATACCGAGGGGTGGGGTCGTGAAAGGTCCGAAAGACTTGCGGTGAGGCCTAAGCAGGGCCGCCCGGTATATATACGTGCTTAATTGTATCGTGGCGCGGTCCTCTGCAACGGCGCACAATAAGGAGCGTAGCGTGGCCGCAGGCGTTACCGCTTTGACAGACACGATCCGGACGTCGATGACTTGTACGCGTCCGGTTCCAATCTCGGAACCTGCGAAATACCAATGTCGCGTCTCGGTTAGCCATACGCGGACGCGTCATGAATCATGATCGCACACTCACCTTTGATCAAGGCACGCCGGAGAAGCTATTGTCTGCCCAGATCCCGATCCGTGTGGCGACCTGCGTCGGGCCTGATGCACTGAAACGGCAAGGTTGTCAAAGAGTGGTGGTGGACTGCCAGCGTCCGTTAGTCTGAGTAGCTCGTTACGTCGACTGGACGACACGGTGTTACTTATCGGCCGCTGAGCCACTTCCGTGGGCGCCGAGATGTCTCGAGGATGACACGGTCGCTGCATCAAGCTATTGTCCGCCCAACGAGTCAAGGGTACCATTAGGATACCATCATGTCGCGATCGGTCAACTAGCGCGGATGGGAGTTAAACGTTATACCATCTGTGCAGCAACGATCCGCCCAGAGACATTTCCGTCTGACTCTATTGAGCATCGACGGCAGTCTCGTCTACGATTAGGCGGGTCCTTGTCGGTGCGACGCAGGCACGTTGCGCTCGATGCGGATGCATATAGTCGAGTCCCGACATATCCGGCCTGCTTTATTGTTACAGCACGCGGTCACGTGCACGGTGTAACAGCGGCGCCTCCAATGCAGATACGCGAATTGAGTCAAGATGCCCGCATTCGGCGGCGCGTGGAAAGGCCTTTGACTTCCTCATTGTTCTTGAGAGCGCCGTATAGTAAGTCTCGGCGCGGGAAATAAGATACCGATATGATCGCGAACATACGAAGATATGCATGTGAGAGGTGTCCGGCGTGCCTCCCGCGGAAGGTACTTACCTCTACCATGACAGCTGGTCGAACTGGAAGGTCGTCGTCAATATCCGAAAGTAGACTCAAGAAATGAATTAACCGACCCCGTGTATGCAACCACCACGGAAGACTTCGTGCGCACTTCACATTCGCATTTATGAGCCATGTATATTGATGTACGCAGTAACGTACACGTGGCCTGCCTCTACGACGGACCAGAGCTGAAAATCTGTGACTGCTCGACCCACTTGTAGGTGCGAACGCCCCGGCAACATGTACTGCTAACTACCCGCTTGTCAGTGCTACGCTAGGCAACCTTCAACTTCACGTACTGACCTTCAACGTTTGTCTTCTGTGGCTTGTCCTCACAGGCCTACTCTGTTTGACATAGGCGTCAGCCTCTACATGAACGCGTAGAAGGCGTTCAGTCTGCTTCTAAGCCTTCGTTGTCCTTCTCACCTGTCAGTTCCACATGCCATCTTATCACCGCCTTCGTTTCCGACTCGGACGTGTGCACTTGCGCTAATCGATGTCGTTTCAGGATGGCTGCCTTCGGGACTTCCTGTATGCAACAAAGCAGCACGGAACGCCCGTGTTCGCGGACATTGCAGGCCATATGATACACTCGAGGATCATTCAATGGAGCTTGAGCGTCGGAGAGCGTCGGATATACCGAATTTGGCGACGAAAGCAGACCTAGAGGCGTGCCCTCGACGGGGCGACACAGAAAGCCATGATGAGCAGGGCAGTGGCCGTGAGCGAGGAGAGGAAGCTGTATCAAGTACATATGGTTCACAATCAAGGGGGACACTGAAAAACGAGGGGGCGGGATGGTTGCCCTGCCAATTTGAGCGAAGCGTCGGCTATACCCGAGCCCCGGGGCTGCAGCGCCTTGTCCGCTCGCCGTGTCTCACCTCAAGCCCGCAAGTCCTCGTCGCCGTGCACGACGACGAACAGGGCCTCAGCATCGCGGCCCTTGACTTCACGACCGGTATACATCCACGGCTCGCATCGGCTTCCTCGCTTACATTCGACACCGGCCTCGCCCTCAATCCACAGGCGGCGCCGTCCCTTTCTCAGGAGTCTCTTGATCAATGGCCTTCAACCAGGTCACCGCGACATCCTTGACCCCATCGCGGCCTGCACCGGCTGCGCCTATGCGCCGCGGGCCCGACGTCGGCAACGCACTCGCTTCATCCGGCTACGCCTCCTCGTTTTCTGTAGGCATGTCCTCGCCATCTGGCTCATCATACGCTCCATCCTACTCGGGCATCGGCGCATCACCAATTCGCAACACTGACATGTACTCGGGCTCGGAGGTCGTCAGGGCTGGGATGGTAGCGGTGAAGGAAGACGGGATCGTCAGCTGGCTTTGGCGGCCAAAGTGGTTGGTGTTGAGGGAGGGCACGCTGTCTATGCACAAGAGCGAGGTGAGTCTTCACTCGCGATTATCGAGTTGACCACTGCGGAGATTACTGTGCCCACGCGGCATCCCCACGTTGAATCCTTGCGTCGAAGAGGTGCACCCAGACCCTTCCAGTAACAGGCTTGTCGCGTCAGTCGACGACCTGACCTGGCCTGCACCAGTCCCTACGATCTCTCCAGATGGGGGGATTGGACTGTAACTGGTCGCTTTCCCCGCCTAGTAAGGATTCCAACCTTCGCTCATGGCGATGGCGTGGGGGCTCCCTACCTGACTAATGACCGGGCGACCGGTGCCACACGCAGGGTCTTCAGGGCACAGTCTAGCGCAACGCCGATGTATCAGTCCATCGCCTCGTCTGGCAGCACTCTGCGCTGTTATGCGTCTCGGAGTCCCGTCGTCGTTGATCAGCTCGTGTTTTCTTGCGGACGATGCGGGTCACCTGTCTCAGTACACTTGGGAAGTCACCCATCCACATCAAGCGTTGTTCCGCGCGACTGCCGTTCTGATCCCCTCCAGCCTTGCGCGGGGTCAGAAAAGAAGTCATACTTTCGACTGTCGAATGTCTATCATGTCAATGTAGCGCGCGATCCCACTGATCGTCAGACGTTGCTGGGGCTGTGCTTCATCTGAGGCTTCTGCGCATGTGTAGACGCGGACCATGAGCGAGCTTTCGCCAGTGGCGTGACTGATCAAGCTTTCTTACTATTGCTTGCACATGCTGCGCCTTCGTCGTCTGTCATTGCTTGACCAGCTTACTGATGTTGTGTACAGACGTCTCCACAACATCAATACCTCATCCCAATATCTGAAATTGCCAACATCGAGCGGACAGACCTCAAGCCATATTGCCTCCTGCTCGAGACGAAAGACAAGCGGTGGTTCCTGTCGTTGAAGAGCGACGAGGAGCTCTACGGCTGGCAAGATGACATCTATTCTCGAAGTCCAATGGCAGGCGTCAGTAACCCGACGAACTTCGTCCACAAGGTCCATGTCGGTTTCGATCCTGTGTCCGGAGCGTTCACGGTGGGTAAATTCGAACCTGTCTCGCCAGCATTCGACTGAAGTGTATCAGGGTCTACCGGAAGCCTGGAGCAAACTACTCACGAAGTCCGCTATTACACGAGAAGACTATGCGAGAGATCCACAGGCCGTGCTCGATGTCCTTGAATTCTATACCGACCACCAGAAGCGGGAGATGGAGGAGTTGGGAGTGGGTTATGGTCCATCTCTGTCGCCTTCAGGCCCCTCTAGTGCAAGCAGCATGAGCAACTCAAGCCTCTCACCGTACTCCGACTCCTCTAGCGCACCCCGTTTCAATGCTGGCACTGGCTTTGGCGGTGCAGGCATGGGCAAGATTTCCCCTTTGGAGGGGCGGCCCTCCATATCGCGACAGGACTCCGCACCTACAGGCTTGAACGGTACCGATACCGTCTCAAGCACCCCCGCCGCGCTCGCACGCGCTGCTGAGCTCGTCAACGGCTCGGCAGTGCAGCACGCAAACACCATCTCCGCCGCCCAGACGAACCAGGGCATGCGCCCCGGCCTCGCGCAGGGCATGTCCCCCGGCTCGCTCACACCATCGCGCCCGCTCCCGCTCGCCCACTCTCGCCAACCGTGCTGCACCCCCCGCGCCGAAGTCCACGCTCCCCGAGCACACGCCGACCTCCGCCGACCTCCGCGCGCGTGCGAAGGCGCAGGGCCCGCATGGCGGCGATGGGCAAGTGTCGAAGCCACCGGGGCTGAACGGCGAGGCGCGGGCTGAGCAGGATAAGCGGCCGCAGATGGTGCCGAGCAAGACATCTCCTGCGACTAGCCAGCCGGCGTCGCAGCCCGTTAACGGCGCGCTGGCGCGACGGTCGGGCCGCCACCGGTCAAGCCCCTGCAGCCCAAGAAACCCAACGTCCCGGCGAAGGACAAGGAGGGCCCCTCTTTGACTATCACTGGGGCTGACGAGGAGAAGGATAAGAAGGACGGCGGCGTGGCGGCAGCGCAGCCGCGCTGGAGAAGCCGAAGGAGAAGGAGAAGCGGATAAGCACGATGAACGAGGCGCAGATCATGGAGAAGCTGCGCAACGTGGTGAGCCAGACAACCCGAAGTCGTTGTACAGCAAGATTCGCAAGGTCGGCCAAGGGTAAGTCTGCGCTGGCGTGAGAGTGCAGGTTGGCTATGTACGAGCGTAGTGCATCGGGACACGTCTATGTCGCGAAGACGCTTGCGACGGGCAAGATGGTTGCTATTAAGGAGATGGACCTGTCGAACCAGCCACGCAAGGAGCTCATCGTCAACGAGATCTTGGTCATGAAGGAGTCCCAGCATCCAAACATAGTCAACTTCCTCGAGTCGTACCTTGTCAAGAACAACGAGCTCTGGGTCGTCATGGAGTACATGGAGGGTGGTGCGCTGACGGATATCATCGAGAACAACACACTCGAGGAGGATCAGATCGCGAGTATCTCTTTTGAGGTGGGCACCCTTTTACTATCACCCTGTGGCTCAGTTGATTGATGACTGTGCCTAGACTTGCAAGGGCCTCGGGCATTTGCACAGCCAGAGCATCATCCATCGCGACATAAAGTCCGACAACGTGCTCCTGGACGCACAAGGCCATGTCAAGATCAGTGCGTCCTCTAATAATAGCTCTGTATTCGAGTTGTGCTGATTCTCCGTCACAGCCGACTTCGGTTTCTGCGCGAAACTCACTGACCAGAAGTCGAAGCGTGCGACGATGGTGGGCACACCGTACTGGATGGCACCGGAGGTCGTCAAGCAGAAGGAATACGGCGCCAAGGTGGACATCTGGTCCCTCGGTATCATGGCTATCGAGATGATCGAAAACGAGCCACCATACCTCGATGAGGAGCCGCTGAAGGCTCTGTATCTCATCGCAACGAACGGCACGCCGACGCTGAAGAAGCCGGAGGCGCTCAGTCGGGAGCTCAAGGGCTTCTTGAGCGTATGTCTTTGCGTGGACGTCAAGAGCAGGGCAACAGCGGACGAGCTCCTGGAGGTGAGCATCTCGATTTTGCCGCTGGTGCATTCTCGTCTGACGTTGCACACAGCATGACTTCCTGAAGAAAGCATGTGCGTTGTCGGGCCTCGCACCTCTGCTGCGGTTCAGGAATAAGCAAGCATCGTGATTTAGCTGTACTATAGCCCACACGCGTGCGCGAGGCTCCGCGGTCTGTACCCTTACCCTCTCATCGCTCGCTGCGCCACCCTTGTATCCCTGTCGCCCATGATCTCCCGCCCCGTTATCTATTCTTCACGCTCACATCAATCTCACGATTTTTCTATGTTCTCTCGCCTGGCTCGCATTGGAAAACCCCGTACTGTATTCTTGTCTGCTAGACGAATAGTGCGAGTCGCGTCATGTCTTCACTTGGTACGTATGCATACGGTATGCGGTGTATGTATATGAGTGGAACGCATCGGTTCTATGCATGGATACCCTTGGAACTCTGATCATGAAGCTCACGGCGAGCCGTCCTGTTGGCGTCGTGGTCGTACAGTGGATCTATTTCATACACATTGTAACATACATACATTGCTCAGTAACTACAGTGAGTTGAACGGTTGCATAGGAATAAGTACGGTGAAGGATCAACATATGGGCCATGGTGCGGTTCAGTACGCATAAGTCTCGCCCTCCGTAGGGTATGCATGGTGTCATTAGGGAGTCCATTCAGCTAGCGACATAACGGGCATGGTCGATCGGTCAGTCAGTCATCCACATCTCAGAATTTGCCCGTGACGAGCACGCGATAGAGCGATTGCGCCTCCTCGAAGCGTGCGTTGCGCAAAGTGAAGTGCGCCATCTCTGCCGAGTCCGCGTCCGAGGCGGGGTCGATGATCGAGAACTTGATGAGGGAGGCGAAGAACCGGCACAGCTACATAGGTGGTTTGTGGAAACGTCCGTTAGCGTCTGCGTGCTAGGGTGGATAGGTGACGTGACGTACGTTCTGCACGCCCTTGCCGAAGCGGTCGTCGCTCACCTCCCCCGCGCGCTCGTCCTCCTCCGCCCTATCCAGCCAGGTGATGCACGAGTGGAGGAACCAGCCGAGCACCTCCGCGCGCACCAGGTCCGCGACGGTCGTCTTCCCCCCTGTGGTGATGTCCAGCACGGTCGTAGGATCGCGCAGGAGCCGCCCAATGAGATCAAAGGAGGGCAAGATCGGCGGGAGGTGCTTCAAGGCTTCGAGATACAAGACAGGATCTTGGTTGTTAGTGGCGGCAGACGAGAGAAGGGCGGCAAACAGAGGGTGTGCGATCGAAGGGTTATAGGAGATCAGTGAAGGTAGGTCCATGGCGGTGATAACCGGTGCAGAGGTCAGTTGCGGGAGGACCGGGAGCAGGACACGTTGTTCCGATAAAGTCAAGACGCGATCGCGCGCCGCCAGTAACAGAGTCATCGCGTCCGACAGTCGCTGCCTCTCCGCATCCTGTTCCGGCGTGACCTGCGACTCAGCGCTGGCGGCGCCATTCCTAGTTACGGCACCAGTCGATCAACGGTCAGCAGGGGTGTCAATGCCGACATGGCGGTCTGAGGGCCTACAGATCAAATCGCGCGCGTTCCGCCTCGTCTTCAAGAGCCAAGTTTGCCGCCCTTAGCTTCGGGGGCAGCGGCGAGCGCGCCAAGGTGGACGGCGAGAACGGACCGATCTAATGGAACGTCGGCACCGCCATTGGGGATACGAGAAGGTGCGCCCGACGTACATCACTGCCATCTCCCCTGAGGATCTTCCACAGCACCCACACTAGTTGTTCGGTCTCGCTCACGCCGCCCTGCGCCGCGACGTGGATGGACGCCTCGCGCTCCTTGACGAACGTCGCACGGAGCGCGGATTGAAAGGGATTGATGGCGATAGAGTGCGGCGCATAGAGCGAGTAGAGGATGTACGAGACGAGGATCCGTTGCGCGGGCTTGTAGATCAACCAGGATTCGGAATGATTAGCGTGGTTGGGTCGTGATGACTCTGGCGAGCGTACCTCTGCAGGAGCGTACAGCAACGGCAGCAGCACGTCCAACGCGACCTGGAACCGGCTCATCGGGGCCACGAGCTGCGTGAAGCCCTGCGTAGCCGTCGAGCATGGCAGCGAGTACGCCTTCGAGAGTAGATGGCCCACCGAGGCCCGTGCCAGGTCTGGCGGAGCCTGCTTCATGGCGAAGGGAGGCGCATAGATCGTGGAGGTAGCAGTCTGCATCATGAGCGCATCATCGTCCGTCTAGCGGTGGTCGTCGTGGACAATGGCGAGCAGACCTTCGCCGACGCCGCGTTCACAGACAACACATGGGCGTCTGATTCCCATATGCGGTAATAGCAATCGACTCTGCTTTATGTACTTACGCACGTATTTACTCACACAACTTTGGATTGTACCACAGCGTCGAAAAGTTACAGAACAATGACGAAAGGAGGACTGTAAGCAGAGTAGACCAGTAGTTCGCTGGGATATGTAATAGGAAGTCGCACTACTTGGTGGAACCGATCCGGAAGTCGAGAAGGCCTTGAAGATGATTCATGAAGCATCTTCCATCTCGTATGGCTGAAAGCCTCAACCTTTTCATTTCATATGAAGCATGGCATGTACTCAATGTGATGCACATGGGTTCTGCGGTCAAAAGTCCTAGAACACCATGATACTAGTAGCAACTCGGTACTCGGACCAGGACGGCGTTACGACCACAGCCATGACTCGGAGCTCTTCAGGCTGACCGTGCGGTCAATGAGCGGTCGCCAGTGTTGGTGAATAGAAGACGGAGAACTGGGCCGACCACTGGAGGTCTATACAGACCCACCGATACGCAGTTATAGGGAAAACACAAGAAAATACTTGACAACGTCAAAACGGAGCAGCACTACAAGTGTGCAGAACCCGGTGCAACAGCAAATCAAACTCACAACCTTTAGGAGTACGCGTCCACCTAGAACTTGTTTTATGTTGTCGATGTGTTGAAGCAGACCACACAGGTTTTCCGAGCCGACGAAGAACAAGAATGAGAGGATAATGTATACGGTGGGAACGGAGTATGTTCTACTTGTTCTTTGTTGCACTAGATTTCTCGTGAGCGACACCGCCAGGTCAATAGATACAGCACAACGCACCGGAACGTGAACCTCTTCCTCGTCGCCGAGAATTCACCCAGCTTGTGCCCCACCATGTCCTGCGTGACGAGCACCGGAATGTACTCTTTCCCGTTATGAACGAGGAACCTCAGTCTATCGCTTGGTGGTCAGCATGCCTCTGCACGTACTAGGAGCATCGAACGTACCCGACGAAGTTCGGTAGGATGGTACATGAGCGAGCCTGTGTCTTGATGGGAATGTTGTTCTCCAGAGCCAGCCGCAGGTTAGGGAACGCCACGAAGAACGGACCTAGAGCGGAGCTCATGAAAACGTTCATCGAAGATTCATGCGAATAGCTCACCTTTCCATGCTGACCGGCCGCCCTGCACCACCGCCGTCGCAAACATCGCTCAAGAAACGACCTGTATGCAACAAGCTGTTGAGCGCCCGTCCCCTCCGGTACGGCCACGTGGATACAACTTTAGCCGCGCGGAGTCGCGGCGCTGTGGCGCTTCCGTTTCCTGCTGCTTGCACCGAAGTTCGATGCACAGTTCATATGTCCCCCTTTATCGGTATTTGTCTCACAATATTGTGAGATTTGATATCTGTTTCAGGAAGACTGAAACAAAATCAGAAGCTGGCTGTACGCCCTCGGAGGAACTTGAGTAAGTATCACGAATAATGTTGACTTGAACAGCCATACGGCCTACTAAGCTACTCCCCATCTAGTGTGCAGTGTGATATACACTATAGTACATCACAGACACTAATCAAGCAAGATTATACCCTTTCATCGTTGATCAGATACTTACGCTCTCAGTGAGTGCTGTATTTACGATCCGCTCATGACGTCATGACAAGTCGGCCAGACGTTGTCGCGCAATATCTGCTCCAGGACGCGCGTGAGGCCCAGTGTGTGGTGTAGCGTACGTGCCAACAAACGATGACAAGTACTCCGCATTACCAACGCTGTGAGTTGCTCACAACACCAGTCAATGATCACATAGCTGACGATGAGTAGGGCAACGGCGCGGAGTATTGACATACCCTTTACGCGCCCCTGCTGGCAAAATCATCCTGCACACCACCTACCTGTGGACGTGGGTACTCGTCCCATTGTCTCCTCCGTGACACGCCACTTCACGTCAGTGGTGCCAGACATATGATCTAGGTCCCTGCAGCCACAAGCGATATATAAAGGGCGCAGAACGCGACGAACGGCTTCTCACCAAGCACTTCACGACCCAACTGCATCTTCACGACCCCGACTATCTATTGACGACTCTATTCAATCACCATCACAACTCTCACCATGTCCAACGATAACACCAACAACAACGGCCCCAAGTATGTTCTGTGCCTCCATCCGAATCATCATCTCGTAACTGACAACGATTTTCCACTCCTTGTAGCAAGACCACCGGCCAGCTGCACTCCCTGAAGGGAACTGCCGTCGAAGCCGTCGGTAACCTCACCGGTGCGACGTCGTGGCAACAGTCTGGCCGCGACGAGCACGCCAGGGGCGAGGGCGAGTACCAAGCTGCCCAGGCCGAGGGCTACGTCGAGGGCACCAAAGACCGCGTCGGCGGCCGCAAGGACGCCGTCGTCGGCGCTGTCACCGGCGATCGCCAACAAGAGACGACTGGTGAGTGGGACTTGATGCTGCTTACACGCGGGATGCTGATCGGTTGGTCCACATAGGCAACGTCCGTCGTGACAAGGGCTCGGTTCAGCAGGACATCAACCGACCGTCGTCCACTAACTGAGCGGTCACGGGAAGATACCCTAGTTTAATCTCGTCGTAATGGCAGTGTATCGATAATGTCGGTGGATGTTGGATAATATAGACATCATGCCATGAAGTATTCAACAACCTGATACGTGTGAAACTCGTGATTCTACATGTTTGGGGTAAATTGCACGGCCGCGGCGAGTCGTATCGAACGATGTTCAGCGAAGCGCAGTCTTCTATCTAGTCCTACACTTCAGTTTTGAGTGGAAGTTCGGAAGAGTGGAACGAAGGTTTAGTAATACGGTGGAAGGACACGTTAGTAAAAACTACGTTACTTTGGACTTGCATGCATGTCGCGATCCCGTGACCGTGTTTACAACCACCGATCTTCGCGGATGATCCCGAAGCAGGCAGTCGACGCGCCTCGCTCTCTTCGTCGAGGTGCCCCATGCATACAAGTGAGTCTTCTATGACATGACGCGTCAAATGTATGGCTTGTGGTCCATTGCTTTGATCTATCCGCCCTCCACGAAGGGCATTCAAGGCCGTACCCACGGGCAACTCAACGACTTGGGCTGTGTATATCCGCATGTCGACAGACACGAACGCCTCATCAGGTTCTCAATCCTCCTCTCGCGTCCAGCTGACTCCAGCTAGGCTCTTATCTATGACGCTGGCCATGACATGGAATCTCAACGTCTTGAAGTTGATACCTCCGGTAAGTGTTCGTTGATGGCCGTTCTGCATGCCGCCGTGCTCACCCTCGGTCATCTCCGTCTATGACAGCTGTGATCACTTGATGCACACACGTTCGGTATGTGCCATGCCTATTGGAATCACTGACCGCCAGGAGGTCTTAATGTATCATGAGTGTCAACGTGGCTGCGTTCGTCGTTACCGCTGGTGATCGCCTCTCCGTGTCTTAGCGCACACCCGCAAGACCCGGAAGCGTCAAAGACAGCCAGGCGCGTGGAAGCGCCCCATCAGCATTGTGCCGCTGATAAGCCTCGAAACCAAACCATCGGGGACCCTGTCCAGGTTGTACACGGAGGACGTGGGGCACATCGTCCGTCACGCTCGAAGTGTCATACTCCTATCAGGCTCTCAATCTAATGTCCCAGACCGCGTCGTCCATCATGTGGACGACCGCTATCTCCCCAGAAGCCCATGCTGACACTACCGCGTGCCCGAAGCAGGATGTCCCAAGGCAGATGTCGAGTCAAGTTCAAGCCCACCCGAGACTCGAGGGCCAGCACCTCGGCGGCATTGGCAGAGCGTCTCTTCAGTCCCATAAGCATATAAGAAACTCAGCAGGTCGCCGTGAGTCCTCAGTCACCTCGACCTCTCGACAACCATGCAGTTCAAGAACCTCGGTCTCCTCGTCGCCGTCATCCTCCCGTTCCTCACCGTGGCCGTAGCGAATCCCGCGCCTGCCATCGGCTCGTACTACTACATGGGTGAGTAGACTGCTCCGTGATCCCCGCCCATCGTGCAAGTTCTCATTGATTGTTAGACTATGAGGAGGACGTCCCCGCCAGCCAGCCCACTGCTCGCGCCATCTGATCGCTTGAAGGGCGCGATGCCATATTGTTTCAGGAATACGCAGATTCGAACGTATATACAATGACACCGATAGAGGTAGGCTTACACGCTTCGATGGCTGTAGGAGCATAGAGGATGACGGTGCGATTGGCAGACCTCAATTCGTTCCTCACGGGTTCTACGTCTATGTAGTCCATGACGTGTGTTGCGCTGTGTAAATCTAGAGAATTAAGTGACGATTAGGATGTGAATGCAGCTTGTATTGACGAGCTAGTCTACTAGTACATCTTGACTGTCAAGCAGCCGCCAATGGGCCTAGCTCTCGATGTTAAGATTCCATGAAAAACGCGAGCGAAGCTACGGAGTGATGTGCTACATCTCACGCCGTCAATCTAATGGCTATGCAGCGGAATAGTACGCAGAGTACGGAGTTGTCCTCTCGAGCCGGAGTGAACGAAGCCAGGAGGCACTGCCACACGGGAGTTCCGTTGCCCCTATCGCAGGTGAGCAGACGCTTTCGTGCAGCGTGTCCTGCCCGCTGGTGCCGAGACTCGCTGATTCATATTCTGTGCACCAACAGGGGCTCCGGCTTTGTCACTCTCAACTTTGTGTATGAGTATAGGAACCGGCGGCCACTTGAAGCAGTGCAATCTTCCAGTTCACCGGCTTCCGGAAGCAAGGGTCAATGCCGGCGGGACACCTCGTTATTGTTGTCACTGCCCGCCTCCTATGTCGGAATGTGGCCTCCGAGCAGCGAGCGGATCCAGAAATAGCCGTGGGCCATCCTGTCAGCCATCGAGTGACCGGATTGAATAAGATCCGATCGAGGAAAGTACCTAGATCTCGATGTTGGCTTTGACCTGTTCAACACTCTGAGTCAGGATTATCCTCGTCAAGCAAGAGTGGCTGTGTGGCCCAGTGTGTGGCCCCGCCACAACCACGGTAAAGGCGAAGGCGAGTGTGTGTCTTATTGTCTTTCAAAAGGTCTGCAGGGATGCATAAATACGCAGTTGAAAGGCCCTGAGCTACTAGCGAACCCGTCAGCACGACAATCTCGCTAACCTTCGACCTTCGAGATTCACTCTTACCGCTTTCTTCGCTCGAATGGACGCGTTCTTCACCATCGCCGAGCCGGTCCCTGCCTCTGTTGAAACCGAGGGCGCCGACAAGGTGCCTGCCGATTACGACACTAGCAACGGCAACGGCGGCTACAGCTGCGTCGTCGCTTGAGGCTTCAGCGGTAGGTGAACAGCGATGTCACATATTCAGCAAGCAAATAATGCGAAGTTATGCCATACAGGTGGATTGAGATGATTGTCAATCTGCGCAATAGACGAAAGAGGTCTTTTTGAGGTTCCTGGGTGTTGCGATAGCGGGGAGTGGCAAGAAGTCCTGAGGGTAGAAGGGGGTGAAGGTGGTTTAGACTCGGAGAGAGGATGATTCACCGATCAAACGTGTTAAAATCCGCCTTTGTTATTCAATCATCAGCCCATTTCCCCGGGCCCTTCAACAGTGCGTCGCGTTGCCGGCTCAGGCTGCGTCTTCGGAGAGCGACTCGGAAACTGGAGTTTTGTATTTGAACATTTGCCTCATCTACCGACGGTACAGTGAGTACCAATATGCAATATCATGACATGTAAGATGTGCAGGGAATTCACTTTGCTAGTCGTCGGATGGAGCTACCAGTGGGAGTCGCCGGACGTAGTGACGGACCAACTTTGATGTGGCGATGTCTGGTAAGAACACAATCTCGATCGAGCTCACACGTGATTGACGTGCACGGATCTCAAAAATGGTACGTATTGGACAAAGCCCTCCTCTCTCCCTCCGGTCGGAGTCGGGGAGTATAGATGCACGTGTTCGTGTCGATCGGCGATCGCTCCGGTCGAGGAAGTCATGCGCGATTTCACTCTGTCCACCATGTCCTCCCAAGACCCGGTCGCGCATGATGTCCTCTTCATCGACTCGCTCTCCATCGCACCAACAATTGGGCGCGACTGGTGGGGACGTGTACGCCCGCAGCCTCTGTTTATCACTGTCCAACTCTACCTCCAACCCGGGTATCTCGACAAGGCTGGTGCTTCGGATGACGTCCGTGACTCAGTTCACTATGGCCAGCTCTGCAAGAGCGTCCTGAACCTAGCTTACGGTCCTGATGCACAAGTATTTGATGGGCCAAGGGATCTGGCACGGGCGGTGGTGAAGACCGCGTTCGCCCTCACCGGTGCAGTCATCGTCCAGCGCGCAGCAGTTGCCATCAAGTCCGAGAAACTGATCCCGCTCGCTGGAGAGTTCCTCTTGGAGATATCGACATCGTACAGGCAGGAGGTTATTGGAGGCACAGAGAGCGTCCGTGTCACAATCAAGAACCTCGTGCTGTCCACTATCATTGGAGTGAATCCGCCCGAGCGCGAAGCGAAGCAGAGAGTTGTCGTCACTATCATTGTGCACGAGAAGTCTGGTCATGGTGCTCCGGTTGATTATGCCGCGCTAACAACCTTGCTTAACAATGTAATTCAACTCACTACTCTACAGTTGCGAGGACAGGTTAACTCAGTCATTCCTTAGGACATCGGGGCGACTTCATATCTCACCCTCGAGAAGTTCGTCCTGGAGATCATCCGCATCATCTGTCTGTTCTCGGAGACCATAGACGTTGTTACGGTCAAGGCAGAGAAGCCAAGCGCTCTGTCCTTCGCTCAAGCCGCCGGCGTACAGATGACCAGGTCGCGATCTGCGTTTCTTCAATAACACGGTGAGCCTTCCGGCGCCTGTGATTCGTAGTAAATCATGACAACAACATTCATTCGTTCTAGAGGTCAGCGAGTGATGAGTCACTGATGACTTGTAGGGAAGGGAGCCGTCAGTCAGCATTGCTGGAGTAAACCATAAATCGTAGAACGCTTACCACCGCATTTGCCGGAGGCCCAAGCCCTTCCCGAGCTCCCTCAGTCTCTGGAAGAGTTGTACGATGCATGCTGCATGCACAACACGCTCAATGTATCATAGTATCAGAATGTATTGGTGCCTATTGTATATGATGCGTGGTAACGTCCGCCACGATGCTACACGATTTCCACTGGATGCTACACAGGACGGTGCGCAAGAGTACTTGCCATCTAAGAACGGTACACAAAATCTCCTACAAATATTGTTGCTACAGGACGTTTCATTGCTTCTTCAAAATTCGAGTTCTTCGTGTTTCGCCGACTTGCATGCGTCTCCCCGCCCCGAGTTGTACGCTCACTTCGCCTCAGCGAACCTTCCGAGGACGCTCAGCACCTGCTCTGACTCCAACTTCCACTTTGCGTCGGTGCCCTTGCTGCCTATGCTCGCAGTCTCCGCATTCTCGAGCTCGTTCAGTCGCCGCATCAGCTTCTGGTCCTTGCCGACGGCCAACACGAACCCGAAGTCGGACACGCTCTCCGGCTCTGTTGCCTCAGGCGCCAGCCACGCCGCGCGGCTGGCCAGCGCGGAGTGCGCGGGGCCGCCGGGTGACAGGATCGCGCCAACTGCGGTCGAGCGCGAGATGTTGTTGGGGAGGACGAGGAAGGAGTTCGCGCCTGGGATGATGCGCAGACCGTATCGCTCGCCGAGACTGTCGAAGATGTGGTTCTGCGCCTCCCCGGCTTGGCGACGAGCCCACTGGCGGTCGGTCTGCGGCTCATCGGGGTCGGTCCAATAGCGCCAGACGACAGACGCTTCTCGCTCCTCGACGAAGGAGCCCGGAGTGCGCTCCGTGAACTACATCGTGGCTGTCAGTGGACGCGGCAGTGGAATACTACCGGCAGACTCACGTAGTTGAGGATCTCTAAGCATGGTGCCTTCCACGTCAAGTTGAAGTTCGCAACCATGTTAACCCAGGTCGGCTCGCCACCGCGCGTAGGACGCGTCCTGATGTAGCACCCATTCTCCGCACTACCGTATCAGCACGTTAGCATCCTGAAGCTCTACACCGACGACGGGTACGTACACTATGCCAATCTTGGGCACCATCTCCGCGACAATGTCGAGCATGCCCTTGACAGGCAAGCCACTCAACAACCAAACCTCATTTCTGGGGTCCTCCGCAAGCCTGTTGAGCACGTCAATCGCCTCCTTCGGCGGGTTGAACTCCGCCCTCCCCAGCCTGCGCATATCGCGGATCCACATCGTGCCCTCGAAGTCAATGAGGAGCAGCCGCTTCTCGCTGTGGCGGTAGCGTGGCACCAGGAGCGAGACGTCGAGTGAGGCGACCTCAGCGGCGTCGCCCTGCAAGTGCTCGATGTTCGCGCGGAGGCAGCGTACGAGGAAGGAGGTGACGAAGGCTTGTGCGGATTGGGTGACGACGTGGTTGTGCAGGTCTTCCCAGCGGGAGGTCGCTTCCTCGTCGCTCATCGTCAATGCCTGTAAGGGGGATCAGGAGCCAGTCCACGCGGACTAAAGGGTGCGCGTACCTGGTGGATCGCCTTCGCCGTCATCCGTTTGTCCCATGGGTTGATAGGGATGCACGATCGAAATCCACTGTAGCTGTATGAACCAGTGAACTGCAACCTGACTTGAGCACCAGAATCCACTCTGACCATATGAAGGGTCATACTTCACTGAGGATCAACGGCCGATGCCTCTGTTCCTGACACTCCACAAACTCATGCGTCCTTAGCGCCATGCCCTCGCGCAGAGATGTCACCATGAACGCGTCTGCGACGGTGAGCAGCGCGAGATACTGGCTGAACGTCAGATCCTGCGTGTGCAGGAAGACGACAGGCTGGTACGTGAGTGTCGAGAAGCGCGAGTTGAGATGGGAGACGACGTCCGCGACGCCGCCCTGCATCTCGTTCTCCTCCGTGGTCTGCAGCGCGACCTGGATGAGCACAACCTTGCCCTGAAACTCCGGATACTTGTCCAGGAAGGTCTCGAAGGCTTGGATCTTCTGCCGAACACCCTGCATACGAGCAGATGTCAGTGGGTTCAGTGTGGTTAGGGGAAGTCGAACCGACTTGGATGTTGTCGAGCTTATCGCGACCGACGATGAGCGTCATGCCAGCATACCGCTGTCGCAGCGAATTGACCCACTCCGCAACCTCGGGATTGCGCCTGTGATGACTCAGCTACGAAGCGGGACTGAACAAAACACTCGACTCACTTTTCCTGTCTGAGGTGCCCGACATCAATGCCCATCGGGAAGACGCCGACGTCCACGAAGCGCTCCTCCGTTTGGATGCCCTTCGGAAGTGCCTCTACTGTCAGGATACGGCTCACCGTCTGCCTGAAGTGACGCGCATAGTTCGCCGTCTGGAATCCGACCAGATCCGCACCAAGCAAACCATGCAACACGTCCTCGCGCACGCTCAGACAGCGGAAGATCTCCGAGCTCGGGAACGCGACGTGCATGAAGAACCCGATCGGCGCGTTCGGCAGCCTCTGGCGGAGCATCGCGGGGAGGAGCATCAGGTGGTAGTCGTTCACCCAGATGATGTCCCCATCCTGGTACACGCTCGCGATCGCGTCCGCGAACCTGCGGTTGACAGCCTCGTACTGCTTGAAGCTCGCGCTCTCATAGAAGCTCTTCGTCTTCGGCGCGTCCGGGATGGCGTAGTGGAGGCACGGCCAGAGCACCTGGTGGCAGAACTCATCGTAGCAGCCCACAAACTCCGTGTCCGGGATCCACACCGGCAGGCTGTCGCACTCGTCGCGCATCCGCCACTCCATGTTTCGCTTCAGGCTCTCCCGGAATCCGTCCGTATTCACGCCGAGCGTGCCCACCCACAGCTTGCGCTTGAGTCGCACGCCGACGCTCTCCACCGCGTTCTTCAGCCCGCCGTTGCAGTGCGGGTTGCTCTCCACGTGCCACTGCATGTTGCGATTTCCCCCGTTCGTGTCGTGCCGCGTGCCCGAGAGCGAGCGACTCGAGGTGCGCGCTGTCGAACCACGCGATGCACGCCGCTGCACACGCGTCTGGCCCGCTGTGCTGCTCGTATGCGTCGTTTGATGTCTCTTTGAGGCACCGTTTGTCGATCCATTGGCGCCTAACGCGTTCGCTGCGGCGTTGACTACGTTGTTGGTGGTGGCTTTCGACGCGAGGGCATCAACAAGCGAGGTAGAAGAGCCATTCGGCGCAGGAGACGGAGGTTGGGTGAGTCCAGTGAATGTCGTGAAGGGGTTGCTCGGTTCGTTACGGGGCGTGACCGCTGGGGACACGGCTCGAGACTAAGTGCAACCAGTCAGCGCCATGCGGAATAACCAAATCGCACAGGAAGAGGAACACGTCAGAAGCCAGGCTTTTGCAAGGACATGCGTCACGAAACGAGCGTGCAGTAGTCGGACTTGGGCGCAAGGAGGATCCTAGCGACATGATGCGGCATCATTTGTATGCTAGTGCGAATGCGTGAGAGGTGATCGCAGCGATAGAAGGATACTCCTTGACAGCTGCACAAAAACGCGAGCCTGAGGGTTTTTGGTTGGCAATGACGCAGCAGTCTGCTTCGAAGCAAACTCTGCCTAGAGCAGACCCCAGCTGATCAAGCTTCAAGCAATGCAGGCATGCATAGACAATTTCTCTATAACCAGGTAATGAAAACCTCCGCCCATCGATTGCGCAAGTGAGGGCTGCGGGTAAGACTCGCTGTGTCGTGTGACGCAGACATCCGCATGCATTGCGGAACGTAGGAGACTGATACCAGGGAGGAAGCCTGAACCAAATACGGGCGAAATCTGGCGTCTCGAGGGGGTATGTCTGAGGCTTGTCCGGACATACGAGCCATCGTCGGCGAACAAGGCTGATGAACTGTCCAGATATAACACTTCGTGGTCGCCGGAAGGCTGAGGAATATCCGGACACGGATAGCCCAGCTGCTCTCGTGTACGACACCAGTGCAACGATCACCCCTCGAGAGGGCGAAGCCTCGTACAGATGACGGGTCCGTCATGGGGACAGTGATACAAATGGGATGCAAACGCGAGAAGACAGGCCGCCATGAACGTGGATGCAGGGGAGGTATCTAGGATCAGACACAACAGCTCACCTTGTCCTTGAGATCCTCGACAATGCTCCTCAGCGGGCCCGCCTTGCTCGGTAGCGTCGGTCGGCCGCCTGCCTGGGGACCACGCTGGAGGAAGGACGGCGTGGCGATCGTGTCCAGAGACGGCGAGGAGGGAGTGCTGTCGCTGAGGACGGTGGTGTTGGGGAGGAAGAGGGAGGCGATTATGATGCGGTTGTTGCGAAGCGAGCTCATCGCGGCGGTCGACGCGGGGAGGGCTGTGGAGGACGTCGGCGGCGGCGAGGGCGAGTATAAGTGCAGCGATCAGTTCTCATCTATGACATCAGGGCGCACGTGCCCACCTGCAATCGACTCGGCCCCAGGGCCTGGCGCCGTTGAGCTCGCCATTTCGTAGAGGTTCGGTCAGGGAATGAGGGCAGATGGCTGGATATATGTGCGCGACGATCCGGGCGCACTCGTCGTGGACGTCGTCCGTACGTACTTACGTGCAAATCCTCCAAGCGCCACCTGCCGACTTTTCGCTTCAACGTTCGTCAGATCGCCGGTCGAGATTTCGCTCAGATTGGCTGTCCGATTTCCTCCGTACGCTCCCTTCACGCCCGCCATCTGCCCTCCATCTGCCGCCATCATCCTCCATCGTCCAATTCTGGTCCCAAGGTCTTCAACGCTGCACACGGAATCCATTTCTTGCGACGTACCGTAGACACGCCGGTGAAACAGCCAGCACAAGCCGTCGAATTTCTTGTGGTCCTCGCGAAGACTTCATGAAATGATCGCGATCACTCGACGACGTCACTTATACGTCTGAAGACTGGTGACCATTCAACTTTGTATTTTTTGTGTTTTCTTACAATGTTCTTATGTACATAACATATCTAGTGACCAGTACAAATCTAAGTATACCCGTTGGAACTCACTAAGTCACACCAATGGCGTCATCTATCCCCGTACTCAACGACCTGCCATTCCGAGAAGGTGACCTCCCCGATATGGTCAAGTCGTGATCGTCAATAATGACATTGGGTACACTGCTCTACCACGCCAAATCTACACGTTCTGAAATCAATATATAGCTGTATGATGCACTGGCATCACAGCTGAAGAAATGCTGACACTGTCAGGCTCTTGCACAAAATACTAGCTAGGCTGTGGCAGGTTAGGAAAGCGCCGGTGCCTCCTGAACGGCCTGGACAGGGATGGGCCCGTCGCCATCTCCTGCGGCCTCGAGTATGTTGACTACACGTACTGTGATTGAACGCACTCACTTCAACGCGCCAGAAAGCCCTCGGACGAATTGTTGTTCCACCCTCTTAGGCACTCCGAGAGCTGGACGCGCATGTCGACTTCGATGCGAGCTTTGAGTGAACTAGCCATCCTCCGCTTGGTCAACTATATGATCATGCGCCCTTCTGGTACGTCTCTGAAATCTCTCCGATGTCCTCACTGCGGCACGTCAGAAATTCGACCCGTGCACAGCGTGTGCTACGAAGCGATACTGCGCAGTGTCATGGGGTTTACTATCGTGAAGCCAATCAACTGGGCCGCGACTCTCTCGAGGAGCTTCTCGCGGACCATTGCACATATATGAGACGTTTCAATTACATAAGTCGCAAACCATGACATATGAAATTTGAGCGAGCGACACTAGAACCGAGACTTCCGTAGGCTCACAGACCTCCAACATAGCCTGGTGGACAGTAGCTCCAAGATGCTCGCATAGAGTCAGTTTGCATGACGGGCGGTCCGACGACAAATACCATTAACGTGAGTACGTGCCACGAAGCTTTCGGACGTATCTTGAGGCTCAACACTAATACTTACTCAGGTACCGATTCCAATTCAATGGCGCACGCGAACTCTATCATACTATTCAAGTTCTGGCTGACACATCAACCAAGGTCCGAGGTAAGTTAAGGTCTGTCGGAAGTCGGGCATGCAGCCGTACCTTTCCCACTCCACCTCGAAGCCTTGGGACCTGAGTCTTCGCGGGAATGCATCCCGGGGCTTGTGCGCAGGAAGAACCTCCTGGAAACCGAGGAAGTTGGGAAAGGTAGGTTAACGCCGCATGCAAGGTTGAACTGGCAGCGGAAGGTCTAGGCTTTGTGGACGTGCACCAGCTCCAGCAGCGCGGAAGCCAAGAAGTGAAGCCCTACGGACCCAACGGCCGTCAGTGCGTTTTAAGGATCCGACGTCGCGCTTGCATTTTGTAGTCACGATTGTCACCTCAGTGTGAACGGTAGTCACACATCACCGCGATGGCTCGAAAGTGAGCGTTCGGAAAATTGGCAGCACAGACATGAGGTAGGATCGAGCCGCATGGTTTTATTCTTCGTCATCATCCAGCCCGATATCTTGCACGACCGCATCCCCCTCTTCTAGCCCGACATACGTATCCCGCAGTGCCCATAGACCGTCCCTCAGTTCGATCACGTCGTCCTTCTCCAGCCCCATAACGCTCAGCACCTCAGCGCCCCGTCGAACGCAATCGTCAACGACCGTAGAATACGCTGCGAAAAGTTCCGACGTATGCGAAGTCGTATGCAGTGACGAGAGGACGTGAGCCGTAGGGGCACGCAGCTTGTTGCCTGTGGACGGAGGGGGTGACTCCAGAAACGTCGGGAAGGACGACGGAATAGGGTATCCAGGCGCGAATATGGTGTACGGAAATGGCCGTCGTGATTCCGTCCACGCATCCAGGGTTCTCCGGTCAGAAGACGAGAAGCCTCTGGCGACATAAATTCTCGCGAATTCCAGACGTGTGGTCTACCGTAGGGGTTCGGTCAGTTCCGTGTAAGTGCTTCGAAGACAGAGTATGCAGTACCTGCTCATCCCCCGCTTTCTTTTTGCCTCCGGACGTTAGCGAGAAATCATATGACCTTCGCGCAAAATCCCGTTCAGCTTGAGGAGGTGTTGGTAATGGGAACACGCCAGATAGATGCGCGAAGCGGTTGCTTCCACCCCAGTTCAAGGCGCCGCAAATACTATCAAGGTCCTCCATGGATCCTTTCAACCTATTCGGTCAAAATTCACTGTCAGCCGTATTTCCTGTCGCTTCCACCGATGCCACTGCGAATCAACCTACCGGAGAGGCAGGGTCACGCTCTCGATGTGGGTTGAGAGAATCGCAGACGTCTGAAATACGCTTTTATGCTGGATGGTGTCAGCGTGAATGCGGGGAAATGTCCGGAGACGCTTACATATAAGTCTATCCCGTTCAGCCATTCCCCGGCCACCCAAGTTCCGGGCGCCTGCACCGGGACGGTCATGGTGGACAATGATGCCAAACTGTGCAGATATAACGCATCGTTGATGACCGCCCGCATGCCTATGTCCTACGGGGTTTCACTCAAATTTCGATCGCACCCGAGCAGTAAGTGACGTACGTCGCCATTGTCGACATGACCAGGGAGGTTGTGCGACAGGAGCGGAAATGCAAGGCATGGGAGCTTTGGGAACTCGTCCCGATATGTGGTCAGGAACGAATTAGTGAAGCCACCAAAAGTAGAAGTGTCGTTCATGACTTGAATACCCTGCCAAGACCTTCGTGTTACCACTTGCAAGTGGAGCAAGCACACGACATGCCAGTGCGGCTCACCTGCAAATTGTCGCACTCCTCCGCGAAGAATCTGAGGGACCCTTCCATGAGGTCGACGTCCTACTATGGTTCATCATCGTTGAAAGGCCGTGTTTCGTGAGAGACGTACGGTGTTATACCGCTCGAACGCATCCTTGCTCCAAGCCCAGTTGCCTTCGGTGCTCTCCCAGTCAGGTGGGTCTGGGAGCCGCTGCATGGACCGCGGGTGCAAGAACACACGACTATAGTCCGACCAGAAGCGAACATCAGAGTCTAAAACTTGGGGTGCAACCCCGTCTTCATCGTTTTTGGGACTGTCGTCATCATCTGCTTCGCGATCGAGTTGCAAGTGGTAGTTGCTTTGGGGGATACGATCTTGACGAGACTCTACCACCCCATTATTCCTAGAGAGATATATACCTGTTCAAACTACCCGTACGAATGGTGAAAGAAGAAAAACAGACCATAGAAACTCCTCCTGGAGATCATCCTCTTCTGAGTTGTACAGGCCACTGGTGCTCGAGAGTCTGCCGAAGTTAGCTGCACTCCCACGTCAGTAAGCAGTCAGCACCAGCCTAGAGCAACACAGACACCTACACCTTCGATCAAAGAGAAGTAGTCTCGGCGAGTATGTCGATTCCCCCTTATACGGGTCGTTATCTCACCGGCATTTGGAGGCACAGAATGGGCAGGCGCGTACTTTTACAGTGGACCCCTCTCTGAACGACACATCATGGTCAATCTCCGACTGTTCATCCTCGCCATACGTGAAATACGCCTCCTGTGTGTTCCAAAAGTGTGTGCCGGCAAAGTTCGCGAGTTGACCTGCTTGGATGTAGATGATCTCCTTCATGATCGCGGTGGCGGACGACTTTCGCAGGCACCGCGACTTGCTCTCGACGGTGACGCTGGACACCGCCACTACTCGACCCTACCTTCGCGATGCGGCATCCTCCTACAACAAAGACAACGTCGCATATTTGCGTGCGTCGGGGAAACTTAGGGTCGGCTGAAGTTCGGATATGGGCAGGTTCTGAGATAGCAGGGCGTCGGAGCCCGCCGCCAGCAAAGCGGACGCTGCGTGTCGGCTTACCCACACAAGGTACTCAGCCCTGCAGAACGTGCCCTGCGACGATCTACACCCTATAATCCAGACCACAAGCTCATGAAGCGACTGGTCTCAAAAGGTGCGTCACGGGTCCCTCCTTGGTCGCACTACACTCCGCTCTGAGTCGGCGTGCGTACTGACGCGGCTCTTATTCGCCTGCAGACGTTGCGGACAGGGACGCGAACGCTGACCGATCTGCTCCGCATCGCCTAGAATCAAACTCTACACTGGGCCCGCCTGTAATGCCTCCGGAATTGACGGACAGGATCGTCGACTTTTTACATGACGATCATGCCGCACTCAAGAGCTGCGGTCTGACATGTCGTCCCTGGCTTTCCGCCGTCCGCTATCACCTCTACTACGCCATCAGCCTCGAAAACACACGCCTCTTCCGCGCATTCTCAAGCTTGCTAAATCGTACGCCCACTCTCGGGCAGTATGTCCGGGAAATACATCTAGCGATGACGGAGGAACTGCAGCGCAGCGACGCCTTGCCCAGCATCGTGGCTCACCTGGGCAGGGTCAGGAGACTCGCCCTGAGCGGAGACATCCTGACGGTAGACCAAGCCACATTCGAGCGCTTTGGACCCGTACAGGAGCTTGCGCTCAACTTGTCTTCTTGTAAACTCAGCGATGTCGCCGCTCTCTTCCTCGCATTCCCTGGCATCAGCGACTTGTCCATCAAGAACACTACGTACCTATATGGTCCTTTGGATCACGTACCGATGCTACCCGTCACACGCCTGGAATTGCAGCCGGCCCTTAATCCTGGGTTGCTGCCTCCGTCGTCACCAATGCTGGAGTCGTTGGTATTGTCCATTAGGCGGGTCGAAGACCTAAGGACCCTGAGCCACATTCTTCGTACGGCGATACGACAGCTGAAGCAGCTAGACTTGCAAATACATATCACTGTGGCAGGTGAGAGGCGGGCGCCTGCTTCTTGAGTCAGTGCTAATATTTTCGGACAGAACACCAGGCAATATTTTTGGACAGCCTGCGAAGATGTCCCCAGTCCCTGACTGCCATTCGACTCTCCACCAAGTCGGTGCAATGTCTGGCATGCATATTGGACAATGTCGATTCAACATACATGCTGGACGTTGCTTTGGACGTCGCCGTCGGCAGTATGTACGGACTGAAGACACTGTCCGGGGTGCTCGCCAGGACCCGATTCCGGAAAGCGTCGAGGATCGTGGTCACACTGCGCTGTCCGCGACTATTGATCTATTGTCCTCGCGACGAAGAAATGACGAAGGCGTTGGTAGAGGAGGCGCTCCTAGAGGCATATAGGCGAAGGGTGTTGTCCGTGTTGATCTACTAACACGACGTTCTGAGCAGAATGCAAGTAAGTACATCATCCGCTTCGCAATTGCTACACGGCGCTCACGCATTATTCGCCTCACCCTCAGAACACGCATATAGAAGCCACATGTCTCAACAAGACGCTTGCAATCATTTGCCCTATATAACTTAGGATTGACGGTTCCGACTTCGAGTTGCTCACTGTAATTACGCCTCGCAACCTCTAGACAACATCGTCTTTCGCTTCCAGACGCTATCTACTGTACCAATACTGTACCTTCATGTTTTGATGTAGTTCGGGCTCCTCATTCTTTGATCGACAATCACATACCAACATTCTAAGAGCAGTTGAGATAAGTACCAGCCTGCTTGTCCAACGTCGAACGTTGATGCATGATGGGTGACTCGGGCCGTTGAGGCCGAGGACTGAGGATTGCGGTTCGGTTTTGTTTCGGCTTGGCGGGCCGCTGCTGCCGAACCGACTCCTGTATGACGCGTTCAGGCGCTCATTCAATTGACACGCTCAGGTCCGTTAAATACCTCGCTTTCTTCAGGTTTGCTACTGCACCAGCCTGCACTCAACGGGTTCTTATACACCGCTCAAATCATTGTCATCTCAATCATTGGCATCCTAGTACCGCGTGTCATACCACGGATCGACAAGTATGTACGAAGCACCATATCCACCGTATGACCCTACAGACCAGGAGGGGTGAGAGATTCGCTCACTCAAGCCGGGCATTGATAGCTCATGAGTGCGCGTTAATGGACCAGCTTTTCGTAAGTCCTGCATGGCGAAGGATCGCCATCAACTGATGTCTAACCAACCACTATTTGCAAGCTATGAGACCGTAGTCAAACGCTGGCCCGTTATATTGACGGGAATCATCGACAACATCTACCGAATCAATCACGGTCTAAGCGTAGCGCAATCAGAAGGAGATGACAATGAAGAAACCGCTACTGAGAAAGAGAAAATAGAGGAGGGCAAAAACTTGATAGAGACGATCAGCAAGCTGAAGTATGAGATGGGCAGAGATCGGCCTCTCGAGTATGTTCCGAACTGACAAGTGGTATGCCCGGGGTAACTGATGCACATCTCAGGCCAATAGCAAACGATGGCGAATCTATGGCGGGGACATACAATACCGAGTTGGCACGCTTGACAGAGCAGGGCAAGGGAACATGGTTCACTGCTCCATGGCTTTACGCAGAGTGAGTATATGCTGGTCATGTTTCTGGTAGAAAGGCTCATGGATGTCGTAGATGTTACCTGTGTGTCTTATGTTGTCTCTTCGCGGGATGCGTGTTGAACCCTGTGCATCAGGTACCGCTTGCTGCGCTCCTACTTTTCACAAACGAAACACTGGGCTTCTCACGACCCGTTCCAAGCTCAGAAACAAGAGACCTTCCGGAAGAGCTCTCAGGCCATATTTCGTACGCACATGTCATCATATGCCATGTGTGGTGCTTAGCTTACGACTTTGCCTCTTGCGCAGAACTTGCGACCACGATGCATGAGCTTGAGCGCGACAAAGCAAGGCTGGCGTCTGATTCTCAGAACCTGAATGTTATATTCAAGGAGATGATTCAGATGTGTCTCTGGTGGGTCTCGGCCTTAGCCGCACTAGTCGACCTCTCTGACCCGTCTCATGAAGGGGCAATGCCACGGTACGAGGCCTCTTCCCGTTGGCTATGCTGAATATATGCTGAGTAACACTCACCCAGGATCTATCACTACTCACTCAGATGTCTCATGAGGACATTCAGCACCTGCAATCTGTCGGAAAAGATGCACAGGCCGCAAGGAAGGAGTATATTCTAACAGATGATCAAGACAAAGTATGGTCGCACCTCGTTAACCTCAAAGATGCGAGGATAGATTTTGTGCTAGATAATGGTGCGATTGGCTCCGTTCCTTCGAAGCGTAGCCAATCAAGACTGATTGATCACTGTGTAGCCGGTTTCGAGGTATGCAGTTTTAGCGGACTACCACTGCCTTTCCGCTCAAGACATGCAGCTGTTCACGGACTTCGTATTTGCTGATTTCCTCGTGACATACACCCCGCATGTCTCACAAGTCGTCTTCCAGTAAGTGTCTCCGTTACGACTCTACCATATCATCGAACATTGTGCACAGCCCGAAGATGATCCCATGGTTTGTGTCGGACGTAACGCCGCCTGACTTCAAGTCCGCGATCTCATCCTTGCTCTCACCGACGTTCTTCCCTGAGTTGGAGTCCGACGTGCAGACATCCTCTCTCGCCGCGTCCTCAATCGTGCAAGATGCTACTATCGTATCAACACCGAAGGAATTGCCCGAGTCTCGCCAGCATCTGAAGGACATGGTAACGCGGTGGGCTGGCTATCTGGAAAGCGGCGTATTCACACTTTCTGTGTCACCTGAAACGCCGCTCGGCGCTTCTAACCCAAAGGTATTTTACCTCGATGAAGCCAAGATACGTGTTGCGGGAGCTCTGATATCGTCGTGTAGGTCGACTTCTGGACATCTCCTTACCCGTACTGGAACATGCAAGAACTAGCACCAGAAGTATTTGGAAGTCTGAAGGACAGTGGATTGGTCATATTCAAGGTAAGCGAGATGCCTGATGTACATCGTATGAAGCTCACATCGGTACATTCCATCTCGTGCAGGGCGATCTCAAGTGAGGATGAATTGTTCCGTAGCGACCATGCGTCACTGACATCTCATCGCCACCCATCAGCTTCCGGAAGTAAGTGTCCTCCATCCATCCGTCGACCCAAATGAATCTCATCATACGAAAAGATTGACAGGAGACGTGAAGTGGCCTGCCCACACCCCGTTTGAGACAGCAGTTGGTGCGTCCTTGACAGATACCGCCCTCCGCTTCCTAAGTTATGAATCTGATGTGCTTCTGCACTGCCTTGTCGCGATTTCGCTGCATCCTTTCTTTACTTTGGGACCTCGATCCGATCACCGCTGACTGTGACTTCGGAATCATCTGCAGGCCCGCTCCGGGGTGCATTCCCGGTCTTGAGCTTGCGGACGAACAAAGCGGACGTCGTGGTTGGAGTTGAGCAGGAGACCGCGGAGAGGCTAGACAAGAGTGGGGAGAAGTGGAGGTACAACGGAAAGTGCGTATACGTCTCGAACCAGACGTAAGTGGGTACTGAATTGGGAACATAGATATGCACTGGTGTTGTTCTTGCCACGGGACTGAGGCCAGGCAAGTAGCAACGGGAGTCATGAAGTCAAATCACAACTGTACACGAACCCGAGGTATGTTATTCGAATGAGGTAGACGCCAGTATATTCTTTATCTACGATGAAAATCAAATAGATCTACAAGTCTGGATACCTGACAGTAATGAGCAAGCCTCTACTCCGGCAGGTCAAAGCCTGCCGCGTGCAGGAGGGTAGCGAACTGCAAGGCGTGCGGCAAGTCGCTCATCAGCTCACTGCTTCCCAAGAAGCAATGGACGCCACGCACCTGAACCTTCGCAATCGAGCGGACCTGTCCAAAGTCGTAGCCCTCACGGTCGCTGAGATCACCTGAAAAGCGAAGGTCCAGTGAGATGACTGAAACATGAAGGGCGCAAGGTGGGACGTACCACTGTTGTGATACATGGGGTCAGCAATGGGGCCGGCGCGTTCAAACACCTGCGTCGCCGGGAAGCCTAATTCATGGAAGCTCTGAAGGCCACCGGGATCAGCGTCTACATGCCAAGCAAGGTTCACGAAGAACCAACCTGGTGATCACTGCAGCAAGCCTAAGAAGTGCTTCATGTCAGTACCACCATGCGGCAGCTGAAGATTTCAGCCCACCCTCGTCGTGCCAACCACGAGCTCCGGACTGTATATCGCCGAGATGTTCGACACCAGCTGCATCACCTCCACACTTCCGATGCTACGTCGGTCGTCAGCAGTGCCCATAGTAGCAAGAACTCGAAACCCACCTCGCGGGGAGCCCAAGCTGCGCTGGTTCTCCGGGCGCATGGTATCCCAGCATGTCAGCTTGGATCATGAGCGTCAGGTTCGCGCCCAACTCATACATCTCCCCTGTCAATGTCCATCAACACTCGAGTCCCGTCAGCCACGCGAACCCCCGTAAACTTACGAGCGTACGCCTTCGAACCGTAGAGGCCCTGCTCTTCGCCCGAAAACGCGACGAGCTGGATGTTCTTGCGGAAGGTGACGCCCTTCCGCGCGATGGTGCGTGCGATCGCAAGCAGGGCGGTTGTGCCCGAGCCATCGTCGTCCCCGCCCGGAGCGCGAGTGCTCCCGAATGAGCCGCGGCTGTCGTAGTGCGCACTCAGGAGCATCGTCTCGGTCGTGTCCTCGGTCGCCGCGTACGTGCTTGGGCGTGCGGTGAACATACCGCTAGGCGCATGCGGGCATGGGAGACTTACCAGACGACATTCGGCGAGAAACCGCGGAGGAAGGGCTTGAGCTCGCAAGAGGCACCGGTGCTCTCGAACTGCTCCTTCAGCCAGGCCGCAGCCTGGAGTGCACCCTCGGAGAACGCGTGCCGGGAGACGATGCCAGAGGACGGGTCTTCGCCGGTGAGATAGCGCACGTCCTTGCGCATCTGGGTGATGGACAGATTCCCTACGATCGATGCGACGACCGGGTCGAACTTCACGGACGCGGCAATCTCCTTGACGCGCTGCGATGCGGCAGACGATATTGGTACGTATGGTACGGACTTGGGCGGGATAGGAGCCGACTTCCAGAAGCGGGGGAGGTGAGTGTCAATTGTGCGCGCAACCTCGGGTGCAACGGAGATGACCATGGAGGACGCTGTCTCTGCGAGCACAACGTTTCCGTACAAGGAATCGGCAAGGACCTGCTGCTCTCCATCTTGCGCAGTGAAGGGGCTGCCTGACAACGCAGAGATGAAGCTGGTTATGTCCTCAGGGGAGGGCAGCCCCAACGTGTCCTCCACGACCTCTTGCTCCAACCAGACAAGCTGGCGATCTGTATCATCAAGAGGAACGACAGACCCTTCACCGAGGAGACCGGTCGAAGAGCTCAAGCAGGCATCGTCAACAATGAAGACGCTGTTCCCACCGAATTGCCCACGATATGAGTCGGAGAGACAAGAGATGGTGGTCAAGACAGAAGGATCGTGTGGCGTGACAAGAAGCAGCGCGAGTGGTAGTGCGGCCTGGCCCCACATGTCTTGTTGTCTCTGGACGTCTTCGCTGTGTCGCCGCTGCCTAGGTCAGCGAGCGGTTGCAGTGAGAAGGTTGTCCGGTGGTTGCCCAACTGAGGACCTCCGGCGCTCCGGGTCTCCTCCGGGTGCGGGACTTTGATTCTGCCGAGTCGATCATCCCCGCAAAGGCAACTGCGATATGAATGTCGGACCGTGACCAGTCAAAGGAGCAGCGCCGCGTCTCGTCGAGGGACAGCAAATTTCTGCTGTCCATGCCTCTAGATCTATTGCCTTGGCCAGCAGCAACCTACAGGCAATTCCTTGCGCCACGCGTCCGCGTCAATTGCATCAAGTGAAACATATTGGCAGACTGCCAGAGGCGATCAATCACAGAGTCGTCCCTGTCACCGCCTCGCGGTAAGTGTAAGGTTACTGGGAAGATGAAGGATACTTACCCCACAAACACACTGATCAGCACACGTCGGTAGGCGTCGGTGCTCTCTGTACCGCTTTCTACCGCTTCGCCGTTGCGTTGCGGCCAAACGTCAGGCTCCGAACAGTAGCCACTGAAAGTCCGCCCCGAGACTGTATTTATCAACCACTATGTCCCGATTGACATCCCGTACGAGCTGCCCTCTCCTCTCGCTCTCATCTACGGGGTCTCTACCCTCGAGAGGTACTTGCCCAGAGTGTCCGCCCTCTGCGGCGCTGCGCTCCTCCATACTTTTCTCAAAATGTTCGACCTTGCAGGCAAGACACGTTCCGGAGTCCATGCTGCAGTGCGTATAACTTGCCCGAAGCTTTCGCAAGACCTGACCTCTCCATACACCCAGTATACTAGGATTGTTTTGACTCGCTTCGGGGTCGCATTCATTCTCTTGACCTTGATACACTGCTTTGCTCAGGGAGCTATTCAAGCATCTCTATACGTGGGGGACGCACGGGCGTTATCTCTTCTTGAAAACATCGTCCGCACAGCGGATTTACCGGCAAGCAGTATCTCGTGGCTACAGAGGCATGGGTCCGGCAACTATACGCTGAGCCTCTGTACGAATCTGCCGATCGCGGAAGGCGGGACGGAATCTTGCGTTACGGTGTACCAATCTGGAGCAGAAGATTGGTCTGGAGCTGTTGTGTCAACGAAGAATGAAGACCTTGTGAGTATTTTGATACCCTCAACCGACCACGTGTTGCCGATGATACGTCCAGGCTATACGGGACCTCACAGCAAACGTAGGTCGAGCAAGGGTATAGATGCAGAATGTGGCCTGTCCGCTGACCCTGCGTCCCTGAGCAGATGTTCGTGCGGCGCACGCTCAAAGTGAATGACATATCTGCGTCTCTCAACGCCACAGGGGGCATAGAAGGGGTCAATGTGACCTATCAAAGCACTGGCGATGACCATGGCAATGTATTGCTCAGCAATCAGTGTGTCCGCTCTCTGGTTTATGCGGACGAAGCGTACGTTGATATCCATGCGTATGGCTATGAGATGCCTAATTGTTGTTGCACCGCAGTATGGGCGCTTCCAAGAAAGAGGACGCTGCATTGCTGGGTTTACAGTTTTGGCTACTCATTCTGTCATTCGTGGGTGTGAGTGATCATATTGAACAGCATGCATACATATCAGAATTAATGTCATGGACCATAGATCCTCTACAGCTCCATTCCTCAGATGTAAGCAGTCCACAATGTTATGGTTACCAGATTCTTACTGGTCTTCGCGACACCGTTTCAATCCACAGTTTGGCCGTCATTTGCACACGCGTACTAAGCACCGCCTGGGCTGCATACTCGATCTACCATACGCGCCGCCACGAAACCCTGTTCCGCATCCTGTTTACCGAGCCAGACACGCCCTGCAACTTTAATTTATTCCCCACGCACTTCAAGACTCAAATGGCTCTCGCGGTGCGCTTCTTCAACATATGCGTGCTGTGTGGTCCAGTCCCTAATGACAGATTGCAGATTGCAAACCTCGTGCTGAACGTCACTGCTTTGCTGTTCACTGTCTACCTCGGACGATTGCTCATCAAGGTACATTGTGCTGGCCTGTTCCCACCTCATCTGACATGTGTCTGGTTCCTCAGAACTTTAAAGAGTACACGATTCAACGCGTTGGCCCTCCTCAAGGCATCCTCCGTATTTATCGAGTAAGTTTGATCGCGTCAACTCGTGGTGTCGGTTGGCTGTGGTTCTCATGCTGCGCGCGCTCAGCTATTCCTCACGATCTTTGTCTTGCTCCAACTTTCGGTGTTCTTCCTGGTCACGGTCGTGGGACTGTGGACCACCTGGCTGCTGAACGGACCGCTTCTCCACATATCGCTGCATACTCCGATCTACAAGGCGCTGTTCATCTTCACGATAGTGGTCAGTCATGCATTCATACCTGTCACATCGCCTCATAGCTCATTACCGACATTGATCCAGAGTCTGCCACCCTGGATCATCATGGTGCGTTCTCTGCCCATCCACTTCTCTACTCATAGAATGGCGATCTCACGCTCCTGTCGCGTCCACAGGGCTTGTACGCCGTGCGGCGGGAGTTGAGGTCCCTCATGGCCGGATTTCTGTTCATCTCTTTTATTTATATCGCCTGCTGGACCATCATGTTCTACTCGCAAGTCTACCGCTGGACGTTCATCACATGGATGTTCTTCGCCTGCATGACCGTCGCATCCTTCGCCGTCCTGGTCCTCACGACCGTCTTCGGCGTGCTCTGCTGGTTGAACTTCGGCAAGGGCCTCGCGGAGTACCGTAAGTCATCGTAGCTGCCTGTAGCCGGTCCATTCGTTGCTAATACATAGACTCGCAGTGGATGCCGAAGCTGCGCTAGCCAAAGACAACTTCACGCCGGAGGTTTTCTCTGAAGACCAGACTGCCACAAAACCCAAGGACGTCCTGTCCGACCAGAACATGCACAGCTTCGGGACTGTCAAAGAGGACATCAACTGGGACCCCTACGACTTGGACCGAGCACCGATCATCGTCATCGGACTGCAGGACCAACTGACACCTCGCGTTGAGGCATGAATGACGTGACGACTTCCTCCGGACGCTGAGATCTCCCATGTTGTATTGCACCCCTTACCGCGAGGGCTACAATACCAACGTAACACTCGTTTGCAATCACCTCGCTGTGTCTGTATGTACCACCGGAACGGGCAGCCACATTGTAGTCCTTCATGCGAATGCGGCAGAGTCCACAATAATGATATGTACGCCACGGCTAATTTATAGCCATACTACGCTCAAATTGTGTAAGGTAGAGCGTTCGTGATCTCGGGGACGTGCGTAATACCCGTGCACCCGCCCGCTTGAATGCACTGCGCTAGCTGCGTCGCGACATCCAGACCTTCGTAGTATGCGCCATGCAAAAACCCTGAAGCGCATCGGTCAGTACGGGAGGGTTTACGTGATCCGCGGTGCAGCGTCTGCTTCTCACCGAAGTACTTTTGGCTCGTCGCCTCGCCCGCGAACCACAAACGCTGCTCGACCGTGGCGCGGAGGTTCTGGTGGTGTCCGCTGAAGAACGACGACGGCCAGTTGGAGTAGGAGCCGCGGAAGAGAGGGTCGCTGTGCCAGCGCGGGAAGTAGAATGCCGTAGGCTCGGGGATGGTCACGTTGGGGAACATGTCGTGGAGGACTTCCACGACCTCGGCCTGTACCTCGGCGTCAGAGAGGGCTTCAATGCGCTCGGACTCATCGCCCTATCGCCGCGTTGAAGGCATCAGTGCGTTGTCACGAAGTTATGGAATCTGGCTTACCGTTACGGTGACGAAGATGACACCGGAACCGGGGAAGAACTCCGTGAGGTTCATGTTCTGCCACACGGGGTAGTAGCCACGTGTGGTGTCGGCGAAGATACCCATTTGGGTCCCGAACCAGAAATCCTCTGGGAACTGCAGGAATATCTTCGTGTAGGTAGCCTGTATAGCGCAGGTGAAGCCACGTGTTGAGAGTTACACTGAACACGACACACCATGGTCATGCTCTGGATCGCCTCCTGCTTCCAGTCCGGCAAGGCAGGATCGAACGTGACGTCGTCGTTCTGCAAGACGCCCAGGCTGAATGTGCAGAGGACATAATCCGCAAGCAGCACCGTCCCATCAGTCAAAGTCACATTGACGCCTTCATATGAGTATGTGATATTCGTGACTGTTGAGTTCAGCATGAGTTGGTCGGGCTCGAGAAAATCGGCTGCCTCCGCTTGAATGAAGTACTTGAAGCCGCGTTGGTCGATGGACATCTCGTTCTCGTCTCCGAAGCCGCCGTCGTCAGTATCATACGTGTAGTTGTTGCCCTAGATTTCGCACTGTGAGGCATGCTTGTTCAGAAGCTTGCCTGAGCACACGTACCCAGGAACTGGCTATCCATGATGATTCCTCTGGCATTTGCGCGTACTCCCAGTCGAACTGGTAGTACTCGCAAGCCATGTCTGCCGGAGTCTTAGGCTTCGCTCCAGTGAGCGAGTAGCCGCTTCTCGCAGTCAGGTCCACGAGTTGTTTCTGTACACGAGCGCCGGCAGCCACCGTAAGAGTCGTGTACTGGTCGCTCGACTCGTCGAAGACATCGAGATAGTCTGCAGCTCCGGTTTCGTCGTATGTAGCTGCATTTGACCGACTGTCAATCAGCTTCTACGACCCAGGAGCGATGAAGAAACTTACACACGCTGCCGTACCAATCATTTGATTGGGTCTTCACACCATGCTTCTGAACCAGAGTCCAAATGGGATTCACTGGGCCCCCATCCGTCTGGGTACCTTGCACCCAATTTGCGCCTCGCTCCACGACCCACTCATTGCCTGGAGCCCCGATCGTTTGGGTTTGCAGACGACCGCCGAATTCACCTATCAAAGTAACTATGAACACACGCACGGTGCACAGAGACAGAGAAAATAGCGGACCTCGCGCCTCGACGATGGTGAAATTCGTGATGCCTTGCTCGTACAAGGTCCGCGCCGCAATCACGCCGGCGACTCCTCCGCCTAGAATTATGACGGTCGGATCGACGGTAGGAACCTTCGCAGTGTTTGCTCTCTCGACAGACCGTGCGGACGTCAAGTAGACTTGTCCTACGAGCAGCGCGAGAACACAGCAGAGAGCCTTTTCAGCGAACATGGTAAGGCTGCGCCAAGGGGACCTGGTGAGAAGATCCGCAAACACCGAGTAAGGGTGACGGGGATGCCATGAGTGTGAGTGTCAGTTTTATGCCCGCCTCCGTCCGAGATAAGGTGTGCCAGCCGCGAAGGTCAGTCCTGGCAGGTCTGCACCCGACGTCGCGTCTAAGACCGTGACGGTGATTGTCGCACGAGTGCCATCCGAGACAGCCCGGCCGCGGGGGGCTGCCCACGGGAGTCAGGCTACTACTGCATGGTACCTCTGTCGATGCCGTAGTGTTACTGAACCTGCCAAGTCCTAGGCCTTGTATGGGGTCTAAACTGCTGCATCGAACCCAGCTCGGCCGGCGTGTCCTGGTGTGCTTGAGTTGCCGGCATTCGAGCGAGAAAGAATCCACTCACAGAAGTGATCTATATCAAGCGTAACCGCGCGAGCCAGGCACAGCATATGGTGATACCCTGTAGCTGGTGGGATCTGGCGGGGGCACATGTATGTCAGACAGTACTGTGAAGGTGTGCGCGACTTGCCAACCTTGAACTTGAGCTGGATGAGTGGGACCTCAAAGTGTTCAGAGAAAGACGCGGGCGTGTATCTTCCCATGCCGGGGTTTGGGGGGGCCCGAATTGTTCAAATCAGGAGATGCATAGTACGTACATATGCATCACGGATTTCCAGATACCTTCTCCGTTCTACCATCGCGAACTTCCCTCGGGGTCCCCGCACAGGACCTGCTATCTTCTGGCATATGCCCATGGCAAAAAGCACATATGGACCTCAGGCGCACGTTATCTCGAAGCGGATCGGCCCTGGACACATACGCATAAGAAGTTGACACCTCGACGTCCCTGTCATCCTCGACCGCGCTCCTCGGACAGATGGATACCAAACTGCTTGAACAAGACTTACTCGAGCTGTCTCGGACTGTCTCCTCATACCCGGCCATCGACAACCACGCCCATGCCTTCCTGAAGATCGAGAACCGCGATGCGATGCCCTTTGAGGGACTGATATCCGAGGCGACAGGACCCGCGTTGACTGAGGATGCGATACATACGTTGGCTTGCTACCGCGCTACAGCACAGCTGGCGAAGCTCTTCGGCCTCGGAAGGGATGCCACCTGGGAGGATGTGAAGAGGAGGAGGAGAGAGCTGGAGTACGACCAGTTATGCCGCCTGTGCATGGAGCCCACGCGGATCCAGTGCATACTGATCGACGATGGTCTGTGGATTCCCGACATGGTCAACGACTACAGCTGGCATGATCGCTACACGGGCAGCCCCACAAAGCGTATCGTCCGAATAGAGGTGGTTGCACAGGTCCGTATGCACGAGTCCTACCTTCACCCGATTGGCGCCTGAGATGTGTCTAGGACATCCTCAAAGATCTCATTGATGCGCAGGTCGCAGGCACGACCCTTACGCCTGTCAGCATCTGGCAGTCGTTCGAGGCCAAACTCACGGCGCAGCTCAAGTCGAGCGCTGCGGACCCGGAGGTCGTTGGCTTCAAGTCGGTGGCGTGCTACAGGACTGGCCTCGACATCAGTGTGAATCAAGACTTTGCCAACCTCGAAGTCGGTGTCGTGCAACTCGCTTTGAGGTACGAGACCACGAGAACGATGCGGTTGTCGGAGAAGGCTGTGAATGACTACGTTGTGACCGCCGCCCTGCGCATCGCAGGTGAGTGCGGTAAACCGGGTATGTACCATGATCGCGTAGAACACGGAACAGTGTCTCACGTCGTGTGCCTCATCACTATCAGTGCAATTCCATACTGGGCTGGGAGACAACGATATCACGCTGTCGAAGTCGACGCCTGCACTGATGCAGCCAGTCATCAAGGCGTTCCCGAACACGAAGTTCGTCTTGCTGCACTCCAGTTACCCGTTCACCCAGGAAGCCGGATACTTGGCGGCCGTCTACCGGAACGTCTTCCTCGACTTCGGCGAGATCTTCCCTTTCTTGAGCGCGGACGGCCAGCGTGACGTTGTCAAGCAAGTACTGGAGCTATGCCCGACGAACAAGATCATGTGGTCGAGTACGTCTTCCCGGTTTCTGCTGATCGTGGATTTGAGCCTGACTTCGCACTGCTCAGCTGACGGCCACTTCTGGCCAGAATCATACTATCTTGGCACTATCCAAGCTAGGCAGGTGCTGTATGAGGTACGTGTCCTACTGATCCAATGGCAGGTCAGCACGACTCATGTGGCACCCTGCAGGTACTAGAGGCTTCCATGCGGCGCGGTGAGTTGACACTGACCCAAGCGACGAGCATCGTCAAAAGCGCATTCTTCGACACTGCGAACAAAGTGTACAACCTAGGTCTTCTGCCGCGCACTGTATGATGAACATATGGGTATACCTAAGGTATACCGGTGTTCTGGCGCCCTGTAGCATATGACATCACTCTTCCCCCTCGGTCTCCTCGTCGACAATCTGTAGTCCTTGTTCCCGGGCTTGCTGAATCGCCTGGCGCTGCTTATCCCGAGCGAATGCGATCAATGAATGCATTATGTCTCGCTGCCCTGTTGCCCAACCCGTCAAGACGCGTCGCACCGCACGAGACCGCAACGCTTACCCTCCAGGTAATGCTCAAGCATCGTCGCGACCTCCGGCCGGAGATCCTGCGCGGCCGCCCTCGGCTGCGGGAGGCGATTCCGCAGGTCCTCAGCCATCTCGACCAGCATCTCCGCCGCGTCCAGCTCGTCCTCCACCGTCACCTCTTCGGGGTCCTCGCAGATCGCGGCGAGGATGGCGCCCCACACGAGCTCTGCGCCGCTCGCGTCCCGGCCGACTTCGTACTTCGGCTGGGATCCTGACCCAGGTGCCGCGCCGCCGATCTTGAGGACGATCGTGTCGTCGGGGTTGTGCGGGAGGGAGAAGCCGTAGCCGAGGATAAGCTCGGCGTTGGGCTTCGGGCCGTAGTTGTTGAACAGCTCGTGGCCGCTCTGCGTGCCCGTTCGCAGCACTAGCGAGATGCTCTGGGAATTCTCGCTGAGACCAACGTTCAGCTCGCTGTAAGAGACTGGGGAGGTGGCGCTCACCTGTTAGGTGTGCCCGGCGAGTTTGAGTTTACTACCCATGAGACGGGATGCGCTCGGGCGTGATTCAGTGCGTCCACGCCAGGCAGGAGTATTGGATGTGAGGTAGATGTGGGTACCAAAGACGGTTCGGGAGACAGCAGGGTAGACGGGAATGCGCGTGAAGACAGATACGTCGCGGCAGTGAGGTATCGTTCCCTGCCAGCGTGTCTTTAGGGATCAGTCCTCGTCATAAGGACACCGCTCGGCCACTCACCAGGTGAACTCGCTCCCCCAGGGTGAGTTGGCAGCGGAAAATAGCTCTTGGCATTGGCGCCATTCTTGCTGCCAGTCGCGCTGTCGGTCGTGAGTTGCACCGTAGAGATTGCTCCCTCGGAAAGCCTCGATCTCAGTGGCAGTGAAGTGCAATGGGGTGAGCAGCTTGTCGGCACTCGGTAGCGTGTTCAGATACGGCCAGTGCTTCAATACGTCCCGGTTACTGGAAGAATCCCGCGTTAGCCTCTGCCAACATTAGTATCACGAGTGGATTGTCACCTTGATTCTCCCAGAATCCAGTGCAGGCAGATATAGGAACAGATGAGCTGCCTCTCGGACCAAGTGTCGAGAGGTGAGAGATCCGTCGATGTCAAGACGGATATCAACGCTTGTCGTGATACCTCCGGTGTTATGGCCAATTTGAATGGACAGGACACTACGGTTGTACCCGGAAGGATGTCCTGTCCAGCTATGACTGAATACCCGGATGGTCCTGTATGAGAGTGAGTCGAGGTTGTACATAGCAAATGCATCCAACTCATAGAACTGACCTGCGCGGAACGAGACGTCGGGGTGAAACCTCCCGCCGTTGCTAGAGAGCCATTCAGACAAGGTGACGATATCATCTGACGTCGCCTGCGCCATCAAAGATGTCGCTGTTGAGTCTGTCAATAGCATCATATTCGGGCCTCGTCACTCTGGTGTGATACACGTACGAGTGATACACCCTTTCGATGTCTGCATGCAGTAACAATAATTCTAATCAATAGTTGCTCACAGTTCGCTTCGCATTCTACGAAGACTGCCAGGTTGCGACTCAGAACTCACCGACGGTAGTGCCAAGTAGGCAGGTTGTTGACAATCAGCGACACAAGCTTATGTTGATCTTTCAATGCGGGTCCAATGTTAGGCTACTTCGTCGGAAGCAATCCACAAGTCTCACCATAGGCAACTGCGCTTCCTGACCGCGAAAGATCAAACTCCCCTTCATTCTCAATCCGGACTGTGTGGTTCGTCGGAAGGCATTCCATTTCGGCGTTCTTCTTCGGTCGTCGCCGAGATCTGCATCGACGACTGCCACCCAACTGCCACCACATCCTGATTCCTGGCCCTCCGCCCCCCGTCGTCAGGCCAACTCTACTCTCCGAAGGCCTCCATCTGCTAATAGTGCTACGCTGTCTACAATAACGGGTCCTATCACAAGGCTCGACTTCATCGGAAAGATAATCAGTGTGTGGTAATGCACGGCCTCTACAAATATTGTGCTCTCCGAATACCCTCCGAGACGCTGCTCTCCAGGTCAGAGATTCGGCGAGACTGCCATTATTGACAGTGCCACTCTGGTAAGCGGTCAATATGTTTCTGCCCTGTCTCCAGCTGATGCTCACGGCAGTTATCGATGCAGTGCGTAGCTATGAACTGCCGAGTTGCTTAAGACAGTCACGGTTGTCTCGAAGCTGGGCACAGCCACGGACGGATCAGACAGACATACGCCCTGGTCCGTGCTCACGACCTCACTTCGACCCTCTCGGGTAATCTAGCTCAAGTCTCACCGCTTGATGTGGATTATTACCTGCGCTTGCCAGGCAGGGAAGTCTTCTTCGCATAAGCTTCTGGATGCGCGGTCTAACCATCCAAGTTCGTTCGGCATCGTTACCTTCCGAGGTTCGAGCTCAATCTGTCTTGTGCAGAGACTGCGTCAGAAGACGTCCACTTATGAGTGTATTCCAGCGAGAGGTTGGCTGGTGTTTACCACTACCTGCCGCCTGGCTTTGAATTTGTTTGTGGCCTCGATCCGAATCCAGCTTCAGCAGGAGCAGCTGCAGGTCGCTTGGTTGCCAAAGAATAGGCGAAAAAGCTATGTACTGTAAGTACTGCGCTCATTGACAGATCGCCGTGAATGTGATGCGCATTGATCGACCTGACTCAGATGAGCACCGCGATGTGGAGCCTGACAATGATCGATGATCCGCAATGCTGCGTATCGTCTGTACACATCGTGTCGAAGTGGGCGACGTCGCAGCTTACTCACTCACAGTCAACGAGCCCACTTGAAGGTCTGTGTGCTGGGAGCGTACCGATGTGCCTAGAGCTCGTATTTTCTGGCGTCGGAAGCGCAACCTCGTTAGGTGGTGTACTCGTCCGCCTATTGGTATGTAACTAAAATGTGTTCATCAAATCAATGAGCGGGAATGTCGGGAACTCGCTTATATGTCATACCCACTGCATTGCAGGCTTCTAAAAATGATGCCGTTCGTATCGAGCTGCGTGATCGGTCGCTCGATGCATAAAAACCTAGCTACATGCAAGAGTGTTCGATGAGCTGTGCTCTCTCTCCTTTCCCTTCACGATTTTGCCATGTTTCTTAGGCTTTCTTTCTTTTTTCTCTCTGCTTCTTATGCATGTGCCCTTTGGATCCCAATTAGGCGGCAAACTACCCCTGTAACAGCTGTTATTCGTAATCCGCAGGCGGTCGCGAATGTTAACTTCTCGGACGTGGCGAACGAAGTGTATTTAGCCACCATACACGTGAACGGTCGCCCGTACCAGGTTCGTGGTCACTGTGTTCACGTTGACTTGTGCTGCATTGAAGCATTGTATTGTTCTGTCCAGGTTCAGGTCGATTCTGGCAGCTCTGACCTATGGATCGATGCCAAAAGCAATGATCTTCCGGGAGTTCATCACACAGGCCAAAGCTCGACCACTGTATATGGGTAAGAAATGGAATGTGGCCTCGATGTAATATTCTGACACCAGTGCACTTTGCAGTGACGGTACTTCTGCAGGAGGGGAGATCGTCCTTGGCAATGTGACTTTTGGAGAGTTTACCGTGGTGAACCAAGCACTCGGTGCGCCGGAGTCCGCCGATATGGGTGCATACTAACGAGACTCAACATGGCTGTAGTACTCGCCCCAGGAAGCAATGCCACTGACGATGGCATAGTGCAAGGCATTCTTGGTGTCGGGCCGTATGTCGTTGTGATGATGTCTGACTCGTGTCCCCCTGACATCCTTCTCCAGATACGGCGGCTCTATGATTCAAAAAAAGCTGAATGGGACGGCTTACAATGGACAGAATTTCCTCACGAATGTCAGTGTTGAATTACGTCACTGCTTATCCTCTTCTCTGACAAAGCCGATAATAGGTCTTTCAACTGGTCCCGGATGAGTCCCCCTTCATGACTTTCCTCCTGTCTCGGACCAATACAGGAGTGACGGAGGGTGGCGTACTGTCGATCGGTAAGTCTGGGTCCATCGTATCAGAAACTGTGTTGACGTGCGCACGCAGGCGAACTAGTTAGCAACCTAACGCACATCACGAAGGCCCCTAAACTTCCTGTCCTTTCACCAAGCGGCTGGGTGACAGCGTCGGATGGCGTGCTCGTGAACGGCAAGCATTATTCAGCACACACCACCCCGTAAGGGCCTGTACCCTAATTGCTTCAGCTGAAGCTCATAAATTTGATGCAGAACAAAGGCTGGAAACCGGAGCATCGCTTTGATTGATACCGGAACATCAGTCGGTACGTTAAGCACGTCGCCCCTGAAGCTACGAAGTTCAACCTTGCTCCGTATCTAGGTACGCTCCCAAGAGCCGTGATCGACTTCATGTACAAGGATATTTCTGGGGCGAAGTGGAGTGAAGAAGACAACACCTACAAGCTTCCTTGCCAGTCCAAGGTAAACATCAGTCTGGTCTTCGGGTGAGTGTCGTCATGCATCGTCGAATATATATTCATCCCTCTCACTTGTTGATTTCCGTTGTCAGCGGCATTGCCTACCCCATTCATCCCATCGACGCTGTCTTGCCCGACATAGGCGACAATGGCGTCGTAACATGTATGGCAGCATTTGAAGCTGCGGATGATGGACGTGAGTCTTGTTCCTGTTTCCGAAGCACGTTCTCGCTGAATTTGCCTCGAAGTCATGCTCCTCGGTGATACGTTCATGCGCAATGTGTATACTCTATTCAACTTCGGCGACACACTGACGCAGCGCGAGGGCGACGAACCGGCACACATTCAGCTTCTTAGCGTGAGCCATCGTTTCGTTGCAGAGTTACTGCAACTTAACACTTGTTCCTTCAGATCACTGACCCCGATCAAGCTTGGAGCGAGTATCAACAGCTGAACGCGAAGCGCATCGCCGAACTGGAATATGACAAGTTCGCTAAAGAGTTCCAGGTCGCGAGCTCCACCGCGCTGTCAGCTTCTGCCACCGCGAGTCAATACACCCTCGTCAGACATAACAGCAAGGTCGCCACGACTGCGTATGCAACGGCAACACCGACCCTCCAGGCGGCCGTGCAGAATCCACGCCGACACTACCGTGTCTATTAATGTTCCTGCGGTCTCAGGAATGTCTCAAAAACGATCACCCTCACGTCGCCAACCAAACCTAGGGTGCCACCAGTACTCGGTGATGTCTAGGGATACATGTTTCATATCCTTTCGGGAGGACGATTACATCTCACTATGATTATGAGTAACGACAGTTATGACTAGGGACACTAGCGGTTCATCCTAGGGCACTGCACTTGAAGTATGTTTACTATATTAGATACAACTTATAATAGTGTTTGCGTCAATAGATCATTCAGCATGGCAAGCTCTCACTTTTGTGCGTACATACCGGGCTGGTATGAAGGCCTTTCATGATGTGACACAGCAGAGGTCGGTACAGCTAAACCACAGCGACTGGTCCTACTCTTGTTCGAGTGAAACCGCCTAGAATACATAAGGGAGAAGACGATAGGGGACCCTTTGTACCCAAACAAGCCACCCGTCTCCGAACTGACTCTTCATGAGCATATCTTCTTGGGTACACCTATGCACCATGCTCATACACATGTACGCCTCCAGCACCACGAATACACAGGCTGCAAACTGCCCGGGAACAGTGTCGAGCAACCCGGACTCCCTCGCCCAAGACCCAGCGCCTCCGTTCCAGACTACGAGCCCGATGCTCTGCATGATCCAACCCGTGTAGGATGGGTGGCGTACTAAGGAGTACGGCCCCCCGGTGCAAAGCTGATGTCCCTCCTTCAATGTGACCTCGAAGGTGAAGAATCGATCCAGTGTGCGGAAACACCAGAGGCGAAGCGACGCTCCCAGCATGGTCATTGACCATCCTACAAGGAATGCAGGGGTAATGGCTATCCTAGCCGCCGATCCTACTCCAGGTCGTATGAGCTTCTCCAGCACATTTCCGCTGTAGACTGTGGGGTAGTCTCGTGCGGCAATGACGGCGACAGTGCAACCTACGCTAGCCACGGCCGTGTACTGTTAGGAGTCGGTCGCAAGGTTCAGCATAATGACGGGAATGCTAAATGAGTGGGCGTACTTTGACGAGGCTAGCCATGCTCCGTGCAATACGTCCGAAAACTCGCTCCCTCGTGCTAATGTTTCCTGGGGCTTTAACTTCGTCATCCGAAGGCGGGGGAGTAGGAGCAGTACTAGAGCGATAGGTCATATATGCGGCCGAGCATAGGAGGCCGACATGGAGCACGGATCGAGCTGACATCGTGATGTGCTGTTGAGTGTTACTTGCGTGTCTCGTCCCAGGGACGCATGCACATTTTTATAGGTAGATGGGGAAGCAAGGGCCTGCTTACATTATCCCCGGTCAGAAGAGGACATCCGTGGCAGCCGCAAGTGGGTATGTGGTATTCAGCGGAGTCTGAGTCTTGCGGAGTGAACACAACACCACAGGGTATACTCCGCCTATCGACGGAAGTCTTTAGGATGGCCACGCGAGACGTTACTGTAAAAGTTTCGGCGAACCTGAAAATGCGAGTTGTGTTTCGTCAAACTAGGTCGTGCACTTTGTGGTGACGTACATGATACACGATTCGCATCAGAGTGGGGCTGCATGAGCGTATTTGTGTACTTGTCGAAAGCACAGTCCTTCCGTTCTCCTGCACGGCGTGTGAGCAGACATCGGCGAGGCCAGTTCCCCTTCACCTGACTCCGCTTCTGGTATTTTCAACCGAGCGTCCGACTCTCTACGATGGTGCTTGTCTAGCGCGTATGCGCCGATTGAAAATGAGTCACTTGATGCTTCGGAGACGTACGCGATCCCGCAAATTCAAGGCTATGGCCATGGGAGGAACGGCCTAGTTCTTCGCCGGCATGCGAAGTTAGGAAGTTACCATCGGCACAAGGAGAATCACAGTGTGCACGGAGTCGTGTATTTGTACCCTTCCGCGGACCAATTGACGTACCAATCTGAGTCAGCGCTACTAGCATGCCAGTGGCTCATTTGAACTGGTGAACGCCTCCGCAGGAAGGCAAGGAATGGGGCTACGTATGTGCCCGCGTGTGACCGGCGATGTTCTACCACTGAACACAATTGTAGTCTAATGCTGGGCTGATCAGCGATGTCTCCTGAAAACGGCGCACGCAGTAGAGCTCACCTCATTGGCTGGCAAAGGCATCGGGAACTTTTTCACTGGGTCACACGGGACCCGTATCGCTGCAAGTTGTGATCATGCTACTGCAGAAGAAGACGAACACGAACGGCCGAATTCGTCTTCTGTGATAGTTCTATTAGGAGCCTCGCACATCGGCAAGGGCGATCTGCATGCGAGAAACGACGACAGAAATGTAATGGTGCTGGGTGCACATAGATCACGCCACTAAAATGCTGGAGGAACCAATCAGCCGGGGCCATACTCGCTATTACACAATCGTGCATGCTACCAATACTCCCCTGGCGGCGGATGGGGAGTCTCAAGGAGTATCAAAACTGTGCCAATTAACGGTCGGGAAGAGTAAAGTGTTCGAAATCTCTGAGGTTTACATTCCGACCCCGATTAAGAGTCGAGACGAACCTTGACAACACAAAAAGGACCCCGCAGCCAGAGGCGAGATCAAAATACCTCTGAGCCAGCGCGCCGATCTCCGGGGAGCCGTTTTGACAGGCGTGTTGTTCTGTGTCAAGAACAACGTCTCAGTCATACTCTCCGAGGTCTCGCCAAGGTCTCGCCCTCGAGATACTATGTCATGGAGTAATCGGACGTCAGACTCATACACACATTGATGAAATACGATAAGCCCGGACTTACTTGTGCTCAGTGACTGCGGCAGCGGCAATATGACAGACAAACGAATCATCCGCGTTCCACGCACAACTGCAATTGTCTGCTCGTACTACATCGAACACGACTTGATCAATGTTAACAGGCAGGTTATACAAGACAGACTTCAGGATGCTAGCGTCAGAACTTGGTCAGAACGGTGAATGAGGGAAGACAGCTGGACGGACCTAGTAGCTACAGGATCTCGGCACGACTCGTACGAATACAGCGCTTGTCTTGGACTTCACAGGCTATGCTTATTTCTTCTTCTTTTCCGCCGTCATATCAGCACACTCAATCCACTTCTTCGGTACACCCTTGTTCAAAAGCATGTCAGTGACGGCTTTCATTTGCTTCCCCTGCACCATGACCTCCGATTCCGACGCCTTCCCCTGGACAGGATTCACTACGCCATCGGCCGGACGTCAGCGGTCTCGATCACTAAGCATCGGCGGGGATAGCACACTGACCGGACGTCGAACTCGCGCAGACCCGTCGGAGCTCCTCCGCTAGGTCCTCCGCGCTGAGGAAGTACGGCTCGAAGCCGGTCACGAGCGTGCACGCCTTGCGGCCCTGGCGTATCTTCACGATGACCTGGATCGGCTTCAGTTGGCCCTTCCTGGAAAGGGGGAGGGGAAAGAAGGTGGCACCGTGGCAGGCATCGTCAGGACGACTTCGCGAAGGACGTCGCGGATAGCACGTACTTCCGCAATACATCTCTGCCTTCCACCCGAAGCTCGTACCAGCCTTGCATGCGGTCCTTCAGCCGAGTCAATACCTCGTCGCGCTTCAGGAACTCTACGCCCAACTCGTTCTTGCTGGTGACCGCCGCGAGGAGTGCACTATCCTGACCGACATTGATGAATGCCTGTTCCTGCGCGTTTACGAGTGACTTCGCAGAAATATAGCTGTTGAGGATCGTTTTGAGGTCAGGGAGAGTAAAAAGCTCGGAGGTCCTGCGGGAAGTCAGCAGCGGACTTCGCTGTAGTAATCGTTACTGACTCCTTGTCGGCAGCTACGAAGAAATTGAGAGTAGTGCCGAAGGGCTTCCAGAACTCTGTGACTTGGATCTCGCCCCTCCGTTTCTCCTCCGCTTCTCTCTCTCTTCGCTCCCGATCCTCGGCCTTTTGCTGCCTCAGCTCAACTTCCTTCACCGTTCGGTGCTGTCTGTGGTCATTGACATCGGAATGCTTTGGAAACACGGCTGTACCGGGTCATCAGCCTTCTGGATGGGATCGCAAGAGATCTGCCGCACGGCAGCCTTACCTGTCACGACCACATCACCACCTTTGGCGTCCTTGAGCTTGATGAGACCATCCTTTGCGCACGCTTTCAAGAAAGCTTTCACCGACTTGTACGTGGAGTGCTTCGCGTCGATGCTGCCCATATCTACACAGAATGTAGATAAGCTCAAAGAACGTTGAAGCTCACGAGACGTATGTGCGTACCAAGCGGTTCTTTCCTGTCAGGCGCGTGCACTGGCCGCGCGGGGAGTACGTAGGTGGTCCAGAATGTTGAGGCGGTTATGGGGAATGCAGATGCGGGGAGTGAGGCGAGCGACGTTTGCAGGGCTTGCAGCAGTGCATCACGTAGGAACTGTGATACATCTGCTCAGATGAGAGCTTAAGTGAGCTGGGGCAACCTTTGGGGACAATACACGTACCTTCTGCGTTCAGAGGTGGCGACGAGGCTTCCGCAGCTGTGCCGTCTTCTCCAGTCTGGTGCTGCGCTGATGCGCCATTTGTCGTAGGCTGCTGGACCACTGCCTCCATGTTTTCCTCCGCGTTTCCATGCGCCCCGTTCTGTGCATTCGCTGTAGGTTCCACGAAACTGGGCTCCGGCACGTCTTGGCCCTTACTCGCGCCCATCTCCCACAATGCGTCTTTCCACGTATGCAGCACGTACACCGCCTTGCCCTTCACGTCGCTCTCCTCCGCCTTTGCGAGCTTTTGCTCATCCACCGCCGACCGCCCGACCGCGATCGGGTACCCGAGCTTCTCCCTATGGTATTGCGTGATCGCGACGAGCTGGTCCGCCTGCAGGCCGGGTGAGTGCTGGACCACTTGCTTTGCGCGAGCACGTCTGCGTCAGGTGCTGTGCAGGGAGTAGAAAAAGGAAGAGGCGGACCTCCTGGTATCATGAGATCGGCTCCGCCGACGAGCTTGGGGACGACGGGTGCGGGCGTGGAGAGGAAAGGGAGGAGGTCGGGGCGTTTCCATAGTGTGTACACTTGTCGGCGTGCAAGATGAGTTGTACACGCGCATGCTCAGCATACAACTACCTACCTGTCGGTATCAACGCAACGGAGTTCTTGCCAATGGTGAACCAGAGCGGGTCACCCTCCACAGAGAAGTAGGCTACCTATCCCGACTCCCTGGTCAGCTCATCCCTCGATCTCTCGGAAACGTTGCTTACCCCGGGCTCGTCCGCGTATGTCGCAAACTTCTGGTGATGCAATCCCTCTGGCACGAGGACGTCGCCCTCCTCGGGCTTGACATGACTGTAGGTCTCGAGCACGCGCTGCTTGAGCTTCCGGCGATCAGAGGTCCGTAGCGGCGCTGCGTTTCACGTCAGAGAGTAGTCGGAGACAGCAGCTAGCGCAATACCGATTGTTTTGAGATCGGAAAGGGGCTTTTTGAACATAGTTCTGGGAGTACAGTGCCAGGTCTTGAGTCCACGTCTGCGATGGGAGCGAGATGGGGTCAAGAGCGCACAGGCGCCCATTGTCGGCCTTTGCACTCCTCCACCATTCACGAACTTTGTCTCTCGAACACAAAACCGACTCAACCTTAACTTTAAATAAGCCACGGCTTCTGCGCTTCGTTCGTGACCTGAAGGCTCGCGGAAACGTAGAATCGAATGCGTAACGGAGTCATAACTGAGACCCACATCCTTGGGACTCGGAGAAGAAGCTACAGTAGCCTGTAGGACGTCGAAGACGGTCTGTGCTGTTTATCATGTACCAACTGTCCCAACCTTCGCACAATCTGCTACATAGGCTCACTCATAGCTCACCAGAAATTGTGCAGGAGCTCACCGGCACCCCAGAGGGCACCCATGATAGTGCCACAAAAAATCGCGTCGCTCGTCCGTGATATGTACGTCGGTCCCCATCGCTTCGTTCCAAATGCGATGATTGCGTATGCTGGACTATGCTACAATGCGACACTAAATCAAATTTTTTACAAGTACGTCCTGGTTCCACTTCTTTTTCCATCCATCATTGCGCCTCTATCACAAACCAACATCGTTGAGGGTCCTGTCTCCTCCGTCATTTGCGTTCTTGTCCGCGAGACTTTGCGTGGTCGCAGCGAGGGAGCCGCTCTCAGGGAGGTGGCCGACTGCCTTGTGCTCCTGACTCTGAATCTCCGCTGCGAGCTCCTTCGACACCGGCTCCTGTGCGCGCTTGTCCACGACGGACTGTGCCTGAGCAGCGAGCGAGCCAGTGGGTGGGCGGTAGCCGAGGGTCCTGTGCTCCTCAGACTGAAGAGCACGCGCCTCAGGATCAGCGATGGTGTTGACGTTCACATCGACCTGGGCAGCAGAAGCGTTTGTGTCCACACTCTCCTGCCGGAGGGTCCTGCGTTGCGGGTCAGCCACCTAGAAGTGCTAGGCACGCTGGGATCACTTACTCGATGGCGCGTGCGTCCTCGACTGCCGCCTTGGTGAGTGCTGCGGTATCGATACCCGCAGTCGCGTTAGGGTGCTCTGCAGCCACAGCCTGCGCATTAGCTGCCAGTGAGCCAGATGGTGGGCGGTATCCCAGGGCCTTGTGTTCCTCGGACATCAGCTTGCTTGCCTCAGCTATCGTGGATCACACATTAGCGACTATAGAAAGCACCTTCCGTGGGGTACATACCTATGCCGACCTGGTTGAGTGGGACTCTCGGTTGTCCTTCCAGCTTCGCGATATGTGCCGCATCCTCGATCGCGGCGCGCTTGAGCTCCTGGGGAGGGACTCCCGAAGTCGCGTCGGGGTGCTTCGCAGCCGCCGACTGTGCCTGCGATGCGAGGGAGCCCGGAGGCGGGCGGTAGCCCAGCGCCCTGTGCTCCTCCGACTCGAGCTTACGGGCTTCCGCTATGAACGAGACCTCAGCGGGTGCTCGCACCAGGACTCACAAAGATACCCACCCTCGCCGACCTTGTCTACGTCAATGGTCTTCAAGCTCTGGATGCGAGTGGCATCCTCGACAGCTGCCTGCTCCAGGGCTTGCTCGGGGATGTTGGCAGAAGTGTCGGGGTGCTTCGCAGCCTCGGCCTGAGCCGTTGCTGCGAGTGAGCCCGGAGGCGGACGGTAGCCAAGAGCCTTGTGCTCGGCGGACATCAGCTTGCGGGCCTCCGCTGCGTCGTATCGTACGTGTCAGTCGTTGTTGCAGATGCGCGACAGCGCAGATACGTACCTTCCCCGATGTTCTTGAGGTCGACGTGACCCGCACCAGCGAACCGCGTTGCGTCCTGGTGGGCGGCAAACATGACAGAACCAGCGTTGTGAGACATCTTGACAATAGTTGGATTCGTAAAGAGTCGTGAGGTAAGTAGAGACAAGTGACAAGTCGTTCGGTCGGGATGATTTGATCGAGAATACGAAGAAGCAATGTGGGAAGACGGGGGCGGTGACGGCCTAGTTTTATATTCTGACGAGTGCTGCGTCGACAGCAGTGGGGGTGATGGCGGAGGGTGCAGGTGATGTCATTTGCGGTGCGAGAGCGAGTGTGAAGCGGAGCGGTGGTGCCTCGCCAAAACACAAAACATCCAGTCACTGCGACTGTGATGGATGCTGATGGGTGTGGCGCAGGCGGTCTCTCCCTATTCCGGCGCCGTTGAGGGCACTTCTTGCAGTTCTGCTTGAGTCCTGCACGGACTTTCCGAATGTGGAGGTCACTCACTGCAGTGCCTCAACATCAATGAAATAGTTGACTGACAGAGGTGCGATATGCGCGCGGGAGGGGCTTAGCGAGGTGGTGTTACTGTTCCAACGAGCACGACATAGAATCAACTCGTGGATCTGCCAGACTCGGAGAACAAGCTCCTTTCAAGTTGTCCAAGTAGAAAGAACCACTACGTTCTTCTATCTCTGCTATTCATGAACTGAGTTGCTTTATGTAAGTGATATTCCGTTGAAATGAGTCGCTCGCAAAGCCACCGCCTCTAGATCTGTCGACCAGCTCAGTAAGTTCAGACGAAGTCGCAGTGGTGGAGCGACGAGCTTTACACCGCATAACGTCACGCGTGTCGTGTCGAATTTGATCACATGACCGCGTCTCGTAGTTTGTGTACAATGTACTTACATGTCAGATTGTGAGCATTTGTTGACCAGGCCCCAATTGGTGTTCGAAGAAGAGCCCATGTAAACACTGTGCATACTAAGTGGAGTATCTCATCCTAAAGGATATTCGTCGGAATTTGGACCTGAGGCGTGGCAGCTCGGCGTCAGTCTTTGTTCGGATTGAATCAAATCTGAATCGACGAGTCGACTTACAACCGGACTGGATCGTCTCTAGCCATTGCACAGGCGCCCAAGCCCGTGCCCGGTGGCCCCGGGCCAGCCGCTGTGCTTCCTCAGAATCCTCTTCCTCACACTGAGCCTCAGAGACGCAACGTCTGACTTGCGGGAAATTCGTATTGTCTGGCTGAGTTTACGAGACCATTATAAGCCTCAACAAGTGAGTCTGATTACCATCAACATATCTTCCGAATACTCACTACGCGGCGTCTACCCCTACCCAGCCGTACTACTTAGTAGTTCACACAGGGACCAGTCATTGCGTGCTGGCAGCGATAGTTCAAGATGCTAGCAAGTGCGTAAGAGCGCCTCCTCATCTATTGTGGAACTCACAATGTTGGAAGGTGTCAAGGAGAAGGCCATGAAGGCCAAAGACTACAGCGTCGACAAGGCCACGCACACTCGGGACCACATGGTTAGCCAGCCAAGCAAGAAGATCAACTGGGACCCAAACCACAAGAAGCCACCCCCGCCGCCTGTTATGAAGCCAAAGAATAGTGATCTCTACGCGCCTCCTCCGTCCAGGACATCTTCTACCACGAGTAGTGCCAGGAACACGCCTTCCAGTCCGAGTCCGCCCAGCGCTCCAGGACCACCACCTCTGATCCGCAGAGATTCGCGCCCTGACAGTGTCTCTCCGCCTCCTGCTCCGCCTCCGATCTGTAGGCAAACGCGCCCGGACAGTATATCTCCTCCCCTTCCACCACCTCCAGTCCGATCAGTCTCGATCACAAGGTCTTTAGAGACGATCGAAGATGAGAAGATTGACTGGACAAACTTGTCGCCGGAGGACAAACAAGTCTTCTTCAGCTGGCTGGACGAGTTCTTCGCGAGGTACCTCAACTTGCCTGTACCTCCACGAAGCGTGGAGGGAACTAAGAAGATCGTCAAGGAACCTGCTACTCCACTGACCTTGGCTGCGCCTGCACCTAGAACGCCATCCAGTGTCGCAGCGGTGAGTCTCCCTTGCAATCGCAGCATGCAGGGTCACTCAGACGACATGTAGCCTCCCATATCGAAGTGGTCACGACCGGCCCAGCCATCTCCTGCGCTCGCCGTCCCAACAGACGGTGCGAGTCTCGCTTGATTACTACAGACTCCGTGTTCATTTGTAGTACAAGACTTCATTATGTCCTACCCTCCATCGACGCAGTACGGCTCAGCCGCACTTGACGTAGCCATGCACTTTTCGCCGTCTGCTCACTGGGACGACGAGTGGTATAAGAGCTCCAACATGGGATTCGTACCGGGTCTGAAGGGGAGGTCCGACACGCGGCAAGTCGCCACAATCACCCAGCCGGACCCCTACACAGCCGTCTTCCACGGCAGCGCTCTCTTCGCCGATCTCAGCATAGTGTGGTTCTCCGTTTCGTACCCGCTCGCCAGCGAAAGCGACCCCAACGACACCCGCACCGTGCGCCGCGAAGCGCGTTATCTGCCACGCCCCTCGCCCATGGACCGCGGCGCCCTTGTCGAAGCAAGTGAAACGTACGGCGAGACCATCGCGTCGTTCGCTGAGAGCTTCGTGGACGCAGGCGAGTACTGTGCACGGGGCGAGTGCTGGGATCTCGCTGCGAAGGCCATCGAGTGCTTCGAGCAGTACGACTACGTGCCTCCGCCTATCCCAAGCACACTGCGCACGCACGGACATCTCATATTTGAAGGGAAGGCGATGGGGAAGGGCAACCAGGTCGGGCGCTGGCGCGGCGGGGACGATCGCGTACGCCGGGGTGACATCGTCGAATGGCGCAAGGTGCGCTTCGTCATGTCCACTGGCAGGATGACGCAGACGAAGATGCTGGGAAACCCGGACCACACCGCGGTCATCGTGAGCGACGCAGTCCCGTCCGTGCAGGTGTCGGATGGGCAGTCTTTGAAGCCGGCCGACCTGGGCACGCTGGAGGTGGTTGACCAGAGTGTAAGCACGGGCATCAAGCCGAAGCTTGACAAGTGCGTCATGAGCGGGTTCGAGGAAGGGGAGGTGTGGATTTACCGGCCGGTGAGTATGCAGGCGTACATCGGTTGTGCATTGCAGGCCGAATGTCCGGAGGGAATCAACGCACTCAGGGTGTGACGCTGAACAGTATGTATGGATATTGCTATCTCTGATGCTGGGCTGTATCTATCTATGTTTAAGTATGTAATTTGATGGCCTCACTGTATCGCTGCGAGCGATTCTGTCGAATACGGACGCAACCGCCTGTAAGGCATGGCAATCTTCAGCTTCTCCTGCCATCTGAACCACAAGAGACATTCCATACCTCGCAGCTATGCTATGCGCCGTTGACGGCCGGTTCAGTAGCACCTCTACATCAGTGATGTCTTCGGTGGCTCTGCAGCATGGTTTGTTAGCAGACAGTACTGCTTCAGTGGAGACTACTTACGGTCTGCCTTCCAATACATCCCGAAGGAGGCGCAATCGTTGACGTATCCCAAGGAGCGCATTCCCATTCGACGGAACTGCCATTGCATCACAAAGAGACACCAGGGCTTCCAGTGCACCGAGGGCGCCCAGTGGTAACAGATGTATGTCACGTTTGGCGACGGCTATACATCCGTCCACCAGCCTGCATACGACCCACCACGCGCTCTTGCTGTCCATCTTCTGAGCTATAATATTCACTGCTTCCGAGCTCGAGTTGCCTGTAGCGGAAACCACCGCATTCTCGATCAGGTCGACGTCGGGGGAGGGCAGCCTCGCCGACATCACAAGGATGGCGGATAGAAGAGAGGTTGCTGTTACGAGGTTGTCCTCATCTTGCAGTGGTCGCATACAAGAACTCAAGATTTGGATGTCTGCGAATGAAGTATCTGATTTCTTGGTCTTCGACTATGGGTGGAATGCTTACTATGTTCGTTGGGCGGGAATTGTCCAGAGTAGCGGTAAGCCACGTCGACCATCTCGTCTCCGGCGCCTTGGGAAACGCCCGTTGTCTGTATCAAAGCGCAGAGGCGGTCGTAAACCGATGATTGCAGTGGAGGAGTAGCGTAGATGATGTGGTCTAAGGCTTGAAGAATGCTCCTTTGTCGGCTCGCTGATGGGGCCGAATCGCCGTGGTTCCGTTGCAGCTGTTCCACCATGTCCAAGCACATATGGCCGAGAGCCACACACAGTTCTGACGATATGGTACAACCACGATTAGAGTGTTACTACTTGCCGTAGTACACGGAACGTACCTGGGTGATCCCCAGAAATTTCGGTGCGTTCCGCCAGATGAGTGCAAGGGCTTCTTTGCGGGGCTCTGGTGACAGGTCTGCGCCGATAAACCAGGCCACATAGCCCTCGTAGACCGAACAGTCTGTTACGGGCATAGCGGAAAGGAGTCGCCCGAGTAGATCGAGGAGCCTGGGCTCTTCGCGCTGCTGATCGGCCTCGCCCCCCTCTGCCTCGATACGACGGAGCATCTGCAGCGTCAAGTGGCCCATGACAACGACAGAATTGTTGTCCATCTCGTCTGCAAGCCACTTCGGCATCGGTCTCTGGCCGGCTGTGGTGTCGATGAAGTGAGCGCGTTCCTGGATTATACGGTAGAAGATAGCCAGCGCGGAGTAGATGTCGGCGTGGCTGAGGCAGGGCTTGACGACTTGATCGAGGAAGGTGTCACCACCTATGAACTTATCGGCAGCGACGAGCACGTCCAAGCTGTCTTCGCCCTTACCAAGGCGCCGCAACTTGGCCTTCTCCCTGGCAATCCAGCTTGACCCCGGCCTGATGGCTCTTCCCGCGAACAGGAATGTTCTCCACCCCGTGAGGAACCCGAACTTCGAGACAAGGGTGAACAGTTGTGTGATTCGGCGGAGCCCTTGGTACACGCGCCACGCCTGAGGGGACCTGTATGGGCAGTCGCCCGCCAGAGTTGGCGCGACGGTCGTGTACAAAGTGAACGCGAGGATCAGCGCTGTCGGCGCCAACACGACGCCCGCGACGAGGTGGTTCATTGTCCAGAGAAAGAGTTCCATTCCGACGAGGAATAAAGCGAGGGCGATCTGAAGTAGGAGCGGGATCAATGTGATGATCTCGGGGACGCGCCAGCCAAGCAGCCCTCGTCGCCGAGAGTGCCACATTTGAGCGCGCTGTCGCGGTACGACGCTCTGTGGGACGACATAGTGCTCGAGCCATTGTTTGACGCTGATGCCGATGGATGCAGCGGCCAGACTGAGAACTAGCGCAAAGAACCATAGGGTATTCACGGCGACCGCCAGGCCGGTCGTTCCGCTTGTAGGCACATTGATCGTGCCATTGAGGTTCTCGATGCCCCCGGGAAGTATAGTCATGTTGGCCGACATAACGAGAATGAATGCAGGTGGTGGTGAAGCCTGGAAGGATGGCTGGAGACTAGACCAATACTGGTTGACGAAGGTGGCGACTATCGCGGAGAACAGACCTGCCTACGGGAAGCGAAGACTCAGTCATGTCAATCGCACGACGCTCACTTTCGTAGGTACTTACGAAGACCAGCATTGTGTCAATTTCTTCCTTCCAATTCTGAATGGTGACTTCTTCATGTTTCCAGACCTCTTCAGCGCACATGGCCCACGCGCCAGATGTATCTGACGCAGACGCAGGATTCTGGCCATCCGCGTTGTGGATGTCGATCTTGCCATCCTGCCTGCTCTGCGTACAGTGAGTCTCGCTTGTAGAGAGGACATAGACTAGGAACGCTACCTGATAGTCTGCGATGCCATTGCTGCTCCTCGGTCGCTGACTTTGTGGAGCAGAAAGGTCGTCGCTGGAACTGATGTTGATAATGACGTCCGGGTCGGAAGTACTCGCCAATCTGCTGTAACGCGAGTGGTATGAAGTCGGGAGGGCGCGCATCCGTGTGTCAGGCGAGGCCATCGAATAATATGCAATGTTCGAACGGATTTGGTGTCGACACTGGCTATCAGCGTCGCGAAGAGGAGGCGAGAGCCTGAGTCCGAGGTGCGAGGGATCCCGCAAGATCCGGTGGGGGGGAGACAAAAGTCAATCGACTACACAGTCTTTGGGGCGAACAGATGCGCGAGCCCTTGTTATACAGCCCCTACATGTCGCTTCACGTTCCGAACACATGTCAGTTCTTTTGATCACCTCTGATCATTGTGTGAGAAGCTGCAAGGCGCTGCCGAAGACAGCGCAGTGCCTCCATAGTGCTGCGCCGGAATACCAAGCTTCGGAATGCGCCCCAAGTAGCAAGCTGCGGCACTTAGCTGACTGCAGTTCGTCTGGCGAAGGACTCCGCGATGGTGGGCAATGCTGAATGCGATGATACGCCAGTCAGGAACAGAAGCCTGACGAGACGACGGGATGTCTGAGCGCCTCCCAGTGCAAGACTGCCTACATCTGTCGCCGAGTAAGCTCTGACAATGGCACAGACATTTCTGTTCATGGGCGCACGCACTACTGTCCACGGCAACACGGCTGTCTCCTGCAGCATGCAAGACAAAAGCCATGGGTTCGACCAAGGTTCGTCAGTCCGAGACGTATCGCTGCGCTGGACGGGCGAGTAGCATGGCCGAGGAGCTGGCAGCAACAGCGTGATCTGGGCTGTCCCATAGAGGCCCTACTGTAGGCATTGTGTGATCGAATGGAGGTACGAACGTGCGTAGCGTTCGATATCGCCACCCCCGTAAGGCGATGTAAACCTTACCATTATCGGAGGGACGGCACGGGCGTGCGGCCAAACCACATTGTTCCGCACTACAGCAGATTGAGTATTTTGACTTTGACTGAGCCTTTCTTGAGCGGAGGCCGGACGGCTCGGAAGACATAAGTAATTCCTGTACACGGACCGGGCTCCCAAGCCCAACCATTCTGCCGAACGCTATTGGCCGATTGGCAGCGTCTGCTGGCACGGAGCATACACTGCCGCTGGAATTTCGAAGTAATTGTGAGAGTGCAATTCGCCCAGGCGTCGAGACGGTGAAGACGACAGTTCGCGCGATGTTCTGAGTCAGACTTGGTTATGGGGAAAGCTACCTCCGGATCGGGATCTCCCGACGAATATATATATTGGGTAAGAGACCAACTGAGATCTTATCAGATACGCTCCCCCCATCCTCTCCTGCTCGCTCAATTTCTGTTCCCCGCCTGGTCGACGCCATGCCCATCTCAAGAGACAACCTCGAGAGCGCGATCCGCGGCGCTCTGCCCATCATCCACCTCGACATCATCGACCAGTCGAACGGGTGCGGGGAGAACTACGCGGTGTTCGTCGTGAGCCCGGTGAGTTCGCTCCTGTTGCACGCAGAAGGCGGATCGTCTGAGACGAGTTTGTCAGGCCTTCGAGGGCAAGAACACGTTGGCGAGGCATAGATTCAGTAAGCACCGTTTACGTAGGCCGCCGCCTGGCTGATCGGGTGCAATTTAGTAAATGAAGTCCTCAAGGATCAGATCGCCCAGATGCACGCCTTCTCTCAGGTTAGTGCGCCCTGCAGGTCCAGCCATACGCACCTGTTGGATTTGTATGCTCACATGCTCACGGTCGTAGAAAACGCTGACTCCGAAGCAATACGAAGTGCAGCAGAGCAAGGAGGCATGATACCTGCCACAGACGACCCGTGAGCAACGTCTCTTGTCCGCCTTCATACCACCCCTCACGCGACTGAAGCAGCAATAGGGGTTGATGCCAATATTTAAGGTGCTCGCCGTTGCAGCATCGTGTGCTCTTGATCTTCATTGTACGAGTGAAGCGGTGTATCATTACAGTAGAGTACTTTTAGCAACCATGGATGCACATACCAATACAACAACAGCCACGACAGATAGACGTCAGAAGGATCCTAGCCCAAATCGACCATACGAACAACGGAGATCATGCGAAGTGTATGCCAGCTTCGTGGAATGCCGATAGCAGTCTGGGTGGAAGCGTCAGCGAGACCCGTCAAAGACGTAATGGACACTCACTTCAGCAGATCGTCAATATCCATCTTCGCTGCTCGGCTCTCTGCATAGCCAGTCTCCTGCAAGACTTCCTGTACCTTCTTTTTCATATCGACGTTGTCCTCGACCATCTGCACAGCGTTGTAGTCAATTACTGCACTGGCATGTGCACCGCCAGGACGTACCACATTGTTCATCGACGCCCACGTCCTCCAATTGCTCTCCAACATCTCCATCACGCCCTTCGCGAGGAAATTCGCGTGTATAATCTTGTTCCTCCTGCTGAACACGATCCTCGCCAGCCCGTCGAACTCGCCAAACTCCACGGGCGGCGGGGGGTCCCGTGGGACGAGCCGGATCACGCTGCTCTCGACCTTGGGCGGGGGGCGGAAGTTGTTCTTGCTGACGTGCATCGTGAGGTCGACCTTCGCGTAGAGCTGGACGTTCGCGGAGAGGCGCGACCAGAGCTCGGTGCCGGGACGCGCGACGAGGCGCATCGCGAACTCGCGCTGGAACATGAGGATCGCGACGCGGAAGAGCGGGCGGTGCGAGAGGAGGCGGAAGACGAGCGGCGAGGAGATCTGGTACGGCGTATTGGAGATGCAGACGTCGAAGTAGGGGAGCGTGGCTTTGACGAAGTCGCCGATGATGATCTCGAGCTTGCGTTGTTCGGGTCTGCGTTGCGTTGTTGGGATGGGTGAAGGCAGGAAGAAATAGAGCACTACTCACTTTCCCTGCACTCGTTTGGTGAGCTCGGCTGCCATCCGAGGGTCCATCTCCACAGCCGTTACATGTTTCGCCTTCTCCAAGATCTTGACTGTCAAATTACCCGTACCAGGGCCGACCTCGAGCACTTTGTCTGTCGGACGCAGACTCGCCTAAGCCATGCGCTCCGTCAGGCTTTCCTTCACCATCTAGACTCCCTGATACGTACTGTGTCAACAATCCTGTGAACAGCATAAGCACCATGAAAAGACACTCACAGAACTAAACGCACGTTTGGGCCGTCTGCGGGTTCTTAAGGATATGTTGGCCGAACCGCTCAGTGTTGAAGATCGGGTTGTGTACGCCAGATGAGGACCCTGACGACTCTCCCGCGGACTTTGACTTCGCGGAAGGTAAATGTGCCCTGCTAAAGCGGTCTGACGTTGCTCGAGGCATGGCAATGTATGTGTCGGGGTATAGACGACAACAGAGCGAGGGGATTGAGATGATCGACTGGACCAAGACTGGAGCAAAATGCTGAGCGCTCAATTGCCATATATCGGGCCGGGATCTCGGGCACCTCTGCATTTGAAGACTTCCCCTCAGTCCGAGGGCAGAATAACTACCCTCTTCGAAGTGTGAGTGCAGCTTAATGCATCTTAGTGACATACTACACTACTTGAAATGGTTATAGGAACCTCGACTCATGGGGAGTGAATATTTTCCTGACGAGGGTGCAAATAGGCGCTGATACACCCCAGTCGGCCAGCCTCAATCGAGTTATATATATCGCTGCAGGTCGTTTACAAGCCCATATAATTCTTGTATAGTTGCTAGAGATACAATGACTAATATGAGACAGTTGTCAGAGCGAAGGATGGGAGCAAGGCGATGGAAGACGATGGACAATGTCCGGAAGTGAGGATGCTTAGGTAATACTTACCAAATCTGGGTGTTATCCTCCAAAGTCACTGCTCCCAGTTTTGGCTGTAGGGGCCTATAATTGTGTATACATAGGAATGAGCTGTGCAGGTATACGACAGTTCTATAAGCGTGGCCATAGAACGGGGAGCAGCTAGTTGAGGTCGGTCTCAGTGACCTAGGGTGGCTGAGATCCTGGCCCGATTGGTCATTGAATCATTGCGCGATTGAGCGCTTGTGCAATGACCCTCCTTTACCCAGACCTTCGACGACTACTCAGCTTGGCCATGGCCATCTCTCAATGAAAGCCGTCTGCCTGTTCAATACATCTATGCTACCTTAAGACGAATGGATGGCCTACTGCACGGCGACCTTATGAAGGCTGTGGGAATCCATGCGGTCGACGTTGATCTCCTTCTGTAACGACACGCCCAATGGCAGTACTGTATACGTGTTCGTCCAGGTTCGTCTCCGCCTCTAACGTGCAATAGTTTGTACTTCTACGAACCGCTGATCGTCCCGCATGACTACCAGCGAAGCGAACCATCCACAATTCGTGCGCAGTTCACGCGTCTCCATCGTCGATGATTAGCCCGTCGGTACCCGGGAGAAGTTCGCTCAGTGTGGAGAGGCAGCTTCGCGTGTCTCGCGGGGAGACGATGCACGGCGTACGTCCGGGAACGCACCCTTTTATTGCGCCGTTGCTGCGTGTGCGGTATGCGAGAGCTGTTTATAGCTCTCCCGGAGATCGGTTCTAGCGGCGGAGGACCGCATGCTCGAAACCCGAGGTCATGACGCGCATGCGCTCGGAAGTAGGGAGTTGCGTTCTCATCTGTTCTCATACGCAATGCGGGGTTGTGCAATTAACCCAGCTCCGCTAAGTACTTATGGATGCTTCCCTTCGTGATTCCTCCGGCCCATCTGCTGCGTGGATGCTAATCTCACCTTGTTCTCGTAACAGCTGCCAGCAAGTGTCACATATTGCGAACGCCCATGCGGAAGCAGTTGCTCGAGACCTCGGAAGGACTACATAGCGTCTGTATAGCGCTACGTCCGCATCAAGTTGCGTACATAGGTGCGCGTATACGCTCAAGTAGTGGCACTGGATAGCCCGTAGACGACGTTGCGACTCTACACAGTTTTGTGATACTTGTACATGTTTGCACAATACGACTTTGCGGTGGCACCGTGGCAGCAACGCGGGCAAATGACGACTTCTCGATCCGAACACGATCATCCCTCGAACCCACTCCACCGCGCTAGCCTCGTCGCGATAACCGTGACAGCGGGTTCTCATCCAATATCATTGGTGAGCGCTATAATCCACGAGTGATCATATCGCGAGTTCTGAGTCTAACGCACGCTTCGCCTTCGCAAGCTCCCCGTATTGCATTGTTCACTATCGTATGCACGGCGGCGGCACCACATGTACATAAGTATACTCACGACGCGTGCGGCGGACTTCCGACAAGCACTGACATCGAGCGAATTCCCGCGTGGCCAACGCAGGCTCATCGCTTTCGGCAGTGCTCACAGCCTAAGTGCACGCGAGGATGGCGCGTTGGCTGGCCAACGCGAAGTCGAGGATCGCGTCTTGCGAGGGCGACTGCGGCGAAGCAGCAGCGATGATGGCGGCGTGACCCCCGAATCAGGTGATGGTGACGGGACGCGGGCACTGCCCATGACGTGACCCCGCAGTCGAACGCACCCCAGATTCAAGCGAACGCTCCCCGTTCCACCAGCCCCACCGCCTGAACCACTCCTTAAAGCCATGCGCCCTATTATCTCTCGCCTTTACACTCGACCACCACCATCTCCATCTCACCGCGCTCACCACTCACCGCCATGATTGCGACTGCAACTGCCCCGAGCATCGTCACCTCCGAGGTCCCAGTGGTCAACGGCGACATCCTGCGCGCTACCGGCTCCCCTGCCGAGTCTCTGACTGCGGACGACGTCGACATCGCACCGCCTAAGACAGCTGCTACCCGGCGACCTTCCATTGCAGAGGCCGTCGGGATCGACCTTGAGGCTGTAGGCAGATGTGAGTCGGTCTCATTCTTCGATAGTATCAGGACGCTAACCGCGCTACGCAGCGGAGGCCCGGAAGATCATGTCCGAAGAGCACCGGGTGCTCGGTTTCCGCCCGCCCCACGGCTCGCTCGCTGCAGAGGTGCAGGCTGCGGCCGCGAAGCACCCCGAGGGAAAGCCGGGCAAGCAGCTCCCCGACCCCGTCACGCTCAAGGAGCTCGCCCGCCAGGACGCCGAGCGCATCCTCGCCGAACGCAAGACCAACGTCGATGCGAGCTCGCCCGGCGTCAAGGTCATCCACGCGAACGGCGCGAAGGCCGTCTCACCGCCCGCCACAGGCGGCGTGAACCTCGGCGCCATCAGTGCCACTGAGGCGCGTACGCTCATGTCGCACGAGCACAAGGCACTGGGCTTTCGTCCGCCGCCCGGCTCGCTCGCTGCTGAGGCGCAGGCGGCCGCCTCGAAGCACCCCGAGGGCGCAGGCGTCCCGACGGTCGACCCCGAACTGCTGAAGGACATTGCGCTCAAGGACGCTGAGCGCATCAAGGCCGACCGCGAGGTAAACTTGGTGGGCGAGGTCAACGTCAGCACCATCGGCGAGGCTGGGGCAGAGCATCTCGCCAACGCAACGAAGGAGGCTCTCGGACACACCCCGCCGCCCGATTCACTCGCAGGCGAGGCGCAGCGCGCAGCGGAGGCATACCCTGAAGGCGGCAGCTTCCCCGTGATGGATGGCGACGTGCAGCGCATCGAGGACGTCGGTCGTCGGGAAGGCGAGAAGCTCAAGGCGCAGGAGGCCGCGGAGCAGCCGACGGTGGATGGGTGAGTCGCTGTCATCGTATTGTGGGAAGGTTGAAAGGTACGAACGGTGCAGTGAACAGACACACCGCGTGAATGGGCTCGTGGGCGACGTCGCGTCCATCCAACTGAGCGACTTCCACAGGCCGTCGACGGGCGGCGGCCTGGCAAGCCCCGAAAACTTGTCGATGAAGCACGGACTCGGCGCCGTGCTGCGCTCGTCGGTAATGCGCCGCATCTCGACGGGCGATTCCGTCGAAATCATCGGAGACGTCATTGGCTGAAGGCCGTGACAGGATATCCCCCCGTAACTTATCAAACCCAACGTCCCCTCACAGCGCAAGTGTACGATTGTGATGAGTATTTTATGTCGCTGTCGTGCTATAATCGTCTGTCCGTCCAATGTATCGTCATAGCTCTGTCGAGATCAGCAATACCCCGCTAGTCGGCGTGTATATACATATATCGATTCCACCTCGAAACGAAGTCTCGTTGTCTTAGAAGTCCAATCGTTGGTCCCGAAAGCTTGATACTTGAAGTCTTGAACCTTGCAGCTAGCTGCAAGAATAAATGTGTGAGTACGCATAATGGTCAGTGTACATGCACATAGGGAAATCAGAGCTATCTGTTAGTGTCACAGCTTCCTGCGTAGCTTCCCAGATCCTCGCAAAGTCATGATCGCACTTGAGGCCCAGGCTGCGAAGGTTACACTTCCGCACGCTCTCACTGAGAAGCAGAGTGGCATTAGCATCTGTGATGACGACGTCAGTTGCGGCCGTAGTAACCAATCACAATGGAGCCAATCACAATGGAGCAGCAACTACGCACCATGCGAAGGGTCGACCGGGCATTCGTAGGTGAAGTCCATGTGCAGGTCCTTAATAGTCTCATACCCACCTTTGTCCAGGAACTCATGGAACCGCACGACGTCCTCCACCGAGCCGAACTGCGCCTCGATGCTCTCGAGGCGGGGCAAGCCCTGTCTCAGCAATATAGACTGAAAGTCGTTCGGCAGACCGCTCGCGTTGAACACGACCATCCGCCTCAGCTCGGGCAGCGGAACGACCGCCGCGGCCGGCGCGGAGACGTCGCCCACCCCCGAGAGCATGCGCGTTTCGACGAACACGTCCCGCACCCGCGGGAACGCGCGCAGCAGCCCGTCCAGCGCGTCGAGGTCGCACCACGTCGCCTTCAGCTTCACCGACTCGACGGAGTGGAGCGAGCCGAGGAGCTCGTACCACACAGGCTGGAGCTGCTGCCCCGTGCACCGCACGCACTTCACCCCGCCTCCTCGGCGGAGCTGTTCGAATATCTGAGAGAGCGCGGTGCGTGTGGGGAGCTTGCTCAGCCAGGCGGGGATCCGGACCTCGCGGGCGGCACGCGCGAGGGAGGGGGACGCGCGGAGGATGTCGGCGAAGGCGAGGATCCGCGGGGCGGATTTGAGGTTGAGGGAGGAGAAGAGGTGGTGCCGGGTGGCGGGGGCCCAGGCGCGCGCGACGCGGCTGCTGGCGATGAGCGTGGCCGTGTCGGCGAAGTTGAAGTCGATGATGTGTTCGACGAGTTCGGGGGGTATGTAGGGAGAGGGTTGGGCTATTATGTTGTGTCTTTCCTGTCGGTGCATACTGATCTAATTACTGAAAAGAAGGTGAAGGCGACATGTCAGTCAGGATAGCCCTGAAGTCATTTCAACAAGGTGGACACACACCTGAAGTCCTAAGGCGGCCTACGACGTGCTACGCCGCTTTGAGGTATGAATGGAAGAGTAGAGTGGGCATGACGAGCGGACAAGACCATCATATATACCAGGTAGCGATGGTCCGTTAAGTCCGTGGCCAACTGTGGCCGACCAGTGTGGCTCCGGACGGATATGGAAGTCTTTCCCAAGAACAATGGCCAATCAGCACGCGAGGAGCACAGCACGGACAATGCAAGATCGATACTTAGATCTTGTGGCGGCCATAGCAACGCAACTACAAAATAGCCTTTTCGGAAGTTTCACCGTGTCACTTACCTCGCGGCGAACACGCTGCAGCGAGCGCGTGGCAGTGAGCTCGCCACAGAGCTTGGGTTCAACAAAGCCTTGTCTCGTCGGGCATGCGAAACAAATTGGTGATTCTGGAGAACGTATGGTCATCGCAGCCGCAGAGTGTCGCTCACTATTGTACAAATCGCGTATGTTCGGGTCGGAAACACAAGGGGAAAAGCCTGCAAGGGCCCAGCCAGGTCACTTCGTCAGAACGCGCTCGCAATACTCAACGTCATTCTTCACGGACGAAGCGGGGCTTTCGGCTTTGCCGCGATCTTCGTAGGCCTTCGTGGCGCTCAAGAGCTCGAGGGACGCGGGCGTGAGGACTGGCGAGAAGGATCAGCATGAAATTGAATACAGCCACCCATCAATAGAATCGAGGATACGCACCGCGGTCAGAGTCGGTGAAGATGAAGTGGTAGAAGATGCCTCCCAAGATCGTCGCGGGGATGTTCGTCAGAGCAGCGATTGCAGCGTAGCTTCCGCCTGAAGCCGGGAGCCCCCAGAGCGAGAGGACTGCCAGACGACCGCCGACGTCGCGTGCCGAGTTAGCTGCGAGGCTTGCGGGAGAAAAGCCCCAGATGACGATCCCACTGACACGGCGCGGTCAGGGAAAGCGGCGCAGGGAGGATCGAGAGCTACCGTACTAAGTAAAGCCGATGATCCAAGGAGCGGCGACCGGAGGCGAAAACGCGTTGGTGGGATCTAGGCAGGCGAAGATCACGACGGCTAGGACGAAGTCCTAGAACAGCAAGTTGAACGGATGGACGCAACGGGCGAAAGGCACATGAATACGCACACAGACGAATTCATTCAAGAAGACGTTGCCCAGGTTAGCCCCAGGCGTGGCGTACAGTCCGAAGATGCCGCCTGGGCCTTGCGCCGTGAACATGACTGAGTCGTAGAGATCCTTTGCTTGCAGACCTGCAATCGCTTCCTGTGACGGGGGTTAGTTCTGCCAGGTAGCCTGTCATGGGCCAAGTCACAGACCTTGATCATGTCGTGGTATTGCACGTAAATGAGCAAGCACGCGACGTAGGCCCCAACAATTTGCGCAACGATAAGTCTGGTGCGACGATGGCATAAGTTGTGATCAATATAAAGGCTAGTTGACTGGTAGTGGTTTGGCCGTCTTACCGCAACCTCTCAGAGGCGTAACATTGCCAGTGAGCATGTGCCAGATCGTGAAGGCAGGATTTGCGTGCCCATTGGACGTCGGCTGTGCATTACATTTGTCAGTGGCTAGGTCATCCGAAGATAGCTGTAAACCACCAGACAGATGATAACCGCCAGCACGATTCCAAGGGAATATGCCATCCCGACTTGAAGCACACCTGTAAACAGTGCATCGTCACTATGACTGAGGTTATGGATATGCTTCGCAGACACATACTGCCGACGCCCTGCACTCCCAGGAGGTTTCCTAGGACATACGTTGCAGTCGATCCAGTACCCGCAAACGTGTAGAGGAAGGTAGACAACTGCGTGAAGCCGTCAGGAGCTGAGCCACATGAAGGCAATTCAGCCACTCACCGCTTCCGCGACGAACTCTACGAACCAGCGGGCACGTCCCCGCCTGTGCTTCTGCCAGGGGGCCAGGAGCCGCGGTTGTGGGTGGCTTCTGCTAGACGTACAACGGGAGTCACCCTCGAAGGAGGAACAGGATGCTGCATGGTGGTTACGACCCGAGTAGAGGAGCAAGAAGGGGCGGCGCAAGTGAATGGAGAAGACCATCACTTATATATGTACTATGCGCTAAGACGATCGTGATCAGGGGCCGCAATCTTAGTCCATTTCAGCTCCATGGACGAATACAGCGCGTGGAGTTTTCGTTCCTTCGAAGTGGGCGAGTCTGGGCGAGTTCCCAGACTTACCCTTGGGCGGCGTGGGCCAGAGCTGTCTGTAACGATGTCCCAAGACATCGGTGACATCTGGGACCTCGAGACATCGCTGTTCCTTAGCCTACTCCTAGAGTGGAAGAGAGGTAAGCATTTCAGATGATCTGAGTAGTGGCTTTGCCTGTCTTCTCAATGTCATGTGTGTGGGAGCACGCGCTCTTGATGATGAACCCGTGAACAGCGGGTCGACTGCCATTATTGGGCAAGCTTGTTTGAGGCTAAATGAACAAGAAGCGTAACGTATAAGATTTTAACTTACCTTCCCGGTCAGTAGCCCACTGTTCTTGTCAGATGCCAACTTAGCGGCTACTCGAGTTCGTTTGAACGTCTGTATTCGAGTCAGGCCATGAGTGTGACGGGTTTTCGAGGGGAAAGTCAAGGTAGTATCGCGGGACTTCTGCGGCCAAACATTGGGATCTCAGGCTCTTCCTGGAAAGGCCCCCTGATGCTACGCTGGAGCCATTGGGTGTCATCTGCCAGTCACGGTGGGCGGAGCCAAGGTAACGACTCCTCGTGTAAGTAGTCGATACCTAATGCGGAACTCAACGCCACAAGGCGGGTTCTCCCGAAATTAGAATTCGAAGCGCTCGTGGTCGCGAGTCGCATCCTTCTGCCAGCGCACTCAGATCAAGTTGAAGGCCCTGGCCGGACAATTTTTTTCCAGATCGAGGGAAACGGACTCCATTTTTGGCTCCAAATTCAAGTTGAATCGACAACCAGCTTCACCCGGGACGAATGATTAATGACGGGCCGGTGACACGCACCATGGCTCATCTACAAGGGATGACTCATCGGATAGCTCGCGCCATACCATGCTCTAGGTGTCAGCTCGTTGGACAAGTGGGGAATGGGAGGTAAGTATGCCAGCGTGTAGGACGGCGGGGGGACAACTGGGGCGAGGGCGAGCCAAACAAAGTCGAAGGTGTGTACCGGTGCTGGACATGTTCAGTTTACGCAACTGTAGCAAGTCTGAGCTACTAACTGCAGTCCGCCAAAATCGCCCTCTATAATCTTGCGCCTTTGTGTGAGTACACCAATTTGATTGTCCAAATAGTATAGCTCGTGGTGACTCACTGCAGCGGCCGGCACAGTCAGCCTCAGACAGTCATTGCGCAGCCGCAGCCTGTCTCGACATTGCAATCCCGCTGATCAAATACTTATACTCACCGTCTGGCCAGCTGTAGAGCACCCGAGCTTACCGGAGAGGCATGTGGCCACGTCATACAAGCGGCAACGGCAATAGCTCCAGCCTCCGACACACGTCCCGTGGCAGTTGGCCTGAGAATTCCGACGAAGCTGTGTTGTAAGCCTGAGTGTAGTAAGTCATCATTGTAGTGATCTGTCGCTGTAGTGGTCTCCGATCTACGGGCTGACCAACTCGTCTGTTGTTTGGATAGATTGCCGCCCAGCGACCAACGCACAAAAGCGCCGGGTAGTCGAGTTCGTTCCGCAGGTCTCGCTATGATCGTCTTCATCCAATCCCAGGTGTTGCCGTCTGCAGGGGTCGCCTTGCTGATCTACGTGCTGTGGAAGGTAGCCAGAATCCTGTTGGCACCGCTGTGGTCCACGCTACGAGATCTGCCCGGACCGGCGAGCCCCAGTCTGATCTATGGCAATCTTTCCGACATACACAAGGCCGATGATTCAGTGCTGCATGAAGCTTGGGTTGAAGAACATGGCCCAACGATCACCTACAAGGGCTGGTTGAACGTAAGTCTTGGACTCTGTGCGACCACATTATTAGTTGAACTGACATTGGGTCAGTCACACAAGCTATACACCCTCGACACGAGAGCTCTGGGGCACATCTTGAGTCACTCACACGACTACGCCAAACCTGCAATGGATGCTTTCTTCTTGGGAAAGATTGTTGGTCAAGGTATGTCGCGAGACAATGCCACGGGACACCATTTGACGGGGTCACCACTACAGGTTTACTCGTGGTGGAAGGTTAGTGATCAGCATCATTATATCAATAGCTGGTACTGACGACATTTTGACGACATGCGCAGGTGATCAGCACCGTCAACAGGTACGCAGTCTGAGTCACGCCAGCCATGCGAAGTCTTCTAATCGATGTTGCGCGTCCACAGCGTCGTGTTATGGTAAGCTGTCCCATCGCACACCGCTCGACTTGTCTCATATGTTACAAGAATCCAGCCTTCGGATATGCTCAGATCCGGGGGCTGACCGAGATCTTTGTCGAGAAAGCACAACAGGTGGGTACCAATCGTACTGAGTGTAAACTGCTCTTCTCATAGACCATCGCTAGCTGCGGGACTTCTGGAGCGACCAGATCGCAGTCGCCGGCGCTCCTGCCAGGATCGATGTTACCGCTGGTTTGGGCAAGATGACTCTGGACGTCATCGGACTTGCTGGTTCGTTGTACCACCCGGTTGTCAAGCATCGTCCAGTTGACCGCCGCGAGTTTTCTAGGATTCAATTACGACTTCAATGCATTAGATGACAAGCCAAACGAGCTCAATCAGGCGTTCACCACCATGTTCCAAGCCATTACGAGCGCTAGCACAGGCTTGGCCGTTGTCCTCAAATATGCATTCCCAATCCTGGATATCATTGTGAGTGCTCCGCCTGTGCAACACGGGCAAGCTGAAGTCATACCGAACAGCCGGACAGCTTTGCGAAGGGCACAAATACGGCGCAAGCGGTCGCACGGCGCGTTGGCATGCAGCTCATCCAGGACAAGAAAGCGGAGGTTATGAGGACTTCTGACGAAAAGGGCGTTGGCGATGCCTTAGGCAGCCGCGATCTTCTCACATTGCTCATAAAGGCCAACATGAGCACGGACATCCCAGTGAGTCAACGTCTGTCCGACGAAGACGTCCTTGCACGTAAGTATGCCTGTACCTTACACGCGCTATCCTAACTGACTACGGGCACAAAGAGGTACCGACGTAGGTCTTGGAATGATTCGCTAGTGCCACAGAAGCAGATTTCTGACCGATCTCAGGTTCCTCATCGCGGGACACGAGACCACGAGTTACGGAACTGGCTGGGCTCTCTTCGCTCTCGCTCAAGCGCCGTTAATCCAGCGCAAGCTTCGCGAGGAGCTCCTCGGCGTGCAGACGGACACGCCGTCGATGGATGAACTCAACGCGCTTCCTTATCTCGATGCCGTGGTGCGCGAGACGATGCGGCTGCATGCACCGGTGCCAGCTACTGCAAGGGTAGCATGCAAGGACGACATGATCCCTCTCAACACACCGTATACCGACCGTCATGGCCAAGTCCACGACCACGTCAAGTGAGCCTCCATCGCTGATGCTCTGGTGTGTTGGTTGTCTGACGGTAGTTGCAGGATTCAGAAAGGCACACAGATTCTGATACCGATTCTCGCTCTGAACCGACGCAAGCACTCTGGGGCGAGGACGCTTTCGAGTTCAAGTGAGTCCGCGGCCATCCGTATATGTCAACAGCTCTTACGAGTCTGTAGACCGGAGCGCTGGGAGAAGCTTCCTGAGGCAGTCCAGAGCATCCCGGGTGTGTGGGGCAATTTGATGACCTTTATAGGTGGACCACGCGCTTGCATTGGATATCGATTCTCGCTCGTCGAGTGAGCATGTCCCCGCTCTTTACACCGCTTCCGCGGGACTGACGCCTCAACAGGATGAAGGCGTTACTTTTTGTCCTCGTGCGAGCATTTGAGCTGGAGCTCGCGCTTCCCGCGAACGATATCATCAAGAAGAGTGCCATCGTTCAACGCCCGTACATTCGGGATCAGGTAGAAAGGGGGAGCCAGTTGCCATTACTGTTCAAACCTTATCAGAACGTGTAACGCCTCGGAACACGTAGGTACGCTTCCCTGACCTTGACCCACCTGGCGTTGACCTTAGTCTCGAGATAGGTACTTAGTGTGCGGAGATTCCATCGACCATGAATGGATTGAGACTGGTCTACTTGACTGTGCTGTCCTTGTGTGCCACGAGTCGACTACGCCTCTCATGTCTCTGTGTCGTCCGTGGCACCAAGGCGGACGCAACATTCAAACAGACTGGACTGCTCTGATTGACCAGCGCCAGTACCGGGCAGTGGTAAGGCCGGTGAGGCGAGGAGGAGAGTCTCTATCGCACGCTTGTTGCAGTAACGGCGCTTCTGCGGACTCAGTTTAATTTGACCTGGCCCTAGAGCGGTGCGTCCATTTGCATTCTCGGATTAGCTACGGTGTCTGGATCTAAGTGAGCCCTGAGACACATTCTTGATCATTAGTAAATGGTGTTGCGTGGCTTGAGTTATGTCATGCCATAAAGGGGAACATCGCCCTCGAGCTCCGTCGACTTGATCGTCGATGGAAGCAAGCCTTGAGGACGCCACACAGCCAAAGGCATGATAAAAAGAGAGGACGAGATGTGGCTCGTCGGGTGCCGACCTACATTCGCTCGACTGGACAACTAACATACTATGAATCCTCAAGAGATTACGCCCTCGATTGGGTGCGTATCTGTTGTAGTTGCATTACTTTCGCTGACTGTCATTTCAGAACTTCGACTTGTGGCATGCTCAAATCCCCGTGGAGAGTTGGGTCGATTAGCGAACGATGTGAGTCGATCAGTCAGTTTCCTGCTGGTTAATTGACTCAATATACATCCTAGCCTACGCGGACGATGGGGACGTCCTCGTCTCATCTTGCGATGGCGTACGCTTCAGAGTACACAAACGGAATCTACACATGCACTCGGAGATCTTCCCTGGGGACGACTTTCTATCAGACGACATAGTCAACCTGTCGGAAGACTCGTCTACATTGGAGCTTCTCTTCCAATACATGTATCAGCCTCCGCAGCCGGACTTGCGCGCCGTCACGTTTGAGCAGCTGGCGAAGTTGGCGGAAGCTGCGGAGAAATATCGTGTTCTGGCCGCCATGGAGAACTGCAAGGTTTCAATGAGGTACGCGCGATTGCGATCTCCATTTCCTCTCAGCTCAATGTCTCGACTCTGCATTGCTAGGGCCTCTTTATCCACTTGCAAGGAGCCATTCGCTGTACTCGGCTATGCTGCAAGACACGGGCACAAGGATATCTCTGCTGAGGCCGCGCTCAGGACGCTGAGTGTATCAGCGAAAGATGCACTCGATCATCTCGGGCCCGCACATTTCATTAGATGGGTGAGTCTTCACTACAGCAAGCCGATTGAAATCATGTTCACGTTCGCGGCTATGTTTCGAATGGATAGTGTCTCTACCGCGATCCATGGGTTCAGGCGCTACTCGATGCCTACCGTCCACCACCCCCAGGTGGTATTCTGCATAAGGGCGGGCTCTGGGAGTGTGATCTTTGGAAGCCCTTCGTACTGGCCGTGGTCGACGACATGGGCCATGACTTGGAGGCACCCCTGCAGTTCTCCTCGGTCCTCGAGAGGAACTACGCGAAACTGCAGGATTGTTGGCACTGCAAACTGCGCGCTCAGACATGGCGGGATCAGATTCACCGTCGTGTTGCCGAATTGCGAAGTTTTCAGTTCTAGTATGCAACAAGGGAATGTCACAGTTATGTTTGATGGTCTATCGACGTGGTCTGGTAGTGTTCTTGCGTCTGTACACTTCTTTGACTGCAGGTTCGAGTCTGAACCAAGAATCACAACAGGTTGAATGATCGTACCTAAACAAGGAGCAGGTGGATGTATGCTGTGCGAATCTTCTTGCCACCAGGCTGATCTTCGACCTCGTGTCAAATACTAGATGAGAGTCGCGCAGCGTGACAAGCTGTACATTGTGCGAACAGAAGCTTGGCCTCGACGGTGCCACGAGGATGCAGAGTGGCCGAACACCATAAAGCATGCTCCCTATGAGGCATTGGATGGCTCGATGCTACGTGCGCCCGACTCATAAACCACTGCACACTTGACTCTCGTCCAAAGCTTCACCGAATCCACACGATTGCGCCGAGGATGTCCGAGTCTCAAGCGCCAACAGCAAGGCACAGCGAACGTTGTGCGTACTATCCTCAGTTGTCAGATGTCGCGTGCATAGCATTCACCTAGAAACATCACAGTCAATGCCTCCGACTCAGATATCACGATTTCTCCTCAGATGGGGTGCTCTTCAGCGTGCACAAAAGAATCTAGCAGCTCATCCGAAGTGTTCCCCGACGGCGACCTTGCAACCAACGATGAGATCGTGCCCCTGTCTGAGCAGTCGTCCACGCTAGAGCTGCTGTTCCAGTATATGTATCGCCAACCGCAGCCAGACATCACTTTGAACAGTATCGCAGCTGGCTGAGGCGCGGAGAAGTACCGCGTCTTCTCTGCAATGGAGATCTGCAGGGTTATGATGAAGTGAGCATTGAGTGGGCTTCTTGACACTGGTATGTTCGCAGTGTTGACTATCACGACGATTCTTCCCGCACAGACTGTCGTTACCCAAAAATGCAATTGCGTCCTTGCATATGCAGCAAAGCATGGTTACACGAAGTATGCGTGGAAGCAGCCCTCACACAATCCGGTGGAACCACGAGAGGTTTTCGACATTTGGGCACATGTGGTTCGTACATTGGGTGAGTGAAGGTCCGGATTGCGGAAGCATGTTCAAGTTTGTGGGACAAAATACGAACTTACAGACAAACAGGTGCTTTACCGAGAGCCATATTTGAAGGCTCTAAAGGACGCGCATCAACCGTACACGTCGGGAGGGCTCTTGCATAAGGGGGGCTTCACAGAGTGCGACCTGTGGAAACCCTTCAAATGAAAGTCACCAATGCGATCAGCGGCGATGTAGCAACGCTCAATCGATCAACGAGATCTTACAGAGGCTTCCGCTGCGCTGTCGACCTGTACACAATGCAGCAGGAGAGCAGAGGCTTGGTCCACACAGATTATCAAGAGGATCTCGACGCTACCACAGTTTAGTCTGCCTTGTAACGTCACGGTGACCATATGTACTATCACATAGTACGTAAGTAGTTGCGTAGCTGAGTACTACTTCAATCACTAGAGTTGGGAACAGATGGCTCATGATTGGTCGCATGCAATACACTAGCAGCTTGGTTCAGCGTACAGTTCAATCAATCTCGCCGTCTTGGACGAAAACGTGAACACGTCAACTTGAACGTTTGAACTCCAGTAACGTTCCGAGTCCTACAGTGCCCGGCAATAGCCGAACTTGCAGCGCCATGGTCGCGTCTGCCAACGGCAACTCGGTAGAACACATTCATATATAACCTTTGTACCACTCCATTCAAGTGCTGGCCTGTAGCTGGTCGGAATTGTCTTCTTATCTAGCCTTTGGCTCTCGTCTGCCACATCATAGTACCTGTACACAGAAACGAACAGTTGGACCAACGTATATGCGCATACAATCGTGACCATGTCGGTAGGTTCGAGCTCAAATATAGTGAACGATGTGAGTACCCTGCAGAGAGGTACACGTCAGCAGACGCACTGATACATCACAGTTTGCGCCCCGGATGCGACATCACGATGTCTTCGTCTGACGGTGTATTGTTCAAGCTGCACCGGAACAACCTGGGAGTCCACTCCGACGTCTTCCCTGGTGTTGAGTCGGACGTCGTCCCTGCGCAAGACGAGATCGTACTGCTGGGGGAGAAAGCATCGACACTGGAATTACTGTTCCAGTACGTGTACCGTCAGCGGCAACCCGACTTGGGCAAGTTGGACGCGGAGGAGTTGGCGCTGTTGGCAGAGGCGGCAGAAAAGTATTGTATCTATTCGGCGATGGAGGTATGCAAAATATACATGCAGTGAGTTCATGATACCTCGTTCACAGAGTATAAGCTTATGGACGTTTTTCGTTTTCGTAGAGCGGCAATACCGAAGATACCTATGGATGTCTTGTTATACGCCGCACGGCATGGCTACACGGAGCTGTGCGATGAGGCTGCTCCGCACACTATCAACATGGATGCGGAAGTCGTGATGCGACGCCTCGATTCCAGGATGTTCCTGAATTGGGTGAGTGGCAGCTGTGTGATAAACCGCTCAGTGCTCACAATGTACACTCGATCAGATTCTATATCGCGAGAGTCGGCTGCGGTTCCTCCTCGACCTGCACCGTCCGAACGTACACATACACACGCATGAAGACTCTGTCGTCGAGGGAGAAGATTGTACCCTCTGGCTCCCGTTCATGGGCGAGGTCCTGCAAGAACTCGGCATGTCGCTCTCGAACGTTAACGATCCGTATAAGATCTTCGACAAACACAAGCACATGCTGGATGACTGCAGTGATTGCCACCTGCTGTTGAGAAACTGGAGCAGTGCTATCAGTATGGAACGTGCCATGAAGCCACTGCCGAATTTCACGTCGTTCGATCGACGAGAGTCCGCGGGAGGAAGGGGGGGTTAGGGCCGTGTCGGTGTGTGACCATATTCACAGGAATGACATTGTTCATGAAAATTTTGGCCGAAAACTGCGTTTTGCTAAATGACGCTATCGACGGTGGGTGGGTGTGCGCAAGGTTATTCGGTAAGTCGTCGTCGTTGTACTCCGTGGCGTGGCGTCTAGATTTGAGATCGCCGTGTGCTACAGGTCAGTAGACCACGCCTGTGCGAAGAGGATCCGAAGAGAAGCAGTCAACAAAGTTGCTGCATGGTCCACCCTGAGCTTCGGCCTCGAGGAAGGCATGAGGCAGCGTTGGCATTCCCATATATTATTCCCGTTCCGAGCCTTGCGTATCCCAGCAGTTTCTCACTGGGCGCACACGTTCCTGCATGCCCTTCGCATCGACGATACGGCGATTGCTACGACGACGCCTTACGATTTGACTATGTCTCCTACATACAGCGAACGATGTGAGTGATCACCTACGAATGCAGCTATTTATCGGCTGAAACTTACTTGCGGACAGTCAACGCTGCGGATGCAGATTTGACGATCTCCTCATCTGACGGTGTACTTTTCAAGGTGCACCGGAAGAGTCTCGAGACCTATTCTGACATCTTCCCCGGGACTGATGTCCCTGTGGACAACGAAATTGTGCCATTGTCGGAGAAGGCTTCGACGCTAGACCTACTATTTCAATACATGTATCGCCAGCGACAGCCCGACCTGAGCAAGATTGACGCGGATGAGCTTGCGATGCTGGCGGAGGCTGCGGAGAAATACTTTGTCTACTCAGCGATGGAGGTATGCAAAGTGTACATGCAGTGAGTGCTGCCAGGCTTAGGGCGGTTCTATTGTGGTACTGTCTCGGAGAACTGATATGTACCAACTTGATAGGTCTGCAATCCCGAAGATGCCGCTGAAGGTTATGGGCTATGCAGCGAGGCACGAGTACGAGAGCCTGTGCGAGGAAGCGGCTCCGCACACTGTCCAGGCTAAGGCTGCCGACGCTTTGGAGTATCTAGACGCACGGTGCTTTGCTAGTTGGGTGGGCGGCTTCGGCAGCCATGATACCTCTACCGCAACTCATAGGACATCATCACAGGTTCTCTACCGCGAACATTGGCTACAAGTCCTGTACGACATCCACCACCCGCCTTTTGCCCCGCTACTGCACAAGGGAGGTCTACCGGAGTGCCCCCTTTGGCTCCCGTTCCAAGGGGGTGTCCTGCAGGACCTTGGAAGCTCACTTGCCTGTCTCCAACAGTCTGCATCAGCGACCGTGGACCGGCACCGGCATCTGCTGGGCGAATGCGTGCAGTGCAAGAAACGTGCAGACCACTGGGTGTATGCGATTGCGGGGAAGGTAGCGAGCATACCGAAGTTCGACCCTACGCTTCGAGTCTTCACGTAGTAGATAGTATCTAATGGACAATAACGGCTATTTTGAGCCCTTGGCCTTTCGCTGCACTGACATCGCAGTCATAGGATTACACACACGGCGGTCTTCCCTGAGAACTATGCGGAATCGCGAGACAAACGACCACGCGTCTCGGGCGCTGGGAGCCCAGGTGAGATTAAATGCAGTCCGGGTTAGGAAGCCATCAGACCGATACGCGTCCCGCCTCTCCCAGCGAGCGACTCTGATGTTGACAAGTGACTTGTCAAGACGAGGCCCGACATTAATTGGATGAACGTTCGCGGTGGGTCCTCATTGAATGTTTCAATTCGTCGCGCTGCCCATTGATGCTGGCTGTCTCACCGCCCACTTGTCAATTCGTCTCAGCCCCGGCCGGGCCCACGGTCGCCGCTGTGTCCTCGTGGTAATGCATGGTCTATCTGACAGAAAGCCCCTCGGACCATTTGCTTTGCACCCCGGCGTCGTTAACCAACCACGTCATCCTAGTAGTATTGGCTTCAAGTGGTCCCTGGACCCTCACAACCGCGTGAGTCACTGTTACCGTACAGCCTGAGCTGCTCAAGGCTATTATCGAGCTCGACCATGTACCACCACTAATAGCCCAGCCTACGGCGCTCGCGATGCCTTTCCTTGCAGCGGCCCGTACCTCCGAACCTGATTATCAACAACGACAACGGATGGGTCACCGTCGCGCAGATTCGCGCCCGATTCGATGCGTTGGTGGCTGCAGGCTATGAGGTGCGTCTGCTAGTCCTTGTCAGTGACAAGATGATTTACTTTCTTCGTGCGCAGGTGATCTTGTCCGCGCTCGCTGAACCAATCTGACAAGGGCTCGCGCTTGAAGACACATACGGTCCTCGACGACTCGCAATGTGAGTCAATACTTGCCCCGTGGGCTCCGCCGCCGAAGGGAGGGCGACGCAGGCGGCGGTCGTCGAAAGCTGGAAGAGGCTGCCCCTAAGCTGTATGAACTGAGTCTGTGAGTCTGGAGGGCATCCCTTTGAGGTATGGTTGCAAGACTCCCGCGGGTTGTATCACTAAGTATTCAATGGTAGGATTGATGTGTTCAATTGTTCGAGAGATGTTGGGCTTGAGCTTGATGTGACACATCTCATCCAGCAATATCTTACAGAATACAATCCACAATTAGACCAGCGGCAGCAGCATATCAACATAAGCCCCCCGCCCCCCCGGCATGCACACAACAAGAAATGAACGAATCGGACGTCACTCAGTACTCAATATTCAATGTTTCAATGCAGGCGCGCCTAATTAACAAGATGGACCTGACGCGCGCCAGTCGAGAAGGAAGCAGTCAACAAGGTTCGGCGTGACCCACCACGATGCATGAGATACTAACAACGTTTCGAAGGCACTGGGAAGACTGGCGACTGTGAGACAGCGGCGAAAATATCATCCGAGTCAAGTACAATCAGATCGAGCGGCGTACCCTGCATGAACCTGCGTTTCATTCTCACATTGACGACGATTTGGTGATCGCAACGACCACCGTCAAAACTTACTTCATCATGGAGGAATCCTCGACCCCCAGATGTAGCGAGCGTTGTGAGTGATCTCCTGATGATGTGTGCGTTGCGGTGTAGACTCACATGCATATGCCTGTGCAGTCAACGCACCAGACGCAGACGTTACGATATCCTCAAAAGATGACGTGCTCTTCAAGGTCCACCGCAAGAATCTCGAATTCCACTCCGACAGTTTCCCTGGGTCTGACGTCCCAGTGGATAATGAAATCGTGGCCTTGACAGAAACGGCGTCGACCTTGGAGCTGCTGTTCCAGTTCATGTATCGCCAACGGCTGCCCGATCTGAGCAAGGTCGGCACCAAGGAACTCGCAACAGTGGCAGAGGCGGCGGAGAAGTACTGTGTATACTCAGCAATGGAGATATGTAAAGTGTATATGCAGTGCGTACTGTGTCGTCACATCATGTCACAACGTATAACTGATCAGCACCACCCGTCGAATAGAGCTGCCATCCCTAAGATGCCACTGGCGGTCATGGGATATGCGATGAGGCACGGGTACAAGAGTCTTTGTGACGAGGCGGCTCCGTACACACTCTCAGCGAAGGCGGCTGATGCTTGGGAGCATCTGGACGCTGGAACCTTCGCCAATTGGGTGAGCGAGTCTGACCAAACTGCTCTTATCGTGAGGGCCGACTTGTAGTGCGTGATTTCAGGTCCTTCACCGTGAACATTGGCTGCAAGTCATGTATGAATGCCATGCCCCGAGTCGTGGGCCGTATATGCACAAGGGTAGCTATACGGACTGCGTTGAATGGTACCCGTTCCAGGCGAATGTTCTACAAGACATCGGAAACTCGATTGATAATCTCAGGACCCCGACAGTTGTCTTTGATAGGCACATGGTGCTATTGAACGGCTGTACGTACTGCGAGAGACGTGCTGGGGACTGGAGGGAAACGGTTCGGATGAAGGTGTCGAGCATACCGAAGTTCGATCCCATGCCTTGAGCCTCCGTACTAGAAGACCGCCCTCCCCTCCGTCAAAGAGGTCTTCTTCAGGGTCTGCCTAGGGGGGGCTAGTAGTATCCATCCGGACACAGAGATTCCCGGGTGTACGATGTGTACATGATGGGGTTTGCACGTAGGAACTATGGCTGGGCTGATCGCCTTCTGTACATAGTCGAAACAATCCAAGCGACATCCTTACATACTGTGTGTAGTACAACTCGTCCATCTGTACCCACCACTCGTCCGCGTCCAGCGCGGGATTAGTTTATGTATTGCGAGCGTCGACTACAAGTCACGTACGGCATTGACTGTCCACTTGACCGTTGCTGCACTGACAAGGGAGGCCTGGAGGTCTCGCGGATTGGCTCCCATTCCAAGGGAGAGCACTACAAGATTTTGGAAGCCCATCTGCTGACCCTTCTGTTGGATGAATGCCTGTACATACGTTTAGCCCGGACACGTTCTCACCAACTTATGAGACTCAAGAGAGGTTATACAGTACATAACGCATCAACATCGCTGTCCAGAGCCTGAAGCAGATGTTGGGACACTCGAGACGGCGGGCAGTCACGTACAATGTATAGATGAGCATCGTAACAAAGTAAAATCAGGCTGTCAAACTCAGCACGTTCATACTCCGTAGCAGTCCGTCCTCCTCAAGCTGGTGCTGAGTCTCGTCCGAACCGCGGTCCCATCTCGCTGTCCCGACCAGCCTCTCTGAATCGCTTAACGACACCTCTAGTCCGTAATCCTCTTCGTCCGAGTATTCTTCGTAGCCCTCATTACCATAGTCTTCCTCAACAACAAGCTCCTCGTCGGGGAAGAACATCTCGCCCAGTCCGAGGTCCGTACACCGCGTCATCTTGAGCAACATGCCGAGTCCCCGGTCATTCTGCACTGCAGACATCCCGGGGCCGTCGAGGAGGTCCCACGTCTCGGCGTCGAGTTCTTCGGCCATGCGGCCCCAGGCGGAGCGAATCACGCCGGGGTAGTTGAAGGCCGCAAGGACAAAGCACATGGGAGAGCCTGTGCACAAACGCAGTTGAGATAGGCACGTCGTCGACGAGTAAAGAGCAACATACAGAGACCGCTCAGCTCCTGCTCGCGAAATAGGTTGGGGGCGATCGGTTCGTGAGGCTTGGGTATTGAGTTCTCGTCCAGCAGATGTTCTGGCAAGACATCACCCAGGTGGTATAGCCGCTGACATGCGGGACAGACCCTCGCAACTTGTCGACTCTTGTTATACCACAATATCTGGGACGAAGTGTATAGAGCTGCACGATCCTTCAGAGAGCATGATAACGCACCAGAGCCGTTTCCTCGGGCAGAACAGAGCACAACATCTCCAACATTTCTTCCTGTGCAAATTCGGCACACAGGGGATCGTCCAGAGAAGGTGGTGAGGCAAAGGTAGAATCAAGAAACGCGTGTACATTGCGGACACGGGGACCGTTCCCCGGATCGTAGATGAACGGCTCGTTAACAAGCGATGGATGGATTCGCTCGTGGTCTTCGGGGACATTGGGCGGTGGTGGCTCCTCGTAAGGGTCTGGCGCGGAATAAGGATTAGGGTATGCTTCGGCAGGGTAGTAGGGATGGTCGGGTGGTAGAGCATTCGCAGCTATTGGCTGATTGTATTGGTATGCTCCTTCCGTCACAAGCTGAGTGTTGCCTGTAGCACACAGCGCGTCGTGTTCGTCGGCACAGGCGACCGGTGCAGGAGATTTGGAGGACGCGTCCTGCTCGTCGTCAAGCGGTCTCTCGCCCTGCGAATATCTCGCCTTCTTGGCCTGCTGCTTGGCCTTCTTTTTCATGTTTCGTGGGCCTGGCATGATGCTATCGTTCGCAGAGGATGGAGGGGTTCAAGAAATTGAACGTCGGAGAGACATGCGTTCTATTCCCAAGCAGCTGTCCGGGCACTGATCCGGACGCGTCGTCACGGTCGCGAGGTGTCACGCGTCGTCACGGTCGCGAGGTGTCACGCGTCAGTCACGCGTGTGACTCTCAACGCAGGAGGTCTTTCGAGGGAAATGGATAGCTATCAATTGAGCCACTGGCTAGAGCTCGTTTTCAGCATGAGCTTCAGTACGTCCCTATCGCTAGCCAACGCGGAAGAGGTTCAGCAGCAGACGAAATCTGCTGCATGTCTCCCTCTGAACGGACGATATCCACACCGCAGATTCCAACAAGTTACTTACAGTGCAGCTGTATCCTCCGTCGTAAATACTATGAATACATACACATACACACATTACTGCCACTCCAAGCATTACGCAAACTCCGCGCTCGTAATACAACGAAAGCGCACTGCACCCCGAACCAGCCGCAGCGAGGCAACAATAACTTAGATCAAACACTCCCACCTCCTACAGGCGCGACTTATGTCCGCGGCGCCATCTCGACAGTCGTATCGGAGCCCTCGCTCCCGTCCACGCTCACCGCGCGCACCGTCACAGGGGTCCGCGGGTCGTCCAGGTCGCCCACGTCCTTCTCACCCGCCTCCTTTAGTGAACTCAGCGACTTCATCGAGGCTGGCGAGCGCGGAGGCCGCGGGGTCTCGGCCATTTCATGCTGGCGGAGCCGCGCGTGCGCCTGCTCGTCTGCGGCACGGCGCGTCTGCCTGCCCTCAATGAGGTAGACGAGCGAGACGGTACCGAGGACGAAAGCGCCCTGAAAGATGAGTGCGCTGCGCATGTTATTCGGCGGATCGGCGTCGGGGCCTGCGCGCAGCGCGCCTTCCGCTGCTCGCCGCAGTCAGCGGGTGATGGGTCAAGGGCACGGAAACGGGACGCACCGAGCACGAAGATAACGCCGAACAGATTCGAGGATGCCCAGAGGAGCGCAGAGCTCGCGTCCGCGTTGCGCGTCGCCTCGACCGCAAGCTCGATCGCAACGGGCAGCATCGTCAGGCTCGTCCCGCCAATGACGGCCATCAACGCAAACAGCCCGCCCGTGTCCCCCTCGTGTACTGCAATGAACGCCACCGGATTAACATCAAACACCTCGGGTGGAAAACGGGACGCACCAGCCCAAACCAGTGCCAGCCACGCCCCTCCGAGGATGGGGCAGAGCACCTTGATCGTGAGTGCGAGGTGGTGCGTGAAGACGCGATCAAAGAGCGGCGCGGTCACCGCGGTCGTAACGATGCCCACAAGGAGAAGTGTCGCGCCCATCAGGCCCGCAAGGTCGTCCGAGTACCCGAACGGCTCGAGATCCTGCGCGCTCAAGATTGAGAACGCGCTGACTCTGTAAACCCAGACACCAACACGTCAATACCCAAGAATCAGGGCTGTCGTCTGGGAGAGGACTTACGCAGCGACGAGCACCCCAAACACCAATGTCAGAATCGCGAAATCCATCCGCTGGCGCACCGTCATGTACGTAGGCTGGTCCACCGGCTCGCGCCCGAGCATTGCGCGCGCGAGGCTGGCGAACGACGGATTCCGCTGAGTCGCAGCACGGGTCGGCGGCGTGGGCGGCGCATCGGAGACAAAGAAGACACATGGGAGGGATGCGCTGTAGATAATCGCGAGGACGAGGAGCTGCCGGCATAGGGAGATGTGGACGGTTAGTCTAGGTGGCGGCGGGAGGGAATGATGCGAGACGCACCCCTGCACGCGGAGTACCGATCAAGGGTGAGATAAGTTGGCCTACCGCCACGCCGATTGGGTTCGCTGCGCTACTCGTCAGCCTCGCATCCCACATGAGTCTCGAACCAGTGCACAAATGAGAACCCACCTATTGACATGAGCATCGTCGCGGTTGTACGCTGGCGCAGGTCGAACCACTTCTCCGAGTAGCCGGGGATGAGCACCTGGAAAATGGGCTGGACGACGCCCGAAAGTATCTGCCCAGCACGACATCCATTCTCCTTCAGTGCATGGAATATGACGCGTGTTCGCGGTGACGCACCTGTCCAACGATGACTAACGCATAGCTCCCACCCGTGCTCAGCCCATCCGCCGTCCCCGCGTACCGTATCCACGCGGATGCCAAGAAAATGAGCGCCCCGATATAGCACTACCATCATCCTGTTTAGCTTCACTCATGTACTCTCCGCAAGCTGCGGGCTTCCCGCACCCCGCTTTGCCGAAGATTAAGGGATGACTCACTGTTCGCCTCAGCCCGAGCTTAGAGTACAACCACGGCACGACGGCCGCGCAGGGTAGGTACACGACGTTGACGCAATTGCCGAGCCAGTTAACCTGGTCAAGTGTCCAGCCAAACTCGTCGACAGCTGCGCGTCACATAGGTGTGTCATGCGAGGCGCGTTGTTTGGATCAGTGTGAAGCAAGAGTGGTGAGGAGGGCAAAAGACGGAACAACGATGCGCACAAGCCCGGCAAGGGACGTTCGGAGTTAGGAGTGAGGTGGGCAGGGTGACGAGAGACGAGAACAGATGTCAGCGATGGTGTGGTGTTCGTCGGGATGGCGTTCAGTGGGCGGAAGGTAGGATGGAGACCGGGACAGGCGGGGATACACAGGACAGGGACATGGTTCGAAGGTTGCAGGTGGACGAGACCAACAGTCAGCGATCGTCTCAAATAGCCAACCAGCCGGATACGCACTGTCATCCGCGATCGGCCCGAACCACACCAACGACATCCCTGCCACGATATTCAGGATCATCTGGTCCGCGCGTACACATCGTCAGCACGACCTTCCCAAACCGCGCGGAAGGGACAGAGAAGGACCAAGACTCACAATGGCGATGACCCCTACCCACCGCCTCTTATACATCCTGTACTCCACCCCTCCCTCTTCTCCCTCGCCATCCTCCGGCGACGGATACGGGTACGCAGACCGGACGTCTGCGGCGGATCCTAGAGGTGCGTCGAACGAATTCTTGTCAGTCACGCGCTCCACAACAGGGCGTGCCCCGCCGTAAGGAAACGAAGGTAGCTGGAACGAGAGCGTCGAAAAGGAGGAGAGGCGCGACTTCGCCATGGGCTCAAAAGGAGGAGGGGAATCAAGGGAGGGCTGGTCGCGCTTGGCGAGGAACGGGAGTAGACGCCAGTGGGACCTCGACGACGGCGAAGATCCAAATGAAACGGTGGGAGAAGAAGAAGCGGATGCAGAACCAGACAAAGGAGGGACGGAGGCCGGTGGGGATACCGCAACCGTCGGAAGAGACGGAGCCGCGTCCGCACGCCGGGAGAAATAGCGATAATATACGCCTGCAAGGACGTCGGGCGAGAGAGGCAGCGTCATCCTCGTCAGTCAGACGGTGACAAACGCAGACACCTCAATTGCGCGCTCCGGACGTGCTGTGGTGGTTGACAGGTGTGATACGGATGGGCCACAGGCACACAAGAATGACAGAGACAGAACAGCCAAAAGAATCAAGGGGCCGTCAGACAGAAGAAAGAAGGAGGGGGAAGGAAAGAACTGGGCGAGGAGTGATACACAAACGCGACGCGACGCGGTAAAGTAGCCTAGAGAAGACGGCCTCAGCCGAGTCCTCGACCCGATACGCGGGAGCGTCGTCCCGCGCGCAAGCGGGACGCGATCAACTCCGCGCCACACGAACCGCCGGGTGATTGGGAATTTGTCGGTGCGATCTCCATCGCTGTGCACAGCATGTCGCATGTCGGCTTTTATCGCTCGCTCGCTTGTCCGAGACCGCACCATACAACGGTAACGGACTCGGAGAGCTTTGGCAGCAACTCTGGCAGTTTACGCCACCTCCAAACAGCAGCTCGGACGCGACCAATCTTCCGGCTTGGATCTAAAGTACCACTGGAAGACACTCCCTGACGACCAGGCCTCAGATCTATCCACCTCGACCGTTTGATTCAATTCCGACAGTTGCTGTCAAAGTTCTCTGACACGAGGAAGATGAGTGGCCGTTGATTGAAACTTCCCCTCTATTTCCCTAGCTGCGCGTCCGAAACGTGTTTCGGACGCGCAGGAGAGCTTGTCTTGAAGGGACGGCGTGCAGTCCGGGTGGATGCCGAGGAGTGATAGACGCAGGTAAGCAGGCCATTTGGAGGCCAGACCCAGAGATGCGGCCGAGTGATGGATCGATGGCCGCCTGTGGGGGCCCGCACAGAACAGTTGAGAACAAGGGAGAGCGCAAGGGAGGGCTGCTCCCATACAGGCTCCCCCCTTATACGCAACCTCGACGGACAGTGGTGACTGAGTTGTCACAGGCAAAGGGGGTCGGTACGTCGTGATGCCTAGAAGACTCAGCAGTCGTTCGTCCGCGAGAGAGTCCGTGCCTGAAACAAATCCGGATTGGAGGCGGAAAGAGGGAAACCTCCATCGCAGCCGAAACCTTCCCTGCCGCCGAACACGCTGATATGTTTGCAGTGCACCATCTCTATCGCTGTCAGGAACCAGGATGGTACGTCATGATAGATCCCATGTAACTTACGGCCATCATGATCAATGACCTTTGTTTCGGTTGGCCGCGATGGCCGCGAGTGGTAGAGGAAGGGGGGAGGAGAAAGGGTAGAGAAGCGGACGTGGGCGACTCACCAGTGGCGGGGCTCTTGGATGTGAGCGGGATTGCGCTGGACGCGATCGAAAGGCGCAAACCCCAGCGGGCCATCTCCGGTTCGTGGACTCTGTCGTAAGAAACCTAATCAATATGAACAGCAGAAGTTGAAGGCGCGAAGAAGCCGAGGGCAGAGTCGAGCGGGCAAGCGGCGAGGATGAGAGATAGAGAGGGGGGGTATTCGAGAGACGCCTGGCGGAGGCATAACTTATCAGAGGGAGGAGGGAGGAGTGATCAGAGAATTAAATGACACGGGCCTGCCGTGTCTGCCCTCGTTCGGCGCAGTCGCGTGCGGGAGCTGCCTGCCAGCCACCGGGCCCCAATCGCGGCGCTCGATCCCGATCGGGGCAGCCAAGACATCGCCTGCCGTGCCCACGTCATCCGCCCTTCCTCACCTCCTCCCGCCGCCCCGGGCCTCCTCCCGCCCACAGCTCGAGTCGCCGCCAGCGTACACCCACCCCCTCGCTCGCTGCCTCTCCCGACGTTGCGCGCGTCCATCTATCCAGCGACGGCAGGCTTGGACTCGTCCCCGTCAATGGCCCTGATCCCAACACGGGGCCCGTGATTCCCATCGACCTCCACGGCACCAGCCTGGCAGTTCCGTCGTGGGTCCCTCGTCTCGTCTCGTCTATCGTCTCGACCCCTTGCGAACGCGGTGATGAAGATATCTTCGTCATGCACAGGCAGTCTCCACTGTAACCAATTCATCAGCTCCCCGCGATGAATCCCATAGGACGTCCTACTCTCTCGCCCGTCATCTAAGCGCACGGACGCAGAGCCTATTCTTGCCCGGAGCCGAGCGAGCCTCCTCGCTCATATTTCCCTCCAAGGCCTTCTGCCGCGCGTCGGCCCCGAAGGAAAGACCCTGGATCGCTCGCACTGGTGCGTTATTCTTGTATGCTCTGCCTGACGCTCCCACAGACCAGCCAGTCGGCTGCATCTCGGGGATTTACCACGGTCAATGCCGCTGAGCTTGTGAACGACGATTGTCAAGTTGTAGATAATGTGCGACCTGAGGGACGCGGTGTTTCAACGCGGAACGTGCAGAGGCCGACCTCGTAGACCTTGCGAGGATGCTGGGTACTCGGGTGGCAAGTGCCAACTCTGGCTGGTCCTCTTTCCTGAAGCTTGGAAGTTTACCTGGGAGCCGGTGAATGCGTCGAACGAACGAAGATTCACATGCACAATCATACGTACGCGGCCCCCTTTTCTTCCCCACCATCAACAGACCGCGACGGCTTGCTCTGCGGTTATCGATTTCGTCGTATATTGCTCGGAGACGCCGCGGGGATAGTGAAACACCGACTCCTTCGACCCGGCTGTGATCCCCTCGTCGCAAATGATTCTCCTGCTTGCTGCGCAAACTGCTACGAGAACTGCGTGAATACGTTGAACCTGCGACACGCTTTGCGCTGTTTGTTACCACATGCGTACGTGGGCATCGAATTCTTCCGTCCTGCCCTTCCGAGTGTATCCAAGCCAATCAGCCACGCTCTGCCCCTCCAGATTCCAGAATCAAGAATGGCTGATAAGCCCAACTTCACCTTCCTCCATTCCTGCACCATGCGCGTGCCGATCACGCGCGTTTCTTCCCTGTCTCTTCTCGAGCTGCTTGTATGCGCTTTCAGTACTCCTCAAGTGACCCGCTGCAAGACCTACCTTAACCACAGACCCAACTGCATACGCGGATGCGCCTCGCCCATTCTGATCACGTCCCTCCTGCACTCCTGCACAATCTCGGATTCTCAGCGACGATCGCCCCCGAATCATATCACCGCTTGGCTCGCCGATAAGCCTGTCCTTCTCGCCTTCCCGTCTTCTCCTGGTCATCTCCACTGTTGTCGCTTCATAAGGCGGGCCAGGGCGAGGGAAGCGCGTGGCCGTGCGTCCCTTGCGGCTGTATGCGGCGAGAGCAAGTACCGAGCTGAGACATGTCCAGATTGGTTTGGTTTGCGACGTGCGCGGATGGGCGTTTCCGTTCTATGTAGGACCGCCGCTGGGTTCTGGCTGCGACGGCGCTGGAGGCGAAGATGGTGGGCGGCGCGTCGCGCTCTGCCGTACAGACTGGAATCCGTTGCTGCGAGGGAAAGCTGAGCCTGCGAAGTCGTCGTCTCTCCTGGACCCCACGCGATCCGAATTCGGGCGCCAGAAGGATCCCTACGTTCTGTGCGTGTCAATGGGGACGAGTGACGTCGTGCACCTTGTATGACTGGCACCCCGTCACGAAATACAAAGTCTAACACTAGCGGGGTTCGATCTGGGGGCCCGGCGTTTGAATACCCGTCACATCTTGTCTGAAGACTGAAATCTTGGGCGCGGTGATGTACGGGCCACAGGCACATATTCTCGCTATGGTCAAGCTACTTCCGAGCCCCGAGTGCGTGCCAGTGACTTGAACGCAGCGAGGGTTTCGTTCGAGGGTTGAACGTTGAACGTTGAATCAGGGCAGTGTGCCTTGCGCTCGAGCGGGAATTCCGTACCAGCCAGCCTACCTTGGGTGGGTTCGCAGAAATGTGACACGGAGGGGGGAGAGAAGAAAATCTCAGCCAGTTCCGAAATGCGCCGGGGGAGGAAGAAAGACACAGGCAGCTCCGAGCACTTGCTTATATGCGTCGCCTTGCTCCTCCCGCAGCGTGAGCTGCGGTGTGCATCGCCTCGTTCGTCAAACTCGGGTTACAACTTGAAAGTGGGGAGCTGCGTGCGGCTGAGTATGGGCGCACGCAGCGTCCGGTGACGTCGGAGTCGTGCATTCCTTACTAGTCTGCTTCAAAATGACGGCCCTACACCGGGACAGCCTGTTAGCGGAGTTACATAAGCAACTTGATCTCCGAAACGCGTGCGCAAATCTCGACGCGCGCGACGCGCTCGACGCGTCGCGTCGCCTGTGCTCGCGCCCTCCTTACTTCCACCATAGATCCTGTATATCACACCCTTGCTCTAACATAATGCAAGGCCCTGACACACAAGGGCCGTTGTCGCCCTCTTTCACATCGTTCTGCTCCCCCGAAGGCATCGCATTCTGCCGCAATGTTGCATCGAAGAACTTGCCGTGGGACCCACACGACTACCAACTCGAGGGGGCTTGCAAAGCCTTGGACGGCACCGACGTCTTCGCAATCACGCCTACGGGATCAGGGAAGACGGGCTTTTTGCTTGTCTACATCCTCGTGGCTCAGGCTATCGCAAATGACCCGGCGCTGTGCCCGGAAGCCTTACGGACGCGCTTCAAACCGGACCCGTGCATGCTCGTTATCTGCCCTACAAAAGCACTGGAGCATGACATGGTGAGTTGACTATAATGAGATGTTGTCTGTGCAGTGTGTCTGACTCGGTTATACTAGGAACCGAAGTTTCAGGCTGCAGGCCTCAGTACTCTAGTGATCAACGCAAACACCACAAAGGCGGCGCTCGCGACGCGGCGAGAGGGCAGCCTTTGGAAGGTTGCTTGTTCGAAGAAGGCGGTGATTCTTCTGTCGCCAGAGCAGCTCGCTACGCCTGGATTCTCCTTCCTCGTCAATGACCCTGCCTTCGCGGCGCGCATCATGGCTCTGAATGTCGACGAGGCCCATCTGCTGGACAGCTGGGGGCACAATTCCGACCGCTCTTTCGGGAGATTGGGAACGTTCGCGCTCGGGTGCCAGGGAACCCCGTTCTCATCGCGTTAACCGCTACGATCTGCCCGGGTCCACAGACGCTGGTCGATGAAGTTGAACAGCTGCTCGACCGTGAGGCTTGCACGCTTGCTCTCTCGCAGGAGCCGCTGCTTCTCGGCAACATCGAAGGCCGTCACATCGCAATCCACCGCCTCCACGTATGTCGCGGCGAGCCCGGAATTGAGATGGCTCTGACGGCCCAGTCGAACGTCTCTCTGTACAAGGTAATTCTGCACATTGTCGAGCACAATCATACCTGCCATCGAAGGGTCGCTCCCGTGTGCTTTGACCATGTCCGCGTCGTGCATTGCGAATTTCTTGAGGTACGTGTAGAGGGTGTTGTATGATGGCATGATACCGAGACGGGAATTGTAGTGAATGATATCGATGGGCGCGGACATCGCGAAGTGCAGAAGCCCAGTGGCCGTCAGGCTCCTAAAACCAGCCGTCCATGGCGTTCTCGCTCCTACATGTCGATAGCCCACCATATGCTGAATCCGAAAAAGGCAATTGTGTTTAGTGTTATGTAATGTCCGAAGTTTATGCGACTAAGAGGAGGAGAACGCCATAGGACGGCTGGCCAATTTCGTCCCCGAGGCCACCCCGAGGCATGCGCGCTTCGCCCTCAGGCCAGCAGTGCGGTCACAGTAAGTGACTGAGCGCCTTTCAGCGAGTTTCGGGGTCCCGCTTGGCTCGCTTGCCCCGAGTCATCCAAATCAGGACATCGCTCGACGCTTGTGCGTCGAGGCGCGATTCATGATGGTTTTCGGTCTCGTATCCATCCAATGGGAGGATGTGGGACTGACAACACATTTGGGAAATTCAGTGAGCATTTCTTTGGTGCCTCGCGTCGCTGCCACAAAATTTGACAAAATAAATGAGCGGGGACTCGAACCCGTGCACCCAAAAAGGCGATCGGCGGCAATGACCACTGCACCAAAGTACCAACACTGCTGCATCGATGGCACTAAATAAGAGTACCAGCCAGCTCGTGGGACCCATTGCCTGTTAACTCCGAAGTACACGCCCACCCTTGTATAAATGACGGGATAATCATTGTCAGTGCCCCATGTGGCAGATGCGCTGCCCGGCACGTCAGCGAAGCACACGTCCGCCCTCGTCTTCGTATGGGTGGGCGAAGAACAGTGAAGACACAGAGCCTACGAAACGAGCTAAGGGTTGGGCAGGTCCGGCGTTAGCCGGAGCGGACGCGGAGGAAGAGAGCCGCTGGGAGGGCGGGCTCACTGTCCGCGATTACCCATTTCGTAGACCCAGGCATGAGGCCTGAAAATCGCACACCGAACAATATAAAATCTTAAGACATTGTGATGCGAAACTACACAAGTTTGGGGATCTATCCCAACAAAATGAGGGTGCGGCGGGGGGGTAAGAAAGCTAAGGTAGACGAATAAATGGACAATGTCCGGCGCGACGTTCGAACGACTGTGGTGGTCGAGGAAGAAAAACGCTGCCACGCAGACGCTCGCTCGCCCACTGCAAAAAACTGCGCTCCGGCGGACGCCGGGACTGGCCTCGCAAGCTCGGAAAGTCCCGAACTCAGTCACTGCAGTATGCACGTCGTGATGTGCTACATAGGGGTGGCCATAAATGGGTCCCACGAGGGACTCTTATTTAGTGCCGTCGATACGGCAGTGTTGGTACTTTGGTGCAGTGGTCGTTGCCGCCGATCGCCTTTTTGGGTGCACGGGTTCGAGTCCCCGCTCATTTATTTTGTCAAATTTTGTGGCAGCGACGCGAGGCACCAAAGAAATGCTCACTGAATTTCCCAAATGTGTTGTCAGTCCCACATCCTCCCATTGGATGGATACGAGACCGAAAACCATCATGAATCGCGCCTCGACGCACAAGCGTCGAGCGATGTCCTGATTTGGATGACTCGGGGCAAGCGAGCCAAGCGGGACCCCGAAACTCGCTGAAAGGCGCTCAGTCACTTACTGTGACCGCACTGCTGGCCTGAGGGCGAAGCGCGCATGCCTCGGGGTGGCCTCGGGGACGAAATTGGCCAGCCGTCCTATGGCGTTCTCCTCCTCTTAGTCGCATAAACTTCGGACATTACATAACACTAAACACAATTGCCTTTTTCGGATTCAGCATATGGTGGGCTATCGACATGTAGGAGCGAGAACGCCATGGACGGCTGGTTTTAGGAGCCTGAGTGGCCGTAGGCAATAGATTGGCTCGATTGGTCCGCGAGAAGTCAAGTGACGTGACGGCGTGTAAAGCAACCTACAAGGATCCAATCACCCGTGAAATCTGTACCAAATCGAGATGAGTCGAAGTACTGACCACCTGCGCCGGGCGGTATTTACGGCTGACGGTGAGATCCTCAGGCTTGCCAGCGGGCTCTGGACGCTCCGCAAGTGCGAGCGCATATTTCCATGTGAGTGGTTGATGTTTCTTTACTATTTCTTTGACATTGCTGACGGTTGCCGCGCCAACATCCGCCCAGGTAATGTCATGTATCCCATGCGACGCCCCGGCCACATCGGGGTCTCCAGAGCCCGAGGTACGTCTTCGTTTTGGCAGAACTGCGTGCAGACCATTCTCGGGTCTGACAGCTGTCTCCGCTTCACCGCACAGGCGATCTAGGACCGTCTGTGCTGCGAATGCCTTCATAGCCTCGCGCACTGTCTTGATCTCTTGCCAGGGCTCCTCGGTGCAGTACCACTTCCCATCGTCTTTCGGCATGTCCTTCTGTTTCCCGTATGGATGGCGAAACATGATATCAATGAGTAATGCCGGTGTGAACGCACTTTTTCCCTGTAGGAACTGACTGACACATTGTGCCCGCCTCAGTTGCTGCGAAGCCGCCGGATCGCCTTGGATTTGGAACATGTTCTCCAGGAACTCAGGGAACGTCAATTTAGCATCATCGAGCATCGCCCCGAGGACAATTCCAAGCTTGTCATCCATGGTGCGTCGCTTTTGCTTTTTCCGCGGAGGCTGCACCCGCAGCTTCGAAGGGGTCAGCGGAGACCGTACACCCGGGCCTGCTTCGAGATCATCACTCTCGTAGCCCGTATTTTCGCTCGCTCGTACACGCTTTTGGCCGCGCCGTGTGGGTGTGCTTGGTGTCTCCGCTGCCCATGGAGGATCGTGCGCTTGCTGGGTCGATGGTACGCTCGCCGGATAGTACCCTCCCGTGGTGTACTGTGGTGTCAAATGGTGAGTCCTTCAATCATTCTGAGCAGCGAGCTGACAGACATGATATGTAGACGAATGGTACAGAGGTGATACCGGGAACGGATGGCTTGGGACAGCCCACGATGCTTGAGCAGAATGGTAGTTGTATGGTGTCTGGTTCACCGGGGATTGGTTCGGGAAATGAGGTGAGTTCAGTCCATAGTCGGGCTGCATGGCTAGTGGAGAGCTTCCAGGTGTATGTGTAGGTCAGGAATAACATGTATTTGTGTTACGCTAGAGCAGTATGACGACTACGGTTCATTGGTTTAGGTATTATGGATTATATCGGTGTTGATCTCAGCCCAGCCACCCGCCGATCTGCCGCTGCCACCCGCCGACTTGCCGTGGCCACGGCATTGCTCGGCCATCACAGAATGGGTACAGTCTATCACCGTCAAACGAGACAACCAAATGAGATTGGTTTCTAGAATATTTTCCCTTCACTGTTATGACAAAGAAAAATTATGAGCGAGTGTGTATATACTGTAAGGCTTCCATGTAAATGCTCCAGGCCGAGAAACGAAGTGCAACAAGAGAACGTAGAGTAAAAGTGTTCAGTCCATCTGCGCCCAAAACACTGTCAGACGAGACACCCATATCGGGTGAGATCCCATCTTATCGTCACGATATGGCATCTTATCAGGTCCGATAAGATGTTTACTCCTCATCCGAGTCGTCCGCTTCATCGTCCGAGTCTTCATCGCTCTCGCTCCCTTCCTCCCCTTCTGCGTCGATGTGTCCACTCGCAGCAGAAACGAAATCCGAACGTTTCGGTCGCGATATCGTTGGCTCGAGCTCCTTTGTGGGCCGCTTTGGTTTGGTCCAACTCGGCCGCCGCTTCTCAGCCTTTGCGAGGTCGCGCTCTTCCTCCCACCTCTCGACTTGAGTCTTCCATGCAACGAGCTTCAAGTCATTCCTCCGCTTCCTCTCCTTGTCGAGCAGCTTCCACTCTGCCAGTGCCTTTACCCAGGCATCTTTGCCACGCTTCCGAGACTCTTTCTTGTCGGCTTCAGCACGAAGATGCGCCTCATGTTCTTGCACTCGGGTGAAGAACTCGTCGTCGGTGAGCAGCCTCGGTAGCCCGTCTCCCAGAAGGCGCTGGCGCCGCTTCTTCGACTTCTTCTCCTCCGCACTGGCAAGCTGACCACGGACCTGCTCGCAATATTCCGACTGCAAGACGAGGAGTGCTCGCTCGCTCGTTCGTCCATCCGTCTGGGCCTCGGCTTCCTTGTGCCACTTGTGCAGGGCTGCCGAGAGCATTTCTTCGTTCTCGGTTGCTGGAACGAAGTCAACATCAGGAACAGCAATACCCTCAGGATGCACACAGTATCTCATGGAGGGCGGAAACCGAGATCATAGTCTCTAATAAGACAAAGGATGAGACTGGAGATCCAATGTGAGCTCCCAGGATCAAGGATGCTCGAATCTGAGCCCATGTCTCATGGCCTGAGATCGTGTCTCATACACAGTCGTCTATGAGCCTTTAGATTATCGGCACGATGTCGGCAGCTCGATCCGGGCTCGATCCTGATCTGCGGCCGCAGAGCTACGTACCGTGCAGCCCTTCTGGACAACTTGTCCAGAAGCTGTCTACTTTGAACTTGCGAAATTTTGGCCATCATGCATCTCCTTTAACAGTACTAAGTGATTGTGCGTGGACACATGGGCGAGGTGCAGATCTGAGCGAGCTAGGTGTGAATCGACGACCGAACGGGCGCTAGCCGGGGAGGCGGGCGCCTCGGAGTGTATGGCAAGCGAGCAAATGAGCGCGGCCTGAGACAGCTGTCTCGTAGACGACTCTGCCTGAGATCAGTGTCTCTCCGTGAGATCAATGTCTCTCGATCCACCTCTGCCGAGATTCCTGTCTCACAGCTGAGCATTGATCTCTGGAAAGCCAATGTGCGAGCTCATTCGCGGTATACAGGATTCCTGATGAAGGAGGGGCTCCTTGGGGGGGTGAACCGAGAGCGGGAGATCAAACTCGGGGAGACAGGAAGTAGACGCGATCGGAGAAGCGGTGGTAAGGAACCCAACAGATGTGGCAGCGAGCTGTTCGCGCATTCGGATCGAGCCGCGCACAACAGGGTCAAGGTGAATGTCGCCCTCTCCGCCTTCCATTTCGTGGTCTGATTCAGCAGGAGGATCGATTTCCATGGAATGGTGGAAGACGCGGCTCGCGATGCGGACGGGTGTCGGTGGGTTAATGGGGAGGGCAGCCTGCGATGTCGATGCACGGCTAGGTGCAGTGGCAGAGGGCTTGATGATGTTGGGGTCAAGAGGATGTACGCCAGTCACACGAAAGGCTTCAAGGATGTTCGCTTTCGTGAGGGCACGGACCCATGCCCGACCGAGAATGGGTAAGAAGTTCGCTTTCGTAACCCGTACCTTCCCAAGCTGAACGAGTTCTTCCTCCCAACAGGTCTTTAGACGAGCAAAGACGACCACGTCCAGCCCTTGGTACACATGTGTTGTATGTGCCGGATAGCAGAGAACGAGGATGTTCGCCTCCCGGGAGTACCAAAGGAAGGCTTCGGTGTAATGTGAGTTATGGCCATCAACAATGAGCAGGCGAGTGCGCCCGCGCGCCTTTGCACGGGTTTGTTCATCGAACTGTTTGATCCACTCGACACCGATGACACCGTCAGTCCAGCCTTTCTTCGAATGACCGATCCTAAACAACAGGTGAGTTTCAGTCACATTTATGCAAAACTCAGGCTCACGACGCATGTAGGGGGTTATTGTCACCCCATGATACCTGGTATCCTTGGCCCTTGAAGATCACAGCAGGCGGTAGGGATGAACCATCTGCACAGATAGTCACAATGGCAGTGATGTTCTCGCGCACACCGTCGCGCTGCTGGTACAGTACTTTCTTCCCCATACCACCGATTGCCCGAGTGCGCTGGTGGATGTAGGGGTTGAACCCGATTTCATCAGAGCCCCAGATACACTCGGGTGGGATGTTGTGTTTCTTAATGAGGTCGCCGAGCAGTGTCGACCATTTGTCATGGATGGTCGGGTTCACTGCACGGCCCCGCTGTGACTCTAGGGCGCGTGTCCAGTATGTCTGGATGGTGTCGTAGTGTCGCTCGACGAAGCGGTAGGTCCAGTTTTCGCCCACGCCTTTGAAGTCTGGCCCAAGTGTTGACTTCAAGACCCGGTCGGCGAGCTCTCGGAAACGTCGATGAACCATAGGAAATCCGCGATCAGCCACTTCGACCAAGTACTCCAGCATGTACTTGGTCTGGCCCGGTGTCTCCAACGTGTCATCCTCGCGAGCCTCGCGGACGCTTTTTCGCCCCTTCCTCCGTGCATTGACCGTGTTGTGATTGACCTGCACAACGACGTTCTTAGCTCGGAAGTACTCATCTTCGGCAGCTCGGCAACATCCACGCAGCCCCTCCCGTTCACTCTCCGGCTTCTTCTGCTCCTCGTTGTAGATCTCAATGGCCCGTTGGGTGACTGTCTCCTTTTTGACGGTGGCCTCTCGTTGTTTCCGTGTGATCGACTTCGCATGTACCATTTGTGAGATTAGCCAAAATACTGTAAATGAATGTGATATCCCCTGAATGGATAGGAAGAGCCTCGTGCATGCCCTGCATGCAGATATGAGAGAAGGAAGGAATGTGAATCAATGACAAGAAGGAATGGACGTGCTACAGACAACTTCAAGGAAATGGATATATTGTCGTCATAGTGTACCCAAGATCAGTGCACGTGCCTTTATCTTGTGGCGTCTCGGGCATGAACAGCACAATGTTCATGTTCGCATTGACCGTCTCATCTTTCGTACTCGATATCCTCCACTGCATTGCTGATCTCTCTCATATGCTCAGATAGGGTAGATATGTGTCAAATGCATCTAGTACACAATTTTTTTGGGGAATACCAACATGGGTTTAGGCTACATGTGGCTGCATATCGTCGGGACCATTTCGAATGGGTGTAGTCGCACAACATATATTCAACTCGAGCAACACACACTTCGCCATACATCTCAAGACTCGATTATATGTGAGAGGACATGGCAAACATAATTTACATCTACTTTAAACGAGCCCAAATGCTAGCAGGCGGACGTGAGAGCCGAGTGTCTCGTTTGGCGGTTGTGTCTCGTTTGACGGTGATAGACTGTAGCAAAGGGGCTGTCCCGGTGTTGGGGGCGCGTTTTGAAGCAGACCCTTAGAAGACCGTCCTCTCCCTCACTCAAAGAGGTCTTCTTTAGGGTCTGCCTAGGGGAGACTAATTCCTTACTCTGCATGCTGGGGGGATGGATCATTGAAATACTGACATGCTCAGCTCAGTCGAGTACGTCGGTGTTCTTGCATGCGCTCTTGTCCGCATGGCAGTACTTACTTGTGTAATATTGGTAGGTAGTTGAATGTAGTACGTATGTAGGAGATGTCGATGAAGCTTTGAAGCACTGTATCATCCCCGGCCCGGTATCCCGTGGTACCCGCGTTCGACATTCGTACGTTGACTTGGAGACCGACCACGACCATGATATAGACATGTACATGAAGCCCGACGTGCATATGTTCGATGTCGTCCTCCGTATACCTGAGCTTGACCAATCGTGCTTTTCTTTGAATTCGTTCTGGTTATTCATCGCGAGCAACTGGTGGACGAATGTTCAGCGCGGTGCCTTTTCTGTCCAGATTTGTCGTGCTGTCCGTGGATGCTGGCCGTCTTACTGTGGCTGACCCAGCTTTGCAAAACGGACCAGATATGCAAAAAGTAGTATTCTGCCCTCATACAAGGCCAAAACTCTTCGGTAAAAAATGTTCTGAATTGCTTTGTATGCTGTCATTATTTTGTTAGATGCTCAGAGGGCGGGACGCAGTACATGTTGAAAGAAAAATGCAAAGGTCTGTGTTTGGCGCGAGGCGGTGGGTCTCGTTTGCACGGCTGCCGAAAGCATGTTCCTGCCCTCGGAAACACCCAGAAATATTCATGCATGCATTGAATAGGTATAAGAATGGTACTATGAGAAAAAATCCCGCGGAACCTCCGATGTGAAGTGTGTGGGACAGCTTTGCAAACACGTTTGCAAAGCTGGGTCAGCCACAGTTAGTACCGCTCGCTCGTTGACGCATCTCTGCCCCCACGGTCCCCGCTGCGTTCTCGCGCTCATGCATAGTCTGTTTGACAGCAAGCTCCTCAGCCCCCTCGCTGTCCATCCTGGTGTTGTAAACCAAACTGCGTCGCCCAGGACTCGGAGCTTGTCCCTCGTAACCGCTTCACTACCCGAGTTGCCCAAGACGATACTTCAGTGGACTTGACCATGTACCACCCGCTGGTAGCCCAGGCCGCGCTCGCGGTGTCTTTCCTTGCAGCGGCGACCGTACCTCGGAACCTCGTTCTCAGCAACGACGACGGATGGGCGACCGCGCAGATTCGCGCGCAATTCGATGCGTTGGTGGCTGCAGGCTATGAGGTGCGCCTGTCAATTCTTGTCACTGACAAGTTGATTGACATTCTGCGTGCGCAGGTGATCCTGTCCGCGCCCGCGCTGAACCAATCTGGCAAGGGGTCGCGCTCGAAGACGCCTTCGGTTCTCGACGAGCCATGTGAGTTCGATACGTGCCCCGTAGGCTCGCCTGCCGAAGGATTCAATGCGAGCGATCGTAAGTCGTTCACGTAGGGGGTATGATGTTCGTCCGAGGCTGACACTGTGCACAAGCGCGACTTAACTACGTGAATGCGTACCCGTGAGTGATGATTGCATGATATTTTGATGGTACTCCTGAAGATAGTGTCACAAGGGTCGACGCGGCACGGTACGGAGTCCAAACGCTCTCGAGGCAATTCTTCGACGGGTCCAGCCCGGATTTCGTCGTCAGTGGACCGAACATTGGCCGTGAGTATCGTCGCAGCCCGACATCGCTCAGAGTTCCATCTAATCTTACGCACATAGTCAACGTCGGCATCTCCACGCAGTTCTCCGGAACAGTGTACGTCCATCTCGAAGCTACTTCCATACCCCGTACTGACCTTGCCCTACCAGCGGCGCCGCCGCCGAAGCCTCCAAGCTCGGCATCCCCGCCGTCGCCTTCTCCGGCGCGTCCGGGTCCCACGTCTCCTACACAACGCTCGTCTCCTCGCCCACCTCTACCTCTGCGCTCGCTGCGAACATCTACGCCAACCTCACCATCGACTTCCTCCGCGTCCTCTTCAACACGACCGCCTCGCCCCTCCTCCCGCCCGGCGTCATCCTGAACGTGAACTACCCCTCCGCCACGCGCTGCCCCGACCCCGCGGAATACCGCTGGGTGCTCGCGCGCAACCTGTGGAACCCGTTTGCGACGGACGTAGAGGTATGCGGGAGCGCGAGGCTGCCCACCGAGGCGGACGTGGTGGCAAATGAGGACGGGTGTTATGCGAGTGTGACGGTGATCAGCGCGACGACGAAGACGGACGTAGGGAGGGCGACGCAGGCGGCGATTGTCGAAAGCTTGGAAGGGTTGCCTCTGAGCTGTATGGATTGAGTCTGTGAGTGTGGAGGGCATTTCTTTTGGTTATGGCTGTGAGACCCCATCGGGTTGTTTATCGCTAAATATTGAATGGTAGAATTGATGCGTTGCTTCTCGAGTTCGACGGCTGTTGGGCTTCAGCTTCATAACTCGTGTCATCTAGCAATCATCTGGCTGTCTGACGGCAAGTCCCACGCCTTTCGCAGTGCAACTCATCATCGGACCAGCAGCACTCGCCCAATCGAGTCGTAACGTTTCCGAAAGCGGAAGCGCCTGCGTCCAAGAGCGAAACCACTCCTTTACTGTATCGAAGATAAGTAGCACCGCGTGCGAGCTGCCAGGCTCGTATATACAGAGACAAGGGTTCGTTGTTCACGTTCAGGAAGGGGAATCCGTCGCCCTGAGGCCTGAACTTGAAGGGTGCTCATGCGGCTGATGTCCAATAGTTTCCTTTTTCGGTATCATTCCTTCCCGATCTGTCACCTGTCCTCTCGCCTTCCACGCGTCACGTTTCTTTCGAATCTCCCACTCCCCGACGTCCCTCTCTCGCTCTTCTACTTTTTTATCCCTCTTGCGCTTCCATGACTGGAGCTGTTCTCGCGTGTATAAATACAGGGCCGCCTCGCCCGTATCCCTATCGAATTCCCTCTCCCCTGTTCTCTCCTCTGGCGTTCTTCACTCGGCACTTCTGCGCGACAAGATGGTTCACGTGTGCAAGACAGTCGAGTAGCAAGTCTAGTAGAGCGTATTGAGACGCAATTCGAGCATAAGTAAGTTCTCCATTAGCTTCGGCGGCCTAACTACTCGTTGTAGACTACCACCGTCGTCCTTCGCCGAGCCCTACATCCAACTTCGACTCCTCGACCTCCCTGCATCAGGACGAGCGCGTGTGTCGTGTTTGTCGTTGCCACGCACGCAATCCCTCCGACATCGTATATCGTATACGCAGATGGGTACGTCTCGGCGCCAGCAGCCCCCTCTCGCAGCACCTTCAACCTACTTCCCCGTGGGGCTATATAGCCTCTGCATCGACATGGTATGGCTATGCCTCATTGCAAGCTGCATCGCGGTGCGCATCGACCGACATCTGGCCACCACTCATGCATCCATAACTGAGCCCAGTGCACACGAACACTGTCATGAGGCCAGCACGCCGCACATCTACCGGACGATACTGTATGAGACACCACGAGTACGCCCCTTCGTATTCACGTATTCGTTTCTACATACCGACGGTCCCTCCTCGACACCTGCATCGTCAGCGGCCGAGAGAGAAGCTAGTGATCCGGAGATAGAGTCGAAGTCCGTCAAAAAAGTGTAGCGCTCGCGATCGCCACACTTTTTTGACAGAACTTCGACTCTGCTTATCTCTGGAAGGTCCTTACGGGCAACGATACTGCGTGCAAGATCCGCTCACTAAAACCCCATTCGCGTCTAACGGCCTATGCGGGATTTGAACAGGCTTGGCCAGTGGACCGTTCGAGGTGAATACGACTGCCTCACGCGTCCTGTCCATCGTACTGAATAGACCATACATAGTCACTCGAGGCTACCATTCCCGGGGCCATTCTACGGGTGCCATTCACGCAGACGGTCGACGGGGATTCAGGGGCACGCGAATGGATCTTGGATCGGCGGCGCGTGTCGATGTCGTAGTACCTCCTGTTGTCGAACGCCTCGCGCATACCTATCGGTGTAACGAGCCTCTACGCGATCACTTCGGCGCGCCTCCCTCGTGAACAGAGCTATTGCTCTTGTCGCGCGCTATGCGTGGTGATGCCCGGGCCCGAGTCGATCTACGTGGCCCTTGCTGGTTCTTGGAAACGCAGATCTCGCTCCTCTCCATCCTTCCGGGCTACCCGACTCAGCAGCCGTGTGGAACGCTCCACTTATATTCTTCGGTCGGCGACGAAGCGCTGAGCAGGAGCACGCCCTACTCTCGATGCCATCTTGTGACATCCGTCTGTCGCTCACTCTCCGGCTCCGAGGTCTCCTATACCACCCTCGACAACGATCCAACCGCATCCTCGACTGAGGCCGCCTGGATCTACTCCGCACTGGTCGTCCACTACACCCAAGCCCTCTCGCTGTCGATAGCGATCTGCTCCTATTCCGGGCATCATTGTATCCGTGAACTTCCCGTCCATCGACAACTGCTCAGACGCAAGCGACTACCAGTGGGTACTGTCGAGAAACCTGTGGGATCCCTTCGCGTCGGACTTTGCGGCGTGCTCGTCCGATGGCTCCGTCTTGCCGACGGAGAGCGACGTCGTGGGCGCTGCGGGGTGCTGTGATAGCGTGACTGTCCTCAATGCAACTTCGAAGACGGACGTGGATGCGGATTATCAGGGAGAGGTATATAGCATACTGCGCGAGCTGCCGTTTACCTGTCTGCCGAGTTCTTGAACAGGGAACTTGAAGCATCGGAATGAAATTGCTCTGGCGTTTGTGTTTTTAGTAGGAGGTTCTTGCGATCGATGTTTTGGGGGCTGAGCCAGTATTTCTGAGGCCCGAGTCGACGCAGACTACAGTTATCACCGTGGTATGAAAATATTTGCATTTGCGGCTACGGCGATTATCACAGTAAGTTGTGAATGGTACGTACGCCGTGCAGACACTAAACGGGGACGACCGTACGTATGGCCTGTACGTACACGTAGTAAGTAGTATGGGCGCCTAAATAGAGTAGTAGCAGTTAGCGGAGATTGCCGAAACCGGCAACATAGCGCCAAGCCGACTTAGACCTCGCATACTTCCCTCCTCCAGCTCCTCATCCTCCTCGTCTTCCTCGTCGTCGACCTTCCTTCGACTCAGGTGCGATAATCTCGCTAACTATTCTCGAAATTGGAAGCCTCCGTTTACATATGAGAACGAACAGTAGAGCATACAGGACCAATGCCTGCGCCTGAAAGCTGGGCGGCCATCGACTCGCCGCGCGTCGGGACTTTGAGCGAAGTTTCTGAAGATAGTATTAGTGTCGTGTCAGTGCCAGGACGAGGAAGCCCGGGGCCGAGGTCGCCATATTATCATGCCGCGTTATCAGGTTCAACATCCACTTTCAAAGCACCGGCGGCGGCTACACTCAGCACGACCAGCCTCGGTACGGCCATGACGAGCACCTCGTCGCGCACTCCAGCTGGACCAAGGAGTCCCTCCGTTACGGTACGCCCAGCAACATCACGATCTGCTAGCGACACGAGTTCGAATGCAGCGAACGGCCGAAGTACCCCTGCGGTGCGTGGCCCTGGGACGCCGAGGCCAGAGTCTCCCGTGCCCTCGAAGGGCAAGGAGAGGGATGGAGAGAAGGAGAGAGAGGGTCAGAGGGAAAAGCCGAGAGACAGAGAGAGGGACAGAGAGAAAGGGAGGGACCGAACAGGGAGAAATACGAAGAGCGTTGCGAACGCGGGTCCCCCAGTACCCCGGATCCGGAATACGCCTCACCTCCCACACGCAAAAGATGTCGAGTTTGCGCCGGCGACGCTCATGTACTGGAGTCGCGCGCCAGTATATGGCTTTCTTCCGCAACATGGTGTACGCGCGCACAGCGTGACACTCGTCGACAACGTCGCATGGCTGTTCGGCGGGTGCGACGAGAAGGGCTGTTGGCGGGACATCTATCTGTTCAACACCGGTGCGTCTGCTTCTATGTTACGCGCACAGTGATTGAGCGAGGGCCGCAAGTGCAGAGACGATGCAGTGGTCCCATCCACAGATGGTCGGCGACATCCCGCCTCCATGCCGCGCGCACACCGCAACACTGGTGGACCGGCGAATCGTGGTGTTCGGCGGAGGCGAAGGCCCCGCATACTACAATGATGTATACGTGCTCGACACAGTCAGTCGGCGGTGGACGCACAAGGTCTTCCCAGATGACACACCGCTGCCGCCGCCTCGGCGTGCGCACACGGCGGTGCTTCACAAGGGGAAGGTGTGGGTGTTCGGCGGGGGAAATGGGATGGAGGCTCTGAACGATCTGTGGACACTCGACTGCAGCGGATCCACGGAACGGATGCGGTGGGAGCATGTCGAGACGCGGGGACGGAAGCCGATGCCTCGTGGGTACCACACTTCGAACCTTGTCGGGAACGTGATGGTCGTCATCGGTGGGAGTGACGGGCGCGAGTGTTTCTCGGACATCTGGTGCCTCAACCTCGGTGCGTGCTCACTCTCTCAGGCGTCGGTGCGCGCCCTGACCTCTGGCGCTAGATACACTCTGGTGGAGTCAGCCGAAGCTCGAGACCTCGTACCGCCGCTTGTCGCACACGTCGACGCAGGTCGGCTCGTATCTGTTCATCATGGGTGGTCACGACGGTAGCCAGTACACGTCCGAACTGCTCCTATTCAACCTCGGTGCGTTTCGCGTAGTCCCCATGTCAATAGCCGCCGCTGACGTATTGCATATGTTGCAGTTGCATTGAGCTTCGAGCCGCGTACGACGGCGGGAAAGCCGCCCTCGCCGCGCGGGTACCACGTCTCCTTCCTCGCGGACAGCCGGCTGTTCATCTTCGGGGGCTTCAACGGGAACGAGGTATTCGACGACGTGCACCTGCTCGACCTCGCCGGCGCCGCATACCTGCCACAGGTGACGAGCTTCCGCATAGACGTCTGATATTATACAGGGAGGCTGCTGCTTACGTATTACACGCGGCGCCTTACACTGGGGCTCGGGCGTTAATTATGCTGTTCGTTCGGTCGTTGTATATATACCACAGTAAGGGCAGTCATA